AAACGATTTGTGGATAGATTCTCCACAAATCTGCATCAAAATCCTGGAACAAAATATTTTTTAGATTTTTTGTCAATTTTCCTGGGTAGACCCCTTCGAAAATGGGGGAAATGCATGGGAGGACAATATGGCCCACGCCGAAAGCCATATCTTTGGCAATAATCTTCCGATTCTTGGGCGGAAAACCTTAAACGATTTGTGGATAGATTCTCCAAAAATCTGCATCAAAATCCTGGATCAAAATATTGTTTAGATTTTTTGTCAATTTTCCTGGGAGACCCCTTTGAAAATTGGGGAAATGCATGGGAGGACAATATGGCCCACGCCGAAAGCCATATCTTTGGCAATAATCTTCCGATTCTTGGGCGGAAAACCTTAAACGATTTGTGGATAGATTCTCCAAAAATCTGCATCAAAATCCTGGATCAAAATATTGTTTAGATTTTTTGTCAATTTTCCTGGGAGACCCCTTTGAAAATTGGGGAAATGCATGGGAGGACAATATGGCCCACGCCGAACGCTATATTTTTGGCAATAGTCGTCCGATTCTTGAGCGGAATACCTTAAACGATTTGTGGATAGATTCCTCACAAATCTGCATCAACATCCTGGAACAAAATATTTTTTAGATTTTTTGTCAATTTTTCAGGGTAGACCCCTTCGAAAATGGGGGAAATGCATGGGAGGACAATATGGCCCACGCCGAACGCTATATCTTTGGCAATAGTCTTCCGATTCTTGGGCGGAATACCTTAAACGATTTGTGGATAGATTCCTCACAAATCTGCATCAAAATCCTGGAACAAAATATTATTTAGATTTTTTGTCAATTTTCCTGGGTAGACCCCTTCGAAAATGGGGGAAATGCAAGGGACGACAATATGGCCCACGCCGAACGCTATATCTTTGGCAATAGTCTTCCGATTCTTGGGCGGAATACCTTAAACGATTTGTGGATAGATGCTCCACAAATCTGCATCAAAATCCTGGAATAAAATATTTTTTAGATTTTTTGTCAATTTTCCTGGGTAGACCCCTTCGAAAATGGGGGAAATGCATGGGAGGGCAAATGGCCCACGCCGAAAGCCATATCTTTGGCAATAATCTTCCGATTCTTGGGCGGAATACTTTAAACGATTTGTGGATAGATTCTCCACAAATCTGCATCAAAATCCTGGAACAAAATATTTTTTAGATTTTTTGTCAATTTTCCTAGGAGACCCCTTTGAAAATTGGGGAAATGCATGGGAGGACCATTTGGCCCACGCCGAACGCTATATCTTTGGCAATAGTCGTCCGATTCTTGAGCGGAATACCTTAAACGATTTGTGGATAGATTCCTCGCAAATCTTCATCAAAATCCTGGAACAAAATATTTTTTAGAATTTTTGTCAATTTTCCAGGGTAGACCCCTTCGAAAATGGGGGAAATGCGTGGGAGGACAATATGGCCCACGCCGAAAGCCATATCTTTGGCAATAGTCTTCCGATTCTTGGGCGGAATACCTTAAACGATTTGTGGATAGATTCCTCACAAATCTGCATCAAAGTCCTGGAACAAAATATTTTTTAGATTTTTTGTCAATTTTTCAGGGTAGACGCCTTCGAAAATGGGGGAAATGCATGGGAGGACAATATGGCCCACGCCGAACGCTATATCTTTGGCAATAGTCTTCCGATTCTTGGGCGGAATACCTTAAACAATTTGTGGATAGATTCCTCACAAATCTGCATCAAAATCCTGGAACAAAATATTATTTAGATTTTTTGTCAATTTTTCAGGGTAGACGCCTTCGAAAATGGGGGAAATGCATGGGAGGACAATATGGCCCACGCCGAACGCTATATCTTTGGCAATAGTCTTCCGATTCTTGGGCGGAATACCTTAAACGATTTGTGGATAGATTCCTCACAAATCTGCATCAAAATCCTGGAACAAAATATTATTTAGATTTTTTGTCAATTTTCCTGGGTAGACCCCTTTGAAAATGGGGGAAATGCATGGGAGGGCAAATGGCCCACGCCGAAAGCCATATCTTTGGCAATAATCTTCCGATTCTTGGGCGGAATACTTTAAACGATTTGTGGATCCATTCTCTACAAATCTGCATCAATATCGTGAAACAAATGTTCCGATTCTGTAACCTTTTGTAGGCAGGATGTGGGGGTGCTCGGATATGGCTGCACCTATGATTTCCGGCTACTGTTTTGTCAAAAGGGTGATGGACTTCCCTATAGTGAGGTCTATGAGTTTATTATAATACAAAATATAATAATAAATAAACTTAACTAAAATAAGAAAAATTAATTTTCATGACCATGAAGTTTGCCTTAAGGGCTACCGAGCCCTGCCGCACGGGACTTTTATGACCGCGATATAAACTTGTTTTGCTGAATTTTGGGTTTTGCATTACCAACATTACAGTGTTTACTCATATAAAATTATTTAATTTTGTTTTGCTGATTTTTCGCTTTTGCATAACATACATAACAGTGTTTACAGTCAACTTTACACATATAAAATTGTTTAGATTTGGTATTCTTTAAAAGAAACTTACTGTTTTTCTCCTCGTAGGGAGGCTTAATCGATATTAGATCTGATTATCTGAAGAATCTTCAGTGTAGATATTTGTTGCCCCTAAAATAAAAAAAAAAAAACAATCACAAGGATGGAGAAAACTAATTATTTGTGGTTAACTGCGAATATTTTATTCTTGGTTTTGTTTTTCCAATTATGGTGGGAGTCATTTCTGCATCGCATAACATTCAAAGAGCTTCAAAGATGAAACAAGTTTGTAGAACTTTTTTGGGATTAGCCAATATATATATTGCGCAAACTTTTTGACTAACTTTGGCCGTCGTCTGATTTTTTTCTTTTTGCTTAAATGGTCCGTAACCTGATTTAATTGGAAGGCTTCAAAGCATAATCCGCTCATTTCGACTGCAATGAGACTCAGGACAAGTCAAAAGGAAGCCCAGTATTGTGGCTAAAAAAGCGGAACATTTAATTAACATTGTATTAGAACTGTCGCTGCTTCTTTAATATTCAATTAAGTGTCTGTTGAAATGAGGAGATTCCTTATTATTAATGATTCAACCGGCCGACAGCAAGTTCCTTGACACTCACACAATCGCATAAGCATGTATAATTGGATGAAACCAGCGGATGGCCATAACAAGGATAATTGGATGAAATGAGGCGGCTGCCTTTTCTGCTCCTCATTAAGTGCCCGTTTACCGTTTAGTCGCCTGTCAAATCGTCGGTGCGTTATTAGAAAAAGGGGTGTCAAGAGACGAGCCGTTGAGTCAATGACTTATTACGCAAATCGGACAAAGATTCCTTCGCGGACATGGCCGAGGTGTGGGTGGTAATTGAAGGCGCATGAGTGGGACTTGAACCCTGTCCATTCGGTAATAAACGTATTAATTATTTTGTCTTTGTTGCCTGAATCGTCCTGACAGGACAAACCGATAAAATCCGGGCAAGTATTAAGTGAATTAATAAAGACCTTGTTGGGTGTTCTCAGTGCTTTAAATTAAAGCTAGTTTAGTCACTAGTATGGAGTCTGATATTTTAAATAACAATTAAGACAAAACTTCCTATTGAAAAAGTGTGGCATCTCCTTTTCTCTTCCTTTAAAAAGTGTGGCCTTATTCCAATAAAAAGCCCATTTTAAAAGAAAAACTTTTTCAACATTTTCTAATGGAAAATAAAACTTTGTGTTGCAGTAATTTAGATTACACTAATTTTGCCAAGTATAGAATACGTTGGCAATCTAGTTATGAATAGTTGCAAACTTGAAAGTTAATTATGCACTTACTATGTTCATCGCCTAGAATAAAAGCATTACAATGGGTGAGGGGGCAGCATTTTGACGGAATTCAATCAGCCATAAAGCATCATGCTGCTCCTGCCAAGTACCAGGAGGCGTTTGCCTACGTGCTTAATTACAAGCCCGACTCCGGAGCACATCCACATACATAAATACTCGGAGACACGTGTTGAAAGCAATTAAAAACTATGTAAAAGTGGGTGAATTCGAAGAGGTGTCATGAGGAGTTTGAATGTCCGGCAACAGAGTTGCTTCTGCATCAAACGTTATGCCAAATCTAAAATTAGTTCAGAGTCATCACAAGCAATATAAATAAATCTAAATTAAAATACACCTTTTCTAAAATAAATACAGAAATCACGTTTTACTTTTTATCTTCTAGGCCATTAAAAAGAACTAGTTGTAGATAGATAATTTCCATTCTGTCAGCCATTTACATATATGACGTAACCCATCTTAATTGCAATTCAGCAGAAACCCTAATACCCCTCAAGTGTCGAACTCATCTTGTATTTTTTTGCCACAGGACTCCCGGGTAGAGGACTTGACGGATTTATGGCGAGCAATTTTACGCCCGATTGCCGTCGGCCAAGGATGTCGGGCCCCGTTAGCACCTTTGACATGACAGGGGCTACCGGGGTGAATCCTTGTCAAATGCCCGTTTAAAGCAAACAATTAATGTGCAAATAAAACCCATTAAATATTAATTGAGTTCGATAATTACGGCGTCGGTATTACGGCTGGCAACATGTTGCAGCAACAACACATGCGAGGCGCCTGCGTTGGCGGAACCTTTGAACTTCCCCCAACTTCCGACCCCGACCGCCATCAATCCATCAATTGCCTAATGTCTTGGCACACCTTGGTGATTTATTAGAGGGGCTAACCCGCTGTGGCGTCCGTGCTTCTGATTCCGATTCCGACTCGATTTCCATCAAGCCTGGCAACACGCCACATTCGCACCCGCACCACCAATCGCACGTTTTCATTCATAACTCGTCGCGTGGCCAGGCATCGACGTATCCTTTGGCGCCGCCTCGTTTCCTGCCTCAACACAGACACTGTGATAGTCGTGCCTCCTCGTTCGGTGTCCTTCGTGTGTGGGCTTCGTGGCGCTTAATATAAAAACACGCCGTAATCGCTCGACTCCGTGAGTCCTCCGCTCGTCGTCAGCCTGTTGCGTTCGAGGAGCAACACCCAAAAACCAGTAGCAGCAACACCATCAGCAGCAACAGATTCCGTTTCAGGAGCTTCACTTTCCGTTTAATCTGTCACGGCAGGACACTTTCGCGGCGTGGCGCGTAAAGACATAAAATAAATTAGAAAAAAAACGCTAAAAATAAATACACGCCGCTAAAAACACGCGAACCGCATCTCGATCGCCATAAATCACATCCCGATTCGTGTGCTTCAGATCCGATTAAACAGAAATTAGGTGCAATTACTACTGATAAGGTGATCTCCTTTTATGTGATAATTTTCGAAAACAGGATTTATGTTTCCGAGATTGTGTTTTAAATTAAGTTGTGTGTTGTCGTCCTGTCGTCTGCTCCTCACTGACAAATATAACAATATCAGATTGCAATTTGTTTGGAAAGGACGAAAACTTGTGCCAGTTTTATCCCCAAATGGGGCAGAGTTGATTGATTGCTTAAAAAACGTTTAAGCTAATTAGTTTTTCCTTTCCTACGTGCGTATTTCATTCAGTGCCCGGGGCACAAAGTAGAGCATTGTGGCTTCGAGGTGTTTCAGGTTTCGGGTGTCCGCACAGGACACATTACATCCTGTAACTTAATAGACTGCAAACAAGCTTAGTGAAACTTTTTGTTGCCAGCGTCGGCAATCACACCTTGTAATTTGCACAGAACACTAAAGATGGTCTCTGGGTATTGTCCTGGGGATTTACTTTCCGGATTGATTGACCTTTTACGTGAAATTTTCTTTTTATGGCATTACTAAAATCTGATTTATGCCGTCGAGAGCATAAACGTCAAAAACTTTGCTTCTTCTGTGTTTTACACATTTTTCATACCATTTGCATATAGTGGTTGGAATATATACTTGTACTCGAACTCGTATGCAAATAACTTAAGACTTGAAGCCTAGATAACAGGATTCCATTTCCTTGTGTGTTCGTCCTGCCTTTGAATTGCCGATAAAACAGAAGGGACGTGCTGGCAAGTAGCCCTGGGCAATCACGATTTCCGTCTCTGGGATATGACAATGCTTGTCAGGAACACAATTCTCAGTGGGGCAGGGCAGTTTTATTGCCTTGAATTCGGTATTACTCTCGGAAAATCAATATTTATATTTGCCCAACTTGAAAGTGGAAGAATTCACTCATTACATTGCCTTCCCCGAAAACTTTCACCAAAGGAATTTCATCTCTCCGGGCCCGGGAGACCGGGAGTTTGGCCAGAAATTTCGGTTGCGGCTCCGCTCCGGTCCCTAATTCAATTCGATTGCAATTTCCGTTGCAACTCCGGCGCGGGTGGGACGAACTCTAACATTTTCCAGGGACTAACTGCGATCTATTAAAGGAAATCAATAACCATCAATAGCAATCAAATATTGGATGCCAAAGTGCGACAACCACCCACGGGCTATGGAGCCTGCGGACGCATTCGAATTCATTCCTAAATTCCAATTCGTAAATCCCCGTTCAGCAAATGGCATATATATGACATGTGATTGCCGGCACGACTAATGCTTCTGCCATTTTAGCAGTTACTTATTTTTGATGCCATTTGGTGATTCCGCCTAATGCCCTGGTGACAGGTGGGATCTAATTTTGTAGCCCAGCAGCCCCATAGCCCAATGGAAGACAAAAGAGCTGGGCCAAAGGGGGTCTTCTGTCAATGTTTACCATTTAAAATTCAGTTACATTGTTTCCTCGAAAATAGGTTTGAATTTAAAAAGGGTTTAAGGCTTATGCCTAGGAATAGGAGTAGTAGTTTATGGTGAAGTACAATGAAGTCAATTAACTTAATATAATTATATCATGTGTCAGTTATGCAGTTACCCGTTTGAAAAGTATACCACATCGACGCAATAGAATTTTAAACGTTCTGTCTCTGACAAGCGTACATAATGTTTTACAGTCTGATAATAAAAGTGAACAGTAGAATAGTAAAATTTAAGTGAGGACCTGTAACAAGCTAATTATAAAGCAAGTGATGCTACTCACACCCGCGTCTATTTAGGGGAACCAACTCTTTCGTCAGCAAACAAGAATATTTTTATGACTAAGGTCGGTCTACGTTCATGTTTTTAACTTCCTGCAACTGAATTTTAACCTAGTTATACATACTCGCCAGACTTTACAACATCGTCTTCAATTTAAAACCTCATTTCCTTTTTAGACGCTTGTAGACTCTTGTGTAAATTTGGCCACAACTCCCCAGGTGAGTTGATTGAAAAGTCCACGAGGACATGAGATTTATATACATAGTCGACATAAGGATAAACAAAATGAAAAAGTTTAGAAGTACAGTATATTTACGTGACCCATAAATTATGAGAACACTTCTTGTTGTCAGAATATAGCACATTTTTCACAGGTTAGCTGTCAGCGTTTTATTTTCTCTATCCCAACGGACCCGCTAGAGAGGTCAAAGTTTACAAGCGGCAATGTTACCAAATTTTTTGGAAAATAATAGCCATATATAAGGTTAATTTTTCATGCAGATGAACAATTTTAAATGCTGCAATTGTTTCGCATTTAAGATACCCTGTATTTCCAGTTGCATGGATGCGCCCGGAACAAGTTGGAATATTTAAATGTTTTATGTGATTAATGGTGGGGGATACATCACCGTATTTTTTGTGTTACAACCAATTTATATACGAAAAATCTGTAAATTGCGCACTCAGCCATGTGGTTCTACTTTTCTGATACAGTTTTTTCTTCATTTTTTTTGTTCCAGAATGATGAAAGCCACAGCGTGGTTTTGTCCGGTGTTATTAACTTTACTGTGTGCCACGAGGCTGGTCTGCACGGCACAGCGAGGAGTTGGATCTGGAACTGGTACAGGAGTAGGTGGCACGGCAGCAGGAGCAGGACCAGAGGCCGGCGGAAGCGGCCGCACAAACGGATATCCTTTGGACTACCCAGATGCACGGAATATTCAGGTGTGCTTTTCAGCTTGATTCTTTGTGAATGACAGCAGTTTTTGTCCAGCACTCGCATGAATGTTTTCCGAATGCATATTCAATTATACTCGACTGCATTTTCGGAACAGACTTTTTTCATGCCCCTTTTGACACACGTCGACATAGGATTCTGTTTCGTAAATTGAAATACTATATATGACGTCCATAAAAAAAACTACTTCGCAGTTTGCAGGTGCCGTCACGATTGTGGAATTTAAAACTTCTCAAAAATCAAATTTCTCAGTTCTTCGAATCCACTCAATTCAACTGAAATCAAGCATAATCTAATCTGGCTAATAAGTGCTATATCCGCGGTGAATACCACAACTCGAATGCGGTTTCAACCACGAAGACCTAATCTTCAATCTGGCTATAAATTTAAAATATTTCCTCAACACACACGAACATGGCAACAAATCTCCTCCATAAAGTCTAGTGTTTTCATAAACATGGGGAACTTTTTGTCAAGGATATCGACGAAGCTTCATTAGCGAACAAAAAATCACAAAACAATTGTTTGTTTGTGTTGGCCAAGTCCCGATGTTAACAATCAAAAGTTTCCCATCTTTTTTTAAGAAAGTTCTTCAGAAATGTTTTTCAAGTCGATTTTTTGTCCTACGCAATTTAAATAGCATGTACTACGTTTATGGAATTCTAGATTAAAGTTATTATGCCTGTTAACAATTTAAGTTTATTTGCCGAAAAAAAATAAACGTTGGCCATCATGATTGCAAATTATAAAAACCACCTTCGGGCCAGGCTAAAGGCCATGAAACTTTCCATTTCCATCGCTTAATACGACACAACCATTAATACGTTGGAGAACATAAAAAGTGGTGTTTCGATAAGGATCCATTTGTAAGCTAATCAGTCAAGTACCCAATCATTGATTGATGTTCATGGTGCGTCAATCATTTAGTTTATCAAGAGTGGACCTTATTGTCATGGTCATGAAAGCAAAAGTTCAAAAAAGGCGATAAGTTATCCCAGTCTGAAGTATAAAGAAGTAAAATTTCGACAGTCTCGAGTTGTTTTTTAGTTTCTTTTTATAGTAGTTTAGATTACAGGAACTATAAAGCTATATGACGGATGCGGGACAAAAATAACTGAATGTTACCATGAGGAGCCTATAATCTCGATTTTGGCCATAGAGTCGCGTGGCCAGCAATAAATTAGTTATATTTTTGTAATATTTGCTAGATACTTTGTTTTAATTGGCCTATAATTTAAAGCCTATTTGTGATAACCAAGAACTGAGTTGGAATTCCATTTTACTCATTGGCCGTAGTCACCTCTGAGCCATCGGTAGTACTTTCTGCAGGGTCGGCTGTGGTCTCCTCTCCAGCATTGGTGGTGGATTCCTCCGGAGCCTGAGTAGTCTCTCCGGCAGCATCGGTGGTAGATTCCTCGGGATCTTCGGGGGCCTGAGTAGTGTCCTCAGAGCCGCTGCCTTCATCGGAGTCGGTGGTGGACTCCTCGGGCTCCTGGGTGGTGGTATCACCCGAACCGCTTCCATCGGAGTCCGTTGTGCTGTCTTCAGGTTCCTGGGTGGTAGTTTCTTCCGAAGAACCACTTCCCTCCTCCGATTCAGTTGTGGTCTCTTCTGGGGCTTCGGTAGTCTCTACTGGAGCGTCGGTAGTTTCCTCAGGAGCGTCGGTAGTATCCTCAGGAGCTGCGGTAGTCTCTTCTGGAGCTTCAGTAGTCTCTACTGGAGCGTCGGTAGTCTCCTCTGGAGCGTTGGTAGTCTCCTCAGGAGCTTCGGTAGTCTCTACTGGAGCGTCGGTAGTATCCTCAGGAGCTGCGGTAGTCTCTTCTGGGGCTTCGGTAGTCTCCACTGGAGCGTCGGTAGACTCCTCTGGAGATTCGGTAGTCTCTTCTGGGGCTTCGGTAGTCTCCACTGGAGATTCGGTGGTAGAATCCTCCGGCTCCTCAGGGTTCTGGGTGGTGGATTCTTCCGGGATTTCAGGAGTCAAAGTGGATACTTCTGCAGCTGCAGTTGTGGAATCGACAATATCGTCTTCAGTGGTCAGTTCGGGCAGGTCAGTTGGTGGAGGTGGTGGTGGGGGACGGTTTCCTCCATGGCCGTGTCCGTGTCCGTGGCCATTTCCGTGACCATTTCCATGACCATTTCCGTGGCCATTTCCGTGATTGTGACCATTTCCATGGCCATTTCCGTGTCCGCCGTTCCACTGACCCTGACCATTTCCATTCCATTGACCCTGTCCCTGACCATTTCCATTCCACTGACCCTGTCCATTGTTGTTCCATTGTCCCTTCAGGGCACTGACTTCCTCATCTGCCTGGGAGCCCCAGCCGAAATTCCTGATCCAATTGCCTCCAAAACTTCCGAGCCAGCCGCCATTGGGCCTGGCAACAGCCACTCCGACCAAAGCGGTCAACAGAAGAAGCGTTAGTACTTTCATTTCGCAAATGTTTCGAATAAACTGATTGCTCCTCCAGGTGGCTATTGGTTTTTATAGAATTCTGATAAGCAGCTCCACTCTCCCAGACGCTGCGACCACACCGAGGCGCGTCCTTATCTTATCGCTAACGTGTCTGATAGTCAGACAAACAATAAGCATAATTTTAATATTTATCTGAACATGAACTTGATTTGCTTGTTTGGCTGTTTACCTTCAAAATAAGATGAACAAATCTGGCCCAAATCCGCGTTCCTGGAATTATTTTGCAAAAAAGTAATTAAACTTAAGAAGAGTCTAGACTTTCTCAAGAAGTCAACTGGGATATATCTTTACGATGTTCCCATAAAGGCCCAAAAAATTTTATGAAGCTTCGCCCTAGAAGGCTTTTGCTGTTTTTGCATTATCACGCCCTGTTTTTTTTGGGGAGTATGCGGGTGTCTATACATTATCTTGGAGCTATGAATCATGAATTTTTTGAAATTTTCCGTTTTATCTGACAAGTGGTGTTATCGGGGGAATTCGCGATTGTTCATCGTAATGTGGAAAAAACGTACAACAATACTGATTAGATTTGTAAATTGATTTGCAGCGATTGCTTCCTCAATGTGGGAAAAACAAGGAGTGACCTAATGTTTTTCAATAGCTTTAGTTTTGAGATTACCTTTTCTTCTAGCCATGCAAATAACAATCTAGCCAAGTTTTTATTTCCCATTAACACCAAACAATAAAGTTAGTTGCGAAAGGAAAACAGAACTGTTTTTGAATGTGGATGTTCATAAATAAAAATCTCTGCGGCAGGACTTAAAAACTTTTTGCATTACCTTATCAGGCTTTTATTATGCCATGTGCTAGCCAAGTTTTCAGCGAATAGCGAATGTAAATTTACCTAACAACCTACAAATATACTACTTCTAGGATGACTTTCTTCTCGCCAAACGAAACAAGCCGTCTCTCTCCATTGTCAATCCCTTGGATGTGCTGCGTCAGCGGCTCCTTCTGGAAATCGCACGCCGTCAAATGAAGGAGAACTCTCGACAGGTGAGTGTTTTGTTACCCGGGGTGGGATTTGTCTGGGAGGGTTGGGGATGCTGCCATAAACGGGCCAAGCTGACCACTTGGCGAGGTATTTTTAATAAGCGAAAATAAAAAGGAAAACTTTTTGCTGGCAAGGCCCCAAGACAAACGGAAAACAATTCCCGCTAAAAGGCGGGAGTCCTAAGTAGAAAGAGTAATTTGGAGCGGCGCTGTGCGGCGCGAAGAATAAATGAAAATGTAGCGGCTAATCAAAACTAGAATACCGAATGAGAAATACTTCCGAAGGACCATAAAGAACGCAGCTGCATAAAGTTTTTTAATTCCCTTCCCGTAGTAGCTACCGGCAATTTCAATAAATTTTCCATGGGCCGCTTCCAGACTTGCTCGTAAGATTGGCAAGTTCACATTTACCTGCTCTGGGAGTGTAAACATCATCCAGGCTGAGATCCCCAAACAAAGCTTAAGCACTTCGGATGGCCCTGACACCCCCAAAAATATACCCACATAGGGCTCAGCAAGGACAAGGGAAAAACAACGGGGCGTATGTGTAACGAAAATATTTTTGCTCGAAAAGCAAAGCGAGTTTATTTGGTTACCAAACCATTCCAAGACCCTAAAGGCCCAAATACTTAACAAAAAAACAAAAAAATGGCACAACCAAAAACAAAAAAAAAAAATCAAAACGTTTTAATGCAAAGAATTCAAACGATTTGCCTTGATAGCTTCACCTTTCACCCTCCGATGGTTAAATTTTTGTTAAAGAGGGTCCTGCCTGCGTCGGATGAGAAACTGGCAAGTCCTTTTAACATCCACATTCACATCCACACACGTCAGATAAACATATTGATTTGTCAAAGGGGTTTTAGAAATTAATCCATGCATCCAAAACGCAATTTGAGTCGGCTGAGGAGTATGATGTTTTCCAAAAACACACCTGATACGAATTTAAGTATTCAGCTTTAAAGAAATAAGTGCTGGTTTTGTGTACCAAAATACGAAATTTGTCTGCTACTCAATTAATTAAATAATGCAGTGAGATTTGTCTTACTAGAAATGGTTTGCTTGGGTTGGAATTTCAAAAGGTTTTCCTGAAAGTTGAGCTCTAAATGCTTGAAATGGTCTGAAAATTCTCTAGAAAGCAGGGTTTAGTAAGGTTTAAAGGAAAAGTAGGTGACATACATTCTTAAGACATTAAAGGACGAGACAAAATTCAAAAAACAGCTTGACCTCTTGAGGTTTAAGTAATTTGCAAAATTACAATGACCTTTTAACAGAAGAGTGCGTTTAAATGTGGATGTTTAAAGGTCAGGTTTCCTATCCATCATTTTTTGGCAATTAATTTATTAGAGCTTTTTATAAACGTAATTAATGTGGGGCTGGTGTTCAAGTGACACTCGATTCTTGATTAATTTTAAAGCTTTAATTGTTTTCAAGTGTCGGACATAAAATCAATTTTTATATTGGAAAGGCAAGTACTTTAAGTGGATAAATGAACAAATGTGATTTAAGCTTTGAAGCTCTATTTATTTAAAGAGAGTTAGAGTGAGGTTAAAATAGGTTTGTCAATTGAAAGTATGTATATTAAAAATTAAAATTTAACCAAAATATTTAAAATATAATGATAAAGGGCAAATAACAATTAGAAACTTTTCATTTAATTCCCAAAGTCTCATAATATATTCAAAGCTTTAGCACAATAATTTCCACAGCCTGGTATTAAATTGAAATAATTCTAATCCCTTTTTTAATCATCATGATTCATGATGCACAGATTTATATTAACTTTCCTAAAATATCAGTGTAGTTTTTATTTAAAAAAGAACCAACTGAACAAATAAAATTAAAAAGTTTGCGGTTCCGGTATTCAGCCACTTGCAAATAATGAAATATTCGTTGTAAAACGACATTCGATTTGCCAACGAATTTAAAATGTTAATCAAATTTTCAATGTGGTCAGCAAATATGTACATTCATGTGAGAATCTCGTTTAACTTGCTCTTTACCACGATTCCCTGTGGACTCTGTGGTTGTAGGGAATCGGGGGGTCATGTGAACACTTTTCCTCCCGAGCACCTTCATTGCAAAGTGAATAACTTTAACTCCCGTACATGAACAGGTCGAACTGAACCGAGCTATTCTGAAGAACGTGGGCAAACGATTCATGATCCGGGGCGGAGGAGCTCCAAAGGTGACAACCAGGCGCTACCGGGAGCGGGAACGCGAATGGGAACGGGAACGGGAACCGGAGGAGCTGCAGCAGCTGGAGGAGCTAGAGCTCGAACAGGAGCAGCAGCAGGAGCTGGAGCGGGAACAGGAAGAGCAGGCTGTGCGTCAACAGCTGCTACCGTGGAAGCATTTCCCCAGCCAACTGTGGAGCTACGGATGGACCCATTCGCAGGCTCCGTACTCGGCGTTACAGTTGGCCGATTCCCTGCAACAGAAAACCACTCGACCGCAGTCACTCCCGGGTCAAAAGCTGCCCAGCTATGCGAAGAAATCCCTGAACGTGGCCGGACTAGGTCTGGGCGTCAGGGCGGTCAGGGGTCATCGGGCTGCCAACGGAAATGAAGCTGCTAACGAAACAACAAATCACGATAATGACGAGAACGAGAATGGTTATGGATCCAGCAAAAACGCAGCTGGATATGTGGACTCCCTCCTCGATGAGGATGGCGATGGGGAGGCAGGATTCGATCTCTTCGAGGAGGTAGGTCCGCCCGCCCCGTCAGGTGGAAGTGTAGGTGCTTTGGATGCAAATGAGCACCAAAGTGTTGGGTGGGACCTTCCACCCTATCGCTTTCACAAAAGTCAGCAGCATAATGTTAATTAAGTAACCGAAGATTGAGAAGCTACAGGATGCAAATGCAGATTCAGATACAGATACAGATGCAGATTCAAATAGAGATACTTGTGCAAATACACAGATAAACAGATATATTGGTACTGATATTGATATTGCCATTGATGAGGTAATACGGAGGCAGATTAGTGGTAATAGACGGTCCGGATTAAAATGTAAATTGACGGTTCCTAATGGCTGGCTGCAAGGCAGGCATGTTGTGTGTGCACATACTCCCTCGATGACAAAGAAACAAAAAAAACTAAATCATAAAACTAAAACAAGAACTTACTCCCACGTTGCTAGATGTATTCGCATTTGAATTCTATTTTATCGAAGATAACCAACCAAGGTGTATGTAACAATTTATGCTACCTCTCTCACAGTAACTGTTGAACCCCTGAAATATATACACATGAGCCCCTCCCACGAACTTTGATCCAAGACCCCACCAGCTACTATTTACACCGCAGCTATAGCAAACAAAGAACTCGTAAATGCATTTGTTTTAAATCGTAATTAATAGTGATCTGTGTGTCGTTTTAATAATTATTTTTTAACGATGGATATTTAATTAATCAGTGACATGCAACAGTTACTAACTGATTGACATTTTCGTATTTATTTATTGGTTTTTTTATGAAGTAATTAAATTTTACGCTTTATTACAGAATTAAATAATTGTTGTCTACAAACTCCGCGGGCGGAAATTTGTTTTTTCCACACTGTTGTTTGTTCAATTGTTTTTGATATTTTTTTAATTAATGAAATATACAAATGCTCAAATAGAATAGCACTCGAATATTAATATTTATAATTTATTTGCTCTACAAATTGGTCACTATTAAAAATTTACGTAGTTGATGGTTCAAGTTTTAAGATATTAAGCGAAAGAAATGGTTCCAAATCATACGAATACGATACGATACGAATAACGATTTTAAATTAGAAAAAACGCAGATCTATGTATTATCCGAGAATATACTTCAAATCCCGAGAAAATACGTCACGTGTTGTGTAAATTAGCAAGGAATTTACCAAGCAAATTAACTAACCTTTTTAATAATTACGTTCTGTACATTAATTAATTTAATGCAAAATTTATTTCTATATGTGTATGTAAATAAAGTGAATTTTTCAGAGAAAAGCTAAACTAAAATAAATGAAATTCCAACCGGAGAAATCAAACGAAACTTATATATTATATAAAATTATATGTATGTACGTATATATTATATATACTTATTAAAAAAAATAAACAAAAAACTCATGAGGCATTGGCATGACATTCAATTACAATCCGATTCCTTTCGTTCAGTAATTAAGGGCTCCTGGATCCTGGAATTATTTGCGAGTGCACAAAGCAAAGGGTTGGCGAACAAAGGTTTTTGAACTTACCTTCAATCAATATCCTGGACAATTACGTTAACAGGACGTATTGTTTTGACGTCCGCAACAGGCGAGCAGTAAAGTGTTTCAGGAATATTATTTTAAAGGGAAAATTAAACGCTCTATAGATTGGAATATAGATTTATTAAAGACTTTAACCTTGCCACTACTCCCTAGGGGTGTGTGGGTGCTTTGGGTGTGTGCTTTTTGGACCCCTCCTTACAGGATTTGTAAAAATGGATAACAGCTAATAACAGGGCTAGTGGTGTCCCCGAGTGCCAACAATTTGCCCTCGCCTTGTCCGCGCCCGAGGGCTTAATTAATAACGTTGTATTTGCGCCAGGATTACACCAAACTCGAACGTCCACCCAGTGAACGAAAAATACAAAAAACCAGATAATTATCACAGCGCCATTAGGTGCCCCACTCACGTACAATCGTTGACATGATGGCAAACAATGGCACGAACCAAAACGCCAAAAAAAAAAACGAAATACAAGTCAGGACCTGGGCCAAGACCAGGTATAGGCTGGATCTGGAACTGGGGGTTCACTTGATGTCACAGAGCAGGGCCACGCCGCGTAGGGTCCAGTGCTTGGGATTGAATTCGGTCTCGAAATCAATCGAGCCAACGTACTTTAAGTCAGTGCGTTGGGGTTTGCGGTAGATTGGACACTCGTACAGCTTCGGATCCTTGCCGGCCGTAGTGTTTATGGCGTATATATAGATGACGGGCATTTGCTCGTACAGGACTTTCATCTTCGACTCAATTAGCTTGCCACTCCGGCGATCCAGTGAAGCGCCTGAGAAAAAACAAAAACGACACACAGGTTGGTATTTACAGGTAAGAGGTGACCACCAGGGGCTTCGCCGAAGGGGGCAGTACTCTAATAGGTATTTTTTCAAAAGTTTAAAGCTAACTTGGAACACTTAAAGGTCATGTCCACACATTTCTACTTGAACATGATTTTGAATATGAATATGATATGATTTCTCACTTTCTTTAACTATTTCAAAAGGTTAAATTTAATTTTTGAAAATTTCTATAAAGCTAATATGTAACTGATTCTTTTCAAGTTTTTATAAAAAAATAAGTGGAAAATGTATTTGAACTTTAAACTTAAAGAATAGAGTATTTATTCTTCGGTTCTCTCCGAAGACAGCTATTCTCTCTGTTTCTGGTTTAAATGTAGTTACCTTCAAGGAAGAGCCCGTGCACATATACTCCCTCCGTGGGGTACTCGGTGATATCCTCCCGGTTGTATCGCGTTATTTGATTCTGCAGCACCACCGAGTCCAGGGCCCAGCCTTTGTGGGCTCGCGTCACCTCCTGGTTTTCCCGTTCATCAGTTCCCGCCGGCGATTGAGTCACAAGTGGGTTCGAGTGTTTGCCGCAAAAATATGCAAAAAAAACCGGGGCAGGGAAAAAAGAAAAGGAGGAGTCGTGTGAATAACCTTTAAGGTGCGGAATATGCCAGTGTCAGGTGCGTCAATCAATATATGGGTTTTAATGGTAATCGCCGCCGAGCCACAAAGACGGTCTAACAAAGAACTTATTTCCTTGCAGTGCTTGGCACTCGTCCTGTCTTGCCTTGAGGACTTGGTATTCATATCCCGATTGTTGCTTAATAAGCAACTATGCCACAAATAAGTGGAAATCGAAATTTGATTCATTGTGCTCACCTGTCGCATGGCCGTGAGAAACCCTTGGGGATTAAAGAAGCCCGTCATCCAGAAAACCTATTTTATGGTTAGACATTTTCATTGGCTTTAAAAATCGAAAAAAACACTATGGAGTAGACTTACTTTGGGCCGATCTGTGGATATCCATGTGCGGAACTGTCCATTCCGCTCGAGCAGCTCAGTGTACCAGAAACCTAGGGTAGTGGACTCCCAGGATATCTGCGAATGTCAAATTCAAAGGCGCTGTCAGTTTTGGTAACATTATCAAAGGTAAGAAAACTATTTATTCTTTTTTTTTTTCAAAACAATTACAGAAATTCAATTGGAAAATTTATAATTCATGTTGCTACACATGTTCTTTAGGTCATCAAACATCACCACGTTGACATCCATCGACCCATGGGGGCGACTAAACCCAGGATTGTGAGGATGAAACATGGCACTCAGTTTCTGGCCTCTTGTGATGGTGAACTCTGCAGTGTCGAAGAGTTGTCGTTTCTTCTCAAATGGAGTTAATCCCAATTCCTTCGTCGATTGAAACGAAGTCATTCGAGGGTCTGGAACCTCTCTCGAATCATCAGAATCGGAAGGGGCCTCGCTAAATCTCAAGCTACCTTGAAGAGTGCTGGATGCCCCACGAAGAAGCTCATTGGTCTCTCGCTGATTTTCGACCTTCGGAAGGGGGGTGTCGCATCTTTTGGTCTTGATGAACCCATAGGTCCGCACCCCTGTATCACTGGCTTTAAAATCGATGTCCTTATTGAGTTTGTTCATGGCGACGGTTTTGTTTTAGGATTACTTATTTCTTTAGAATATTATATATATTAGAATATTATATTATATATAGAATATATATATACAAAATATACAATGTTGCGACTTCTCGTTGCTGCGACGACTTTATATTGATTTTTTGTAAATCTTTTTTTGACTTTTATTTCCAAAAGTACTTTTACACTAAAACTTTGAATTTACACCTTTTAAAAGTATTTACCACGCTTTTCTCTTCAGGTATTGAATATGAATAGAAAAGAGGATTCCGAACGTTTTCACGCATAATTTACGAGGACGAGGACCAAAACATGAAAGGCAGGAAAAATAAATAAAATTCCGCGCACCGAAATCAACCGCAAATATTTCCATATTTTGCAATGGCATAGATTCCCTTACATACCATTAAAGCTCCTTAAATTTTAATTTAAATAGTGAAATTGTACCAACCTTCATCCATGTTTCGGGTATGCGGGCATCGTACATCGCATCTAGGGACTCTTTGAGGGCGGGACTCATCACAATGGTACCGTCTATGGCCAGTTTCAGGTCACAGAGGCAGGTGTGGACGCGCTTAATGACTCTTTGCATTCGATCGATTTCCTGCCTGTCGTTACAAAGCACCTTTTGATAACCGAACACCCATTTCACGTATTTTTCGCGACTCACCTGAGGAAGATGTTCATCGGCAGGAGGATGCCCATTCGGGTTAGGTTCTCGCGCACCTCGTAGGCATTGTACTGGGCGGGGAGCTTGCGGAGCATGTCGTCCGCCAGTTGGTAGACAATGCTCTCCCGGGTCTCGCCGCCCCCGCCACCGCCCTCCTTCGGCTGGACACTGAGGATGGTGTCGAGGATGCCTGGCGAGGAAATCAGAAATAAGCAATCAAGGATTTTGCGGGTACCATCGAATATGCTAATGCGCCAATGCCCGAGTGGGTTGGCCGCCGATTAAGGAGCCTAAGTAGAGCCCACAAATGGAGCACGAAACCCAAATATTTTCGGTTTATTGATTTCACACATGTAGGCGGATTGGGATGTCCTGGTTTTGGTTCGAATTGATTATGCAACAGGGCTTTACATTGAATTAAACTTATTGATAATTTACGAGCTCGTATTTGTGTCCATCAACGCCATGAAACTATAAATAGGGTTTTGCGGAAATTCGTCCATGTTTCATGGACCTGTGTGTTTGTGTTTCTTTCACCACTGCAGGAGTAGGTCTTCAAAAATAAATTCCTAATCCTGGAGAGCAACTCACCTTTGGCCGAGTTTATTTGGTACGTGATGTCGGCATTGGAATGCAATCCAAATACCTCCGGCGTATCGTAGGCCGGCAGACTGTTGATGTAATCGATGAAGCCCTGGAGGTTCTTCGTCCCGGGCACCTTGTAGCCCTTGTAGAACTCGAATGAGTTGGAGAGCAGCTGCTCGCAGAACCACACCGAAGTAAAGGTGGTCAGTAGGCGTTTGTCGAAGTCGTCGGTGACCCGGCCGCCGTACTGCACCTCGCCAATCATGTAGACCAGGGTCTGCCACGACACCCCCTTCTTGGGGTCCATCTCGTCCAGGTGGTTCTGGATAAACTGGACGCTGGCAGCAAAGTCGGCCTGGTTAAACTCGTAGGGTATGTTCCAGCCCAGAGGACCGAACTTGCGGCGCTCCTGGACGATGGTGTGCAAAAAGGCTACAGTGTATAGGAGCGGGGGCCATTGTGAGGCCGAAGTGTAGTCGAGGAAGTCCTGCGTAAACGACTGCTCTCCCGCAAAAAGATTGAAAAATTAATTATTAATCAGGCAGGAGACTTTATCCTATTGATATTTACTCTGAACACTCAGAGAAATATGTGTTCCTAATAAGGATATTGAGAGAATATAATCCAAAGTATATTACTAATAAAACCTGAGTGCATCACCTGATAGCTCCTTTTCAGACTGGCTCGTATCCCCTGGGGCGGCTCATTGGTAAATTTAAGAGCCATCTGCAGCAGACCAATGGGAAACTCGTTGTGCGGCTCCGTGGTCACCCACATGCGGAAGGACTCGTCTATGTACTCAGTCTCCACCAGCATGTCGATTACCTCCGAGCAGAAGGGCAGCGACAGGTGGACATTCTGTAACAGGACCCATCCGCCGACCGCCATCGACTCCATTATCATTTTCCGCGCATGGTACTCCTGGCCCTGACCCATCGACACCGATTTGAGGACTGTTGGGGTGTGGGTTTTGTCATGATATTAAATTAATTAATGAATCCAGCCGATTTGCAACACTTACTTATGCTTTTTTGTTTGGCCAGGGCGCCTATTTGGGTGGTTGGATCGGATCCGATGGAGAGAAGGCACACAAACGGTGTGCGGGGCTCCGATTCAAGCCTGCAAATGGGATTTAATTGCTTTAATATGAATTGGGAACATATTTCCCTTTAAATGGTTTAAAATATTAGGCTAAATTATTTGTTATCTTTGAAATTGGTTTTTAAATTCAAAACTTACCACATCTCCTCTAGGTCTAGGATTTGCATTTCACTATATTCGCTACCCAGGGATTCTTGAAATAAAAGTTCAAAGTTAATTCTAGAAAACTTTTTTTAGCAAAACCCACCTTCTATGTAGACCTTTGCCTGTGATATGGTACGATCGGGACACCAGGAACGAATGAGCAACAGCTTCCTGAAACTGTCCAGTAGGGCATTGTAGCCGCAGGGTATCTCCTCGTTCTCCGGCTTCTCACACTCGTACCAGGAGCGCCAGTCACGCTCGTTGAGTTCTATGACTTGAAGCACTGTGGCAAAGGTTTCCAGCTTGCTGATCTCGACCAGATTCAGCCAGGTTATGTCCAGGATCCAGCGGAAGGGCTTAGGGGTAACGGCATTCAAGTCCAGGGAAGCACCACCCTTGATGAAGGTCAGGAACTCCTCATGGCTAATGTTGCCGTTGTGATAATCAATTTTGATGGCCAGCATCAGGGTGAATAGTTGCTTGTGCCGCTCATAGAGACTCCGGTTAGTAAACTTGTAGACCTCGTAGGTGAGGTACCGCAGGATAATGTTGATGCGCTCCTCGGTAACACTGGACTTGGCAGACTTGGTGATGGAGTGGTTGAAGATGACCAGGAACTGCTTCAGAGAGTTTTGGTACATGGCGTTCACGTTACTCATTTCGACAATCAGGAAATAGAGTATGGAGCCCCTCTTGGCCACCGCCCGGAACTCCTCGCGCGCCTTCATGATCTTCCGTTCGGTGACCTCGGAGATCTTAAGCTTCTGGTTGACCTCCTCCGCCGTGGTCTTTGTCACACGCAAGACTTCGATAAGGGCTTCATCGTCCACCAAGGATCCCTGGGAAGAGCTCAGACGAAGTAGGAGATTCGCTTCCAGCTCCTTCATGTTCCTCTGATTCTGCATGACTGTCTCGAAGAGTGCCACTCGTTCCGCCTCCAGATCCGACTTCTCCATTAGGATGACCCGACCCAGAAGCTGGTCCTCCAGGCCCCGCATGGTCACCGTAAAGTCGATGATCGAGGTCTTGGCACTCACTTCGGGGCTGAATGCGGGATTCGGGAGCTTGGTGGTAATGTAGAGCATGAATCCCGGCATCACATCGCACTCCTTGTCGCCAACCAAGACCTTTTCAATGCTGCCCGATTTGATGAAGTTCTTCTCCAGGACATTGTCTATGACCGGGTCCAGATCAATGCCCACATCCTCGATGAGCAGAGGCCTTCCCAGGGACAACGAATCCTCCAGATGGGTTCGGAAATATTTGTGGTTGAGAGATGTGATTTGTAGTTCATTTTTGTCCTCCTTGCACTTGATCCAGATCTTGCCCTGGGTCTGTGGATCCACCAGCAGAGGATAACTGCTAGACTTGGTGGCTATTAGGGCGTTCTGCACGGACAGCTCGTCGTTGGGCAGACCCTGGAGGGTCCACTCGGATACGGTGGAAGAGTCCACCAGCATGTTAATGATGTTAAGGCCCGTGGTGAAGGGTATATTCTTCTGTTTGAGGATTCCCATCCAGGTCTTGATGAGATTCGCCCGAAATTCCTGGTTGTAGGGGCCACAATATGAAAGAAATCCTGTGGCCAGCAGGACATCGCCAACGAGCTTGCCCAGTTGGATCTTAAACTCCTTGCTCTGATTTGTCCACCGATGCTTCTCATCCGACAGGCCGTTGATCAAAGCCGTGGCGGCCGTCATCTTCCGGAGGCAGACATTTGCCGCGTCCGTCAGGCGCTGCTTCTCGCCCACTGCCTTGTCGTACTGATCCTTGACCGCCTGCAGGGCTTCTTCGCGTTCTCGCAGCTGCTCCTCCGCCCCAGCCAAGTCGTCCATGGCAAGCTAAAGGATTTTAATTTTTTAATTTTTTTAATACTACGTATAATTGGACTGATGTAACCTTTAGACGGGCTTCTTGCAGCGTAAGATTGGCCTTCAGGGGCAGCACTTCCTTGTTGACACTGTGGAAGAAGGACATGGCCTTTGTCCAGGACAGCAGACCAGCGACATCTCCGCACACTCGACGCGCCATATCCATATTGTAGTCCTCCATCCGGAAGTAGGGCTGGAGCAGGTCGATCATCTCGTCGTTAATGGTGTCCTTGGGATAGTTTTGGAGTTGCAGCAGGAACGTGGCGCTGGCCATCATCTGGGGAAGATGTACGAGCAAAAGTTAGTGTGATATGCCCCCCACTACACTCCCAAGACTGCAAACCAAAAGTTTTTCGCTTTTTACAATATTTTAGTTTGGTAAACTAAAGTTTAGTTTTCATAAAATACTAGAGAATTTATAGTATACTTTTGGGAGCTGTTGGCCAAAATCAATAACATTGCGGGGTAACACACAGCAGTAATCATGGTATTTGTTGATGGTTTTGCATATAAACATTTTTTATACAAGTTTTTTGGGTGAAATTTGATGTTGAATGTCAGAATGGCTTTGTAAATGGTAATCACCACCATTTTTTTCAATTTACCGTTTTTTGCAACATATAGGGTAAATAGAAAGTAAGCTCGTTTACATTTTTTTGATTTACAAATTTGAAAAACAAATCATAAAAACTAGGATCGGTTAAACAAATTACCTATAACCTGTAACCTGTAACCTGTAACCTATAACCTGTAAATTATTAAATAAGACCAGAACCCACCTTGAGAGACTCTTGCCAGGAGGGCTTGGGACACGGAGTGCCCGAGTCGGGGATACAAGGATGTAGTTTACGCTTGAAAAGGATCAGGACACAGTCCATGATCCGCATGATAAGGTGCGGCGGACGGCCCAGCTTCCGCACAGTGGCTATGTGGGCTGGTTTAATGGTGTTGAGGGCGTTCTCCGCCTCCTCGAGGGCTGGCTTGGCAGCCTCGAGCTTCTCCTCGGCCAGGGCCTTCTCCTGGGCAATGCAGGCGACCAGGGCCTCGGCCTTGTCTTTGACGATGAGCACCTGGTTCTTGACGATCTCCGCTTGCATCGCACGCTCCGTCACCTCCACTAGCACTGATTCCGCATTCTTGGAGGCTTCAACTAGCTCCTCCTCCATGACAACTAGGTCCTTCTTGAGGATCTCAACCGAGGCGGAGGCCTCTTTCAGTTTCTCCAATCCCGTATCCATCTTCTCCACACCATCTCGCAGCTCTTGCTGCTTCATCTGGTAGATGTTCTTGTAGCCGGCAATGAAGTTCAGATAAGATTTGGGTGTCACGTGCGTTGCGCGGCGGAAACGCTGGAAGTACTCCTGGGACGTTTCCGCGACAATGTCCTGAATGGAGCCGAGAGCGTTGACCAGCTCTTCCTTGACGGCCGGCGTGCACTCGATCTCGAAGTGACTCAGAAAGTGTCGGGCAACCGAGACCAAGGCGTCCTTGGGCCACGGGTGCAGCCAGTCAATGGTGCAGCCGGAGACCAAGGCGGGGAAGCGCTGCACTCGCGACCGGAAAGTCTCGCCGACGGGCGAGAAGCAGAAAGCCACGTGCAGATTGGTGCAAGTGCGCGCCAAAAAAAAGTCCATCACACTTTCCGGGGTCGCTGTTTTGCGTTGATTCTCGCGTTTCATGACCGGCGTCAGCTCCTGCACGATTTCGGCCTGCTCATCGCGCGAGAATAAATTCGATATGACGCCGCTCGAGAGTATGTTGTTTAGATACTCGAGGAAACCTTCCTCCTTGATATCCATATCCGTAAAGAGGAAGGTTGTGCCCTTGCCCTGTACGCCGCAGGTGCGGTAGAGCAGCTTTAGATCCTCCAGAAAATTGGCCACGTTGTACGAACGCGTCAACGCAATTTGGAATGTCTTGTAGCCAGCTATGAACGATGCCAATTTCGTTAGCGACTGTTTTCCAGAACCGCCGACCCCGACAAGCATGACCGATCCCCTCGGATGCCGAATGATGCGGGAGATCTTCACCAGATGCAGCATTGCATCCGGGAAGAAAACCAAATCCATTCCCGACCCTCGCACCATCTCGTTAAACTGGGCGAGGAACATGACGAGACGCTCGCGGAGCACTTCATGTGAGTGGACCGGCTCGTAGACCTTTGGGAGCTCCATATCGGTGTCCTCCCCCTCCTCGCCGGTTGGCTCGGGGGCGTCGCGCATAAAATCGACGAACACCGGATTTGGCAGGATCATTTGGGAGTGGGCGTCGCCCAGCTCCTCGCGCACGAGACATGCCAGCTCTGAGCCGAACCACTCCTTGTCCTGGAACGTGGTGAAGCGATCGGCGAATACTCGCGTGCACTCGTGCTTCCACAGCGCCATGAGGACGCTCTCGGAGGTGATCACCGTGGATAAGGTGCCAACCATGCCCTGCCAGATGCGCGACAGATCGCGCAAACTGAATACATAGTGGAATTTGGCCGGCGTGGGCAATAGTTTTTCGCGCGTGCGCTGCCACAGATGGCGGGTGACGACAATTAGTTTCTTGACGAGATTCCGTATCTCGGGCACAAAGCCACGCTTGGCGTTGTAGTGACCCTCACCGATAACGCGGAAGATCTTATCGATGGAGTCGTTGTCCGGGATGTTGCAGTTGAATACACAGAACTGTCGTTTCAATCGGGAGGGTATATCGTTGCGTCCTCCACCCGGCAGGCCCATGGCCGCCACATACTGCACATCGACAATGGTGGTGAAGTCGCCCGGCTTCTCCAGACTGTAGAAGCCCTTCATGTCCATGGACTGGCGCACAATTTCGTTGGTGATCTGATCGCCCCACTCATTGATCTCGGGCAAATTGATATCGTCGATGAAGACAATCAATTTCCGGCCACCGGGTGGCCCGAATGTAACGCCAACGCGTTTCTCCACATAACTCTCAATTGTGCGCTGAAACTGGTACGGACTGGTGGCCGATGAGAAATTGAAGGATCGGCCCATGTACGTTTCAATGTTCATCTTCTTCATGAAGTTCTTCATTATCACCGTTTTGCCGGTGCCCTGCTCGCCAATCACCATCACGGCGCGCTCCTGATTCGCAATTGTGCCAATCAAGTAGTCGATACGCACATTATCCACGATGGGCACCAGAATGCTCAAATAGTCTGGTGTGGAAAGCTCCGGATACATATAGGGGGTGACGAGCGTCTTCCACGACTGCCACACGCCCGCTGGAGAAACGAAGAAGTCAAAGATTGTGTTCTCGTGGGCACTACCCTTTGGATAGTCCAGCTGCGGGAAGGATTCCTTCACAAATAGATTCATTTTGAGGCGGTCGCTAGTGGACAGGTAACCGCCCAGACCCCAGGCGAGCGCAAAGATGTACAAGCGGTGCAAGTGTTCTGGGGTGCAGGTGTCCTCCTTTTCCTCGATCGAGGTTTCGGCAGGAATATCCTCTGTCGGAAGCAAGGAATACAAATTATTAATTAGTAACATGACTTACCTAAAAAGTTTTTACATAAAAGTATGCCACAGAAGTCTTTTATGGATTTTGTAAGGGAATTTAAATCCAAAAAGTTTCAAACCAGATTAGTTTCTGAATTTCCAATACAAACTTAAGGGGGAATATGCACCTAGACCTTTTCAAAAATTCTAATTTTTCTTCTATGCATCATATTATATATTTTAGAAAACTATAAGCTTAGTGCTTGCTGTGGATTTTTGAAAAATGTATAGGTTTCTACCAAATTTGTACCAAAAAATCATCCAAAAAGTAGCCAGCTTACATTATATTGATTCCTAATACTTTTAAAATCATAGATAGGCGGATTATTTATACAAAATTATAAAAACATAGAACCCGCACTTATTTCTATTAAACTTTATCTAAACATTTAAAATAATTTTTAACAAATAAATATTAAAGGCACTACTTAGTAAGAAATTGTAAAAAGCAAAAAAAATATTAAAAAATTTATTCTAATTCAAACTTAACAAATATTAATTGTGCTCTACATGTGTTTAAGAAACCCATACCTAGAATTACACCCAATTGTTTAAGAATAAATATAAAAATAGATTTTTTGTATATATCCTAGTTGGATACTCCCTCTTATGAGGCCTTTAAATGAAAATGTTTGAAATTGTTGAAATTTAGAAAGTGATGGGAAACAAGGATAGGGTAGGACTCTACTAAACTAAGGGATCAAGAACATACATATATGTGAGATCTTTTCCGTTCAAGCTTCCAATCAAAGACTTCTGTGACACCTCTAAATAATATTAGTAAATAATAAGGCTTGGACGAGACACACAACTATGGGTTAATACAAGTAAAGTACATGGCTAACAAGTAAAAGGACAATCACGAGGACATACACAGAATCACAACTACGAAAAGAACAGTATGGTAAAAGATCAATCGGTTAGAAACCAAACCAAATCGGTTCGAATTCCAACTGAATGTTATAGACGACTATATACACACAGAAGCAGATTTCGTGTCAGCTAGGCAGTTAGCTCTACGATTAGATTTTTATTTTTGGTTTTAATTACGCAACGTAATAAGTAATTACGGGTATACTTTACCGACAATCTGACTGCCAATCGATTGCCGTCGCGCCTCTTCGATTTGTTTTTGATGCTCTAAACGTTTATTTGCTGAAAAGTTTTTAATAATTTTGTATGTTTTTTTGTTCTTTGGTTGTGGGTTCGTCTAAAATTTTTTTCTTTTGCGAACCGCTAGCTTTTTGGGGGATTGGAAATCGATTAGGTTTCGGTTAATGGCACTTACCATCGTGGCTCTCCTTGCTGGAGAGGCTCACGGCCTGCTCGTCTTCTTTTTTGACGGGTATCAGGCCCTCAAGGATGTACAGCATCTGCTGCACAATATTACATTGCAGAACTGGCATCTGGAGCTTCACCATTTGAACGCCCCAGTTGTAGACCTCCACGAAGGTCTGATCGAATAGATCCGAGAAGGTAGACTTTTCGCCAGGGGCTCGGTTTTTAAGCCAGGCTTGGACAACTGAAATGTGAAATAAAATAATAAAGAATTACATAATATTCCTGTTTGAATATTTACTTGGCCTAGAGTCCAGACCGGAGGAGCTCATGTACACCATTCCGTTACGGGACACTGTAGCAGGAGAGGCATTGTCGATGTTGTGCGGCTCGAATATGATTTTGACTGAGGGCGCCATGGTCAGACGATCGCCGTTGGCCAGTGTTAGGGTCTTGTTGTCGTCCAACACCGAGTTCAGATTCTCTATCCAAATACTGTCCACGGGCCCATCCAGTACTAACCAGACATGCTCGCCAGCTTTCAGCTTGAGCGTCTTGCGCCAGAGTGCCGAGAAAATTCCGTCGGTCCAGTCATTGGTGGCCACATCGAGCCGTCCGAACATCTGAGCCGCCGTGATCGCCTTTGGGTTCATCCGCATCTCCCGATGGTTGTCGCCCATCTGGGTCATGGCCTTCATCAGCGTGTGAATGCAGGTAGTCTTTCCCGCTCCGCTCGGCCCCAGAGTCATGATTCCGTGCCGCACGTTCTGCGTCTCGTACAGCTGGATAAGTTTCAGGACCCAGGGGGGATGATACACCAGGCTGGCTTCATCCGTTTGCTGCAGGATGGCAGCCTCCAGTTCCGGGTAATTGGTCTTCTCTAGAGTCTGGATATAAAAATGGATTGAATGAATTATTCATAACCAGGATGTAGATGAAAGATTTTCTAAAGAACAGGGTCAGGGAACAGGTTTAAACAGGGTCACGGGTCGTATGAGTAATATGCCAATACATATAATACTTATACCGCTAAAGATTTGGATGGTTATTGCTCTTTAAAAATATATATACCTGATTGGGAAACAAGTCCGATACCAAGGACATGAATAATGGCTCATCATCATCGATCAGCTTGGAGAGATTCATGTCTCGCAGGACTCTCATGACTATGGTGCTTTCAGTGTCTTTGGAATTGCGTCGCTTGGCAGCTCCCAGGGTTCGCAGGACCGAAAGGATATTCCTCAACCCAAAATCGTAGTGCACTTGTTTGGTTAACTGCTCTTCGCATAGCTTGTACAGAGTGTAGAACTTTCGAGCCAGGGTTATGTTCTCCAAAAACCCACAACTGGCCAGCTTGACACGGATAATGATTTGTCTGTCTGGCACCATCATGGCCACTGTGCGGAACTGGATTTTCAAGTTCTCCGGCAACTCTTTGCGACCTGCATATCCGGGATTCTAAAGAGAATTTTGAATGTGTGTATAGTATCTATATTAAGGCCTTTTAAATCGTATATGAATACATTTTCATAGTAACGGAACAAAAGATAATGTATTAATTTAGATAGAATTTAAATCCAATTAACTGTTAGAAGGAAGTTTAAGAAAAGATTAATGATTTAGTAAAGTAAGAAATATGTCTAAAATATACTATATTATAAGAAATACGAAATATACTATTTTTACTAATTATGGAAGCGCTAGAACGAAAATCCCTCCCTTAAAGTTTGTGTTTCAAAGTCCTTAAAGCATTTGTAGCTAGAACATCTATATTTAGGTTTAGTCCTAGTCTAGTTTGGTTTACATTTCCACAATGAATATTGACCTTCCCACTTAGCTGTGTAGGCAGAAACCCCCTCGGAATGGCAAATAAGTTTCGTCTAGTTTATTTGCATTCGAGGAACAACTGGCGCTATTAACTTGGCCCAAAGATACACAGGTCAGGAACAATTTGGATGGATGCCACAACCGAACCGGATAACCACAACAAAGGGTTCCCCCATTTGAATCGTCGAGTCGAGTTGACAGTCGGCGTCCATTTGTCTATGTCCGTAGTCCGTAATTCGGGCTGTGACATAATGGCTCATTAAAATAAAATGCTCCGGCTAAAATGTTACATAAATGAGCATAATAACTCAATGTGCAAATTAAAATTGAGCCAAAGCCTTCAAAGGATCATGCCGGGAATTGGATTGAAAGGGGCGGCTCGGGATGTGGATGTGGATGAGGGTGGTGGTGGGAGAAGGAGTAGAAGTGGCTCTGATTGACATACGCCATTATGTCGCCGTGTTAGCAGTAATCGCATTACCCGATCATAGTTGCCGTCGTATGTAATTAAACTACAGAAACTTTCTCCCTTAAATAGCTCCCAACGGTGGCAAGTTTTATTTTAGCTCTTTAAGAGTGGGTCTCTGAATTCCGGAATCCGGTTTGGAGTGTGTCTGGATGGAGGATGAAGAAAGGGAGTTTGACCTCCCATGTGGCAGCCACATTAATCGAGTCAAGCAGCCGCCAAAATGTAAATACAAGCCTCGAGACTCAACTCAACTCCTTTCCCCGCCTTTAATGTCCTTGTTTGCCTTTCCCCTCCTGGCTGGGTTATTGGTTTTTCGGCTGCTTTTAGCCACGACGCGTATGCCGTATGTGCCAGCAAATTTTATTACGGCTCAAGTTGAGAAAAATTGTACATGACTAATAACGTTGAATTATGTGCGTAAAGCGCCTGTCACTTCCATTTTGGGGGGAAATTTAAATGGGCGCCATCGATTGGAGCCCAGAGAGTGTGTTTCCAGAGTGTCTACGACTGGGATTACACTACCCTTTCGTGGCTAAAAATAATCTCAACACACCATCTTGAATTATTTTCAACTTTAAAGCTGTGGGTGCTTTAAATTGTTGTATTTCAGGTAGCATCTGTTTTGGGTAATAAGGGTGTAAAACATGTGTATATTACAGATGACTTACTTTCACATTATTCTCCGGGAAATTTAATCGAAAATATATTGAAGCGTGGGTGCTGCTATTTAAAAACATGACTTTGTGCCACTAAGTGAAATGTTTCCGGTTAATGGGCGTATGTTACCATTGTTATGAAGATTCCAAACTCGGGATTCATTTCGATGGTGTCGCCATCGGTGAAGAGGAATGTTTTGCGCTTCTCCTTTTTGGCGGTAAGGACAACGGCCACTTGTTGGGCGGCCACAGAGAGGACCGGAAGTTCGATGCGGTTGAACTCATCGAAGCATCCCCAGCTGCCGGACTGGGCCAGGCCTTTGTAGATTCTTCCAAGGCCTCTGTGGAATACATGTTATAGATGGGTCAGATTGGAGTTGAATTCGAATAATTAATACTCATGGTATTTGAATTCTAAAAATACATATTATAATTTTTAAGAAAATCTATATTATTACCTGTAATCCATTTGATCGGAGCAATTGAAAACCACCACGTATTTGGCCAAAGTTTTGCCCATATCCTTGACAGTTTCCGTCTTGCCAGTTCCTGCTGGCCCGCATGGAGCTCCGCCCATGGATAGGGTTAGAGCCTGGGCTAGAGTAATGTAACATCTGGAAAGGAAGAAGTTCAAACAGAACGTATAAAAAAAAAACATAGACTTATATGAGCATGCCGCGGCCTATTAAACGTCACCACCACAAAAAATGAAAATAAATAAAAAATAGACGGAGAAGTAAAAGTAAATAATAAATATACACGCTTTTAAATATCAAAAGCAGTCCGTGGCAGGGCTCCTAATGTTCACTGACGTCAGGAAAGGACGATGAGTGGGAAATCTAAGAGCCGAGATCAACAAACGAATGCAAAGCAGCTGCCAGAGATGCCTTTTGGGAAAATAGCGCCACTTTGCAGCTCGCAAGGCAACAGCTTCCCCCAGTCTGGGCCAACTGGCTGCTGTCAAAACTTTATTTATGCTCCGCTAAGTGAAATTTATCTTTACGGGCATGTCAACGTCGCCGCCGAATGTCTTCCGTTCCAGCGTTAGTTCATCTTGGCTGAGAACAGCCGTGTCTAAGGATTCCACAGAGCTCCTATCGCCTCCACTGCCTTTAAGCACATCTCCCTTAAAGTGCTCCTAACCATTTGCTGCCGCTTGTTTACAGAGCGGAATTCCAAGGTGGACTGCCAGAGGATGTGCAGGAGGAATCCAAGGAGCACGTGCAGGCAGGCTTCCAGCTGCGGAATGTGTGGTATTCGAAACTTTATCATTTGAAAAGCGGACAACTCTGCCAGAATAATGCGGGGCATACAAATTAAATGGGTACTTCAGCATGTATTGATGGTTATTATTATGGAGTTTATGGTGGGGAATTCTGGATGCTGGGAACCGGCATGTGAAAATATGTTTCATCTGGGCAACGTGGCGTATGAGTGATTTTTGTGTGGGCAACCACGAATTACAGTTGCTTATAAGCTTATGTTCTTTCATTTTTGTTACATAATATAAAAAAAAGCTTAGAAATTTTTATAAAAAAACAAGAAAGGAAAGCTAACTTCGGGCGGAGCCGAAGTTTATATACCCTTGCAGTTAAAACCGGATATATATCGCAAACATCGGATATAGTTGGCCGATCCTTATGGGAATAGGAATATATAATCCAATTTATTTCAATACAAAATCTAAAAAAAAGTCCCAAACTTCTATCTTCAAAAATACGAAAGTTGATATTTCTACCAAATACCATTTCCGATCGTTCAGTTATATGGCAGCTATGGGATATAGTCGGCCGATCCTAATGAAATTTGGTAGATTGGATCAACTGGCCAAAAATATAATCTGTATTCAGTTTTAGCTTTCTATCTTCAAAAACACGAAAGTTGGGTCATTTCCGATCGTTCAGTTATATGGCAGCTATAGGATATAGTCGGCCGATCCTTATGAAATTTGGCATGTCGTAATGTTTTGCCAAAAAATGCTCTCATGTTAAATTTGAACTCTCTAACTTTAAAAACGTCAAAGTTATACCATTTCCGATCAATCAGTTATATGGCAGCTATAGGATATAGTCGGCCGATCCGGGCCGTTCCGACTTATATACTGCGTGCAAAGGAAAGAAGGGTGTGTGCAAAGTTTCAAGACGATAGCTTTAAAACTGAGAGACTAGTTCGCGTAGAAACAGACAGACAGACGGACAGACAGACGGACAGACGGACAGACGGACAGACGGACAGACGGACAGACGGACATGCTCATATCAACTCAGGAGGTGATCCTGATCAAGAATATATATACTTTATAGGGTCGGAGATGTCTCCTTCACTGCGTTGCACACTTTTGACCAAAATTATAATACCCTCTGCAAGGGTATAATGAAAGAGAAAACCTTTAGAAGATTTAATTCTTTTGAGTTTATAATTTGGGCCATAAATTTGTCTTATGGGTGCTATTTGTAGAATAAGTGTGATCTAAGATTTATCATTTAATGACTATCTACAATAAATATACTTAATGTTTATATGTTACCGATCTGTTAGAGGTGTTATCACCAAACGATCTGTACAACCCAGATATTCGTTTTGATAGGTAAAGGTTACATCCGTGACTGATATCCAAGTTTTATCCAGATCTTCTTTGAAGTAAAAACGGCATTGTTTCAGCCATTCAAAATCATTGGCTGATTTTATGTTCATGCGACACTGGACACAAATAATATGGAATTTAATATTATTAAGTTGGTTCATACAGTTGCGGCAAAAATAATAGCACTGAGATTCACAATTTTCTATAATGCATTACAAATTATGTTTTTCTTTGAAATTGTATTGATTATTTTATTTTACAGTATAGGCTTACATGTTATCTCGATGAGAGAAGTGAATTAAATCTCAATTAGCCATCGGTTTTTTATATATTGGGCATTTTAGCAAGTAAGATGCAAAAGAGAGCGGCAACAAAAATAGCACCAATAACAGTTTTGATCAAATCTTTCAATTTTTTTGAATCTTTTTGATGTTTTTAGTTACTGATTACATTAGAGAGCATTGCAGTAACAGAGTTCTTACGAATTAGATCCAAAAAAAAATAAATATGGGTCGCGAAAGGGACTGTAATGACGGCCAAAGGATAATCATTTAAAAACTTATTGAGGAAGACAACATCTATGCTCAGGTGGCGAGAATTGTCGGTTTCTTAAATAATATGATTAGCAACGCATTAAAATATGTTCCTAAGGCAGAAAGCCGCGGTAGAAAGGTCGCCATGTCGAAATTGCAGGTCAACCGACTGGTTCGTTTGAGCAAGGAGTCGCCCTTTAATCCGGCTACTGAGCTAAAAATGGAGCTAAATATTTCGGCATCAATTAGAACTGTTCGAAATTGCTTTAAAAAAAACGATTTAAGTCCCCACAGCCCCAGAAAAGTTTCCCTTTGGAGTGTGAAGCATGGGGCAAGTTGGATTTCGTTTGCCAAAGAACATCCGAATTGGCCGGCAGAAAAATGGAGAAATATTTTTTGGTCCGATGAAAGCAAAATCGTTCAATTTTTAGAAAAAGGATCTCGTTTATATGTAAGGCGACCCCAATTTTTGAAATACCGTCCCAGCTTTACGTACAATACCATTAAACCCGGTGGAACCAGTATTATGGTTTGGGCATGCTTCTCGTATTACGGAGTTGGTCCCAATATGGTATAATGGATCGACTCGTATACTCCGAAACCTTGAATAACGTCATGCTGCCTTATGCTGAGGATGAAATGCAATTGTTATGGGTCTTCCAACAGGATAATGACCCAAAGCATACCAGCAATAAAGCTCCAAAGTGGTAAGAAGACAAATCTCTCCATGTAATGAATTCGCCAGCTCAGTCCCCAGACCTAAATCCTATAGAAAATCTGTGGTCTGATGTGAATAAATTTGATTCAAATACAAATCCAAAAAATAATAAGGAGTTTTGAGCTTTCTGTCAAGGAGTCTTGGAGCAATATCCCACTGGAAAGGGGCCAAAGATTGGTAAATTCAATGCCGAGACATTGTGAAGCTGTCATTTCTGCCAAAGGCTTTAAAACAAATTATTAATGCATTTTTTAGATAAAGATTACAATCTAAAATAATAATTTAAATAATTTCTGGTTGATTCCAAGTTTTTTTTAAATTTTTTATGTTTTCAAAAAAATAGTGATATTTTTGTTGCCGCGTCAAATGCTCAAATTTATCATTCTTACTTAAAAATTTTCTAAAGTTTGTTAAAATTGAAGTCGAATTCGCTCTATTTTGTTTAATTATAACCTAATGTTTATAAAAACTCCATTAAGAAGCCAAAAAAACAAATAGTTTCCAAAAAATATTTCAAAAAAGAAAATTGTGCATCTCAGTGCTATTTTTTTTGCCGCAGCTGTACATTTCATACATATTTAGGGAATACTTGATTACCCACCAAAATATCAAAAATATCACGTTGATGCACATGAATTGTAATCAAAGTCTCGAAGTTAGTTCTTTCCCGTTTGGAAAGATTTCGAGTTGTCTGGTCGATGAGGGTATTCAATATTTCAAGGAATTTGTTGTTAGTTTCCTGCATTCCCTTCCTTAAAGATTTATATAAGTATTAGAAGGTTATTAGTTCTTGGAAATTATTAGTTGAAGAAATAAATTGTTTTTTTTTTAAGGGGTCTTGCATTATGAATGAAAGTGTCATAAAGCCTAATCTATTTTAATATATGTCTCAAATATATACTTTCCATAGTATTGAATATGAAATTATTTAAATAATTATCTTGTAATACGGCATTTATTATTATTATGAAGCTACTAAGTATTTAAAGCTTTATAACACTTTAGAAAGTTGCAAGAACCCTAACCTTCCGGCAGCATTTCTGGCCTGGAGCAGGGCCATTTCCGCATCTCTTGTCCACACCATCTGGATGCCCAGCAGGCCGATCTGGGCCGGAACCTTCTCCAGGAAGCTGAGCAGGGTAAAGTTCGGATCGTTGATTGTGGCGTAGGCGGTGCGGATGATCGAATGCAGCGACTGTTGGGCGGTGACCAGGAGTTGGGTAAGCCATGTCTCCACCGATCCCTCGGCACGGATGGCCCGGTCCAGCTGAATCATTTCACCCTCGCTGGAGATAATTGCCATCATCTTGTTGTACTCGACGTCATGGAACTTGACGCTCTTGGTGTTGTCGAAGATGTTGAGGAGGTGGTTTTGTATGGTGTGCGAATCGGAAGCCTGCCCCAGTATTTCTAGCAGGGCAGGATCTGACACAAAGAAGAAACGTGGAAACATCATGCGCTTGCGCTCCAAGTAACCACTCAAGGATTTCTGACAAATCTCCAGCTGCTCCTGCAGGTGGGGCAGCAGTTGCTTGAGAAGATCGTCACCGACACAACAGGCCACAACACCGGGGGTCTCGTGGGCCCGTTGCATGATCTTTTGCCAGGATTTGTCGATCTTGGAAAACCTTTTCGCCTCCTTAGGCAGTTGCTTCGCGATATCGCCACCAACAAAAACGGCCTCGAGATAGACCCACATATTCTGGACGAGAAGCCAGCGCTCCAGGATCTCGTTTGAATTAGACAGATCGTAGACCCACTGTTGGATCTGCTTCCGGAAGGGGGCGTTGTATCGATTGGACAGCAGGGAGCCGAGCACCATCAAGCTATCCTCCAGCTGGCCAATTGTCTCCGCGGTGGTGTCGCCTCGCAGGAGAAGCTCCCCCCGGTTGTTGAAGCTCATGAACTGGAGCTCGTGCACGGACCACTCGTTGGTGACCTGCTTGAGCTTCGCCTCGATGTCCTTCTCCTTCATCGCACTGATGCAAATGTCCTCGATGTCCTCCTTGTGCTTCAGCAGCGGCGCCTCCAATATGTTCTTGAGCGAGAAACCCTCCGAGTCGAACTCGAAGATGTAGCGAGTAACATCCATGATTCGTTGCCAATGACGTGGCTTCATGGCTTTATTCGCCATCAACTCCAGTAGCGGACACATGTCGTTGAAGTCGTCGATGGTCTTCTTCAGAGCATGGAAGGCCGGCCACTCCTTGAGACCCTTGGGCAGCTTGCGGCACCGGTTCTGGAACTCCATCAGCTCATTGTTGATCTCCTCGATGTCCACCTCGTTCCAGGGTATGTCGTAGTAGCTGCTCACCCTGTCGATGACATCGTTGTACAGCTTGTACAGTTTCTGCAGCAGATTCAGCTCCTTGCGGATCTGGCCGAGCTCTGGATAGTCCGTCTGGGGCAGCCCGAAGAGTTCCTCGCCACTTTGGTACGTCTGTAGGCGTCGCCACATGCCCTCGAAGCGGTTTTGGAACAGGATCAGCCGGTCGGAGGCCTCTCTGGGCGTCAGCCCGGCCTGCATGGGACCGGCAGTGCGATATTCGGTCACGTAAGAGATCTTGTCTTGCTTAAAGTTGTCCAGGTTGGTGCGCAGGTCGTCCTGGAAAGCAGGCTGCATGTCCAGCAGCTTCACCTGCGCCTGCAGGGCTCCAGCCAACAGATTCTGGAACGTGGCCCTTAAATTATCAACCAAATCGAACTGTTCCCGCTCAACTTGAACTTCGTAGCGTGTCAGGACATTGAAGGCTTCCTGAATGGTTATAAGTTATTGGAGTACGGAATGAAGTTTGAAAAATACTAAGTATGTTAAAAAATCCTTTAAAAAAGGTTATTTTACGAAAGAGGCTTTAATTTTTTAATTACCCCTCTTAATAAAAGTAAAATTAAAAACCCCAGTCTCCTACAGGATATCTTACCTCTATGGGATCAATCCTTAGCTCCATGTCCACTTCCTGTTCTCGAATCTTACCCAAGGTCTCCATTATCATTCGAACGTCATCGAGGTCACGTATCGGCCTGTCCAACTTACGATCCATCTCGTTGATTACCGCATAAACGTAGTCCATTTCCTTCTTGTATTTCTTCTTCATCGCCTGCCCGATTTTGTGGTTGCAGGCTGAAAATAGAAACGATGTAAAGTGTTTAAGCGCCCAATTCCAATCCTGTCCGAGTCCGAGTCCGGATCCGAGGTCCGAGTCCATATTAACGAAGCTCAATGCTATCGATGTCATTAATCAAAGCAAGGCCAAGGGCTAATTTGTTTTCACCCGGCCACATCCTGCGGCGTCTCTGGCAGGCTCCAGGACTGCCCCGAGGACACCAGGCCGCCAAGCTCTTTAGCTCCCCGGCCAATCAATTGTGTGTGCGGGGGAATTTATTTTTGGGGCTGCCTGGTGTCTGTGCTCTGTGCTAATTCGGTTAGGCAAATTAGATTACCTAATTGGAGTCCAATCAATTTGAATAGCCCTTCATTCGTTCGAACAAAAGAATTCGCGAGGGTGTTAATATTTATGGCTGATTAGCGTACAGGACGGGCAGCCGCCTGTTTGCTGAATAAATAGATTTGACCATAACTATGGTTTATTCAAGAGCTTAGTGTTGGTGTTTTGAAAGTGTATTTTATGACTTTACCTCTTTAAAAGTTAGTATTTTGGATTTTCAAAATTATAAGAAGCATTTTCAGATTTTTGTGACGAAGAAACCATAAAGAAAATATAATTATAATATTAATAATAAAGGCAAAGCATAAATTTGTTTAAAGAATTCAAATATTTAAGGTTTTATATTATGTAGTTTTCATCGCTGTTGAAAGAAATATGTAAGTATTCGAATTCTGCCGAATATGTTCTTCTTGCAACCGAAATTCCGATACTGAGTATCATTAGGATTTTCTTTCTGTGTAGTTTTTGGCATTTAAAATTTAAAAAATAGATACATATGTAGTTGAAATGTTAAGCCTACCTCACGGGAAGAACTTACACTTGATCTCAATGGCCAAACCATACTTGAGCCTTTCATTGTACACCGCCACGCATTGGCCGAAGACCTCCATGTCGGGCTCCACGAGAAGGTTGGCGTCCAGGTCGGAGAGGCAGCGCAGGGTGGTCTCGAACTCCTGGAGGCCGAATTCCATCAACTGGCGGGTAGTGCGGTCGTTCTTCCAGAGGAAGTGGTACGGCTTCCAGCGCTTAATGTACGTCTGGATCTCGGGCTTGACGTTCTTGGTGCAGCTGGAGAGCTGGTTGACCGCTTTGGCTACCTCCTTGTTGTCCATAATGGCCGAGTAGAAGCTCTTGAGCATGTGGGGCATCTGGGGCCGCTCCTCGGAGGCCAGGCAGTAGATCTTGCGCCGCCGGCTCTTGTTGCCGCCTCCACCGCCTACGCCTCCGCCACCGCCGCCGCCGCCAGCGCCCTCGGTGTTGTTGTGGTTGCGTCCGACGCGCGGCTGCGACACCGTCATCGAAACTTGCTGCGGTTGGTAAGACAAGATTTTGGAGAACATTGCGAAGCTATTCAGTGGCCCTGTACGCACCGGCGGATCTTTGCCGCTGCTCCACTGCGCCACGCCCTTCGCAATGCCCGTGATATTCTTGCCCGCCGTCACCAATATGTCCTGCAGCTCGTCCAGATTCGGCTTGATGACCACTTGCGGTATCTGCAGCTGCGCGTGCAGCGCGAAGATTGGCTTCTTGGACACCGTCTCGTTCTCGTCGGCGATGAACCGACGGCGGAGTGTGTCCAGAGCGGCCCGGATCACCTTGATGAGCACGTCGATCACCTTGCGGCTGTAGTAGCGCCGCATCTCCACCACTGCGTTGCAGACCATGTCCTGAAAAAATTATAAATTTTTCAATAATTTTGATCGCAAAAAAAATGTAATTATAATTGTGTACTCAAGGTGGTAAAAGCTTTGAATTTTGATTTAATAAAGATAAAATAGTCATTAATAATTTATTTAATATTTATAAGTTAATCTCCAAATACCAAGGCCATATTAAGGATCATTCTTTGACATTAAAATGACTAAATGATTAAATTAGAAACAAGATTGGACAGTAATTGAATTTGTTTATGCCACAAGTCATTTCCTGTGTCATGTCTTTGAGTTTTTCAATTAATTTTCGTTCTCCTTACCTGCATGCCCTTGGGTAGACTTTCTGTAGTGGACAGCAGGGAGAGCGGATTCTCGAAACATGACCACAAGATGCTCCAGTCCTGTTGCTGTCCACTACCGCCAGTTGCAGCCGGAGCAGCAGCTCCTCCGCCGCCGTCATCCGGTTTATTTCCGCCCGAACCACCCTCTCCCTTTGGAGTGGCAGCTACTCATTGGGGGCACTAGATTAGTTTTTCTCTGACTTGGATAAGGACTAACATTACCATCAAACAGAGTAATTACATCATCGCCAGCTAGCTCTTTGAAGGCAGCGGTTGCTTTGTCCACCAAACTAAGGACCTCCTCCACAGCCTCAGAAACCATTTGACTTTTTCGGTTTAGATCTATGGCTGCTTTTCTGAAATAGTGAAAGTATTAAATCAAATTACTAGGTCAAAGTACTGGGTTTTTTGTAATTAATGCTCAAAGCGAAATAAATTAAATTTGATAAGCCCCATAAATAAAGCCAAATAGGTACTAGACTCAAGCACAGACTTTTAAAAGTTTTCCCTTCCCACAAACAAAGCAAAGTCGCATCCGCAGCATTTAGGAAGCTGAGAGTATAATGAATTTTGTTAGCACATGTCACAGCCAGGCTCACCGGCAGGCCTCCTCACTCCGCTCCAGAAACTCGTCAACTGTCCAGATTTCATCGTCTGCCCAAAAAACAAATGTGAAAAGTTTCCACCAGCACACATAAAAATTAGACGAGATGTGAATAAATTTCAAGAGAGTCGAGCAGTCAACCCACCTGCTGGTAGAATTTGTAGGGAGACGTCTTGCATCCACATCAGGACATGGAGGATGCGATTGGAGTAAATGTCATGTACACGAGCAACCAGTACTTCAAAGTTTTCGATGGCCTGCTTGCAGCGTTCGTAGAACTCGGTCCAGTTTTGGTTAGTCCACTGGGAAAAATAAGTTAATGGTTAAGGAGGGCAAAAAGACAAAGGACCCTTATTTCGACTCACATTAATGGTGTGAAGTCCTGGCTTCAGCATCGCTGTAAGACGAACCAACTGCGGAAGGAATAAAGGACGAACCTCCAGCTTCACAGCTCGGACCGTGGACAGGAACATTTTGATCAAACACTAAATAACGGAAGTAATAATGGATATCAAAGATCAAGAGAAAACTAAATTATAGTCTAACATTTAGGGAATCCTGGATGGTGATGAAATATTGCTGGCGACTCATTAGCGTGGCCGCCACAATGGGCAACTCAATGTCCAGCTTGGCCAGCATTTTGGCCTCCCGGATGAGCAGCGGGATGGTGGGATGCAGGTTGACGAACAACTTATCCCCCTGAAGACTCAGCAGTGGTTGCAGAAGGCAGGCATCGGCCACGCTGACGTCCTGGTCCAGCCATATGGAGACGATCTCATCCTCGTACTCCTGGAGGACGCCCAGAACATTGTGGTAGCGCACATCCAGATCCCTGGCCATGGGCAGATTACTCAGCACTGGATGATCCATCACGGCATCCATGAGCTCCGTGATGTGCAGGCTCAAGGCCCGACACCAATGGACTCGGCCGGCGATTGGCGGAAAGTTCCTCGCCAAGGGTGGATCGTCACGCTGCTTGCGGAAGGTCTTCAGGATGCGATCCACCTCCTTCTCCACATAGCGCAGAATCCGTGTGTACTTCTCATCCATCTGGGTCAGAGGAATCTTCTCGCTGACCTTCTCGAAGCGCACCAGGAACCGGATGCACTGCGGCGTCTCCCACACGGTGTCAAAGTCCTTTTCAATCAAAGTGGCAATCGTGTCCTTGAGTGAGTTGGTTTTGTGAATAAACCTCTCAAAGTCGTCATTGAAATCGGAGTTGCGATGATCCAGATAGTCGTACTTTCTTGAGGTGACCTCCTTTTTGGCCTCCTCGAAGTGATTGGAGGCATCCTCCAGAGCTTCGCCCAATAGGAGTCCTTCCAGCCTTCTTTCAAACAAATGGTTGTAATCGTCAATTAAATTGAACATACTTATGATTTTGGCAAGGCGTTCGCAAAATGTATCGAATTTACCTAAAACATTTATTATTTTTTTGATTTAATTATTTTAAATTAATGTATTAAAACTTACCAAAAACAAAGTTTTCAGAAAAGCCAAAAGGAGTCTGGTTTGGAAGGAAGGGCTGCTCTCTAACCGTGTAATAGGTTTCGTGGTAGATGTGATTTAATTTGATGCAGTTGCTCAACTTTGTGCGAATTAAGTTTCGATCCTGGGACCAAATAGTTTCCTTGCAGCGACAGGTGATGTAGGATTTGCAGGTTTCTATCATTTGGTTGGTTATCTATAAAAAAAATAAAATATGAAAATTAAAACTAATATTTTATTTTATTAGGTATAGTTCATTGACACTCATCGACCCAACAAGTAAGAAGTATTTTAATCTCCAGCAGGGTAAGAAAACAATTCCGCAAAGCAAATATAACAAGTTTACAGTTCAAATCCTAAAGCTTTTCCTTAAGCCGGACCACGTGCATTTTAGCCCTGAACTATTGAACCCTCAAGGTCAGTATACCCTGATGGCAGAAACACCTAGTTGGGCGGACGACAGTGAAAGTGTCTACCCCCAAAGTCAATACAGCAAACTGGAAATGGAAAATTGGTTTTGCGGACATGAAATAAAATAAAACTAAACCACCAAAACCATATTATTGCTTTAAATTGTATAGCATATGGTAGAATACTTGTTTAATTAATCAGAAATCCCATTTTGTTTAAGATTTTATTCCTATTTTTTACTCACCTTGACCATAAGGGCGGATGTCCTTTCCGATGTGTTATAGAACTGAGAGACACTGTATATAAGCCGCACTGTTTGCAACAGGCTGAGAATGGACTCCTTCATGCTAACAGGATCGTCCAGGTACAGGGAATGGCAGCACGTCTCCATGGCTTGGATAAACTTTGAGTTATCTCGTGCCTCGTTATAGCAGAAGGTTATCTTCCGGTCGGTCTCCTTCCACTGCTTGATGATACGAGAGCCGGCCAGGAAGAGGCAATGCAGGGTGAACTGCACTTCTTTGTCTTGCAAGTGAGCCAGGAGCTGGGAGAACTGGGCACCGCGCTTCTTCCAATACTCCAGTTCGTCCTGTGGGCCACTATGGTCGTTCTCCTTGCGCAGCTGCTCACTTTCGCCCAAAATCTTTAGTATGCCTTTTGTCCAGTTGTTAACCCGCTCCTCGAGTTGGGTGCAAAAGTCCTGGTTCTTGGACATGTCCTTGACTTCATCCACTTCGTCAATCTTCTCGAACATGTCGCATCCGTCAGCGAAGACGTTGTCGTGATCGCACACCTGCTCACAAACTCGCAGGGCACTACAAAAGGACCTCAATCCCGGCAAGAGCTGACCTTTGATGAGACCGCAGCTCACGTCCTCCTCGTCGCACTCCAGACTGGGAAAGGCCAGGGCCTGCATGAACACAAACTCCACAATTCGCTCGATAGAGGTCACCAGGCCAATGTTCTTTGCGTCAATCACGCCGCAGTACCTACCAGAAATAGAATCGACTGAAAAGGACTCTCATTTTTAGAGAAGCAATTTTTTCTTACAAATCCTTTTGGAAGCCCTCCTCCGGGAGCTGTTTGGATGTGTTTACTCGGAAAATGTAAATACACACGCCGGTGAAGGCACAAGTCCAGCCATCGGTCAGAAATAGTTTCTTGTGCTTGGGTGGAGGCATGCCACTAGGTGAGGCACCACCTGAATAAGGAAAATGGATTACAAGGTTAAGGATTTTTAAGGTAAGACTTATTTATTGAAATTTCTACGTGCCCTGCGGTGTCTTTGAGCTGCTGGATGCCATGCCAGTTCGAGAGGGCCCCGGCTTGTTTGGATCTGGAACCGGAGTAGGTTCCGGCTCATCCACCTCCTGGTAGAACCACAGCAGCTTGTTCTTCATATTGGGCAGAAACAGCTGGTTGATCTCGTCCAGCTAAAAATTCATTTCAAAAGGAAGTGAAAAAAGGTGTCGCAAAGCCAATATTACCATGTCCCCTTCGAATATGTAGTCCATGAGCTGATGCCTGGGCAGCTGGGTGGCATCGATCAAGAGCTGGAAGGTGAACTCCAGCCGGGGATCCATCTCCCCACGGCGGGCCTTGCGTTCGCATTCTTCCCGCCGGCGCTGCGCTTCGTCAGGGTCCATGGCGAAGATTTACGTAATATTTCCCAGATTTCCAAGTCCCACATGCGTTGGACCGTTTGGATTTCCAGAAAATAATTCAACGATCAGAATTTTGCAGTGCGATGTGGTAATTGATTTTGTTTTTTTTTTTTTATTACAAAAAAAAATCATTTTATTTGAGTTTTGAAAAATTTGCAGATTTTGGTTTTGTCAAAATTCAAAAATAGGAGAGACCAAAAGTTCATTAGTTTCAAAAATTTTCAAAGATTTCAATGAAAAGGTAAAAAACTATAGCAACATACTTGCTACAGGACTACATTCAAAAACTACCACAACAATACTTGTGTAGCATTTAAAAAAGAGTCAAAAAACATTTTTCCAAAAATCAAAGGTGCCATTTTCAAATGCTGTACAATGGAGGTTTTATTAAAAAGTGATTTTTGTAATATTTTACTAGATATTAGTCTTCAAAATTGCGTTTAGGTGGTAGGGAGTAGGAATTCAGCTAAAACGAAATCAAAGGAAGTGTATTAGATTAAGATTACAGGATTAGGTCTCAACTCAGCAATTTACACACGCAGTACGAGTGGCAAGGATTGCGATTACGTAATCGTTGAAAGGGCTCTAGGAGTCTAGGGCTTTGTTACTTGGGAATTCTAAGGCAACATTCGACATTGGTTATTTTGCAAAAGACTCGATACAGGTAAGGATACGGATAAGGATAAGTGCGTTCAGTCGAGATTCGGCACCTGCAGGATGTCTCCCTGGTCCTCTTCCTCCTCCTCCTCCTCACTGCTGGCGCCCCCTTCGGCACGCATCGCCAGAACATGCTCGACGAGCTTTTTCTTTTGCACGAACATCTTGCCAAAAAACTCTATTCAAAAAACAAATTCACCAAAAAAACTGGCGCACACAAGAGTGCAACTTAATCAAAAATTCTTTGAGATTTACTAGGTTTCTGTATGATTCTCCTTCTTGCGCAACTAATTCTCTTTAGGAAGTCCGATAATAATTGAACAAACAAATCAAATACGCGCCAAGTTGCCAAGGAAACAGCTCAGGGCTGCTAATAAGTAATCGAATTCGATTTCTCTATAAAATCTAGACTAATATCGATTTAAAAGATCACAAAAAAATGTTTAATATTTAATTTATTTTATTTTAAAGGCTTTTGTAAACAATAAACCATTAATAGTTTCTTTACAAATATAAAAGGAAATTATTTCTATTAACTGTATTAAAAAAAAGTAAAAAAATGTTTTCGTTTTTTTAAAAATGTAACTACATATATTTTATTCATCATATTCGGTTATCGGTAAAAAAACGTATTGATTCAAATCAATTAAAATCAATTTTATTTCTAAGCTAGCGTTTTCCAGTTGTGATAAGAACAAATATGTATGTTAGAACCAATACCACATAATATATATAGAGCTGGAGAACAGTATAAGAAACTATACATATTATTAAATCTTTAATGATTTTTATTTAATATTCAAATAAAGGATAAACTAAGGATAAACTAAGAAGAAAGTTTTTAAAAGATATCAAGGTTATTCCGATTTATACAAGTTATATCAAATTCATTCAAGACCCTAGTTCATTCAAGTTTTATTTCCCCTATTATTATTACCAAAGACTACAAACTTTTGAGTTTTGTCGAGGTGGACAATTGTAGGCTTTGGCAAAATCGTTGTTGTTGGCAATGGCGCCCAGGACCCGAAACTTATCGGTTGTGTGGATATCAGTTAGGGTGTTCCAGTATAATTCTTCTTGGAAATCAGTGCAAAAGAACTGAGCAAGTCCAAGGAAGAAAAGTTGCTCCGGGGAAAGGTCAAGGCCCGGTAACGTTTCATCCTTATCCTGATCGTGATCATCCATCTTCTGTGTCCTGTGTCGAATGTAAGCGGAATATGCCTCACGGATTCCCCCATTATCGGCAATATTTTCGTCCATGGTTTTCTTACCATCAATTCTTTGGTTCACCAAAGGAATTTCATATTTACTATACTGATCCACAAAGCACTCCGCTTTTTTCTCAAACTTTTCTTGAGACAGCGCAGACCACCAGGATCGCTGTTTCCCGTTTCCATCGAATAAGGATCCAAATGTATCGAATCCATGGGTAAGTTCATGGCCCAAAACAAAGCCGAGTGTTCCATACTTCAAAGCGTCTGGCCAAAAAGGATGATATACCGGAGAGTCCAACATTCCGGCCAACATATTGATAGAGTTGTCCAGGATTGTGTAGGCAGCAATTGGCTTCATCCCAACCAGGAGAATTTGAGGCTTGGTGTCATTGCTTAGCTCTTTAAAGTGGCGACTACTGAACCGTTCGTTACTGGCATGGAGGCGTTGTACATTGATGTTAGTAACTGCGTAACTACTCTCGTCAATTTCCAAGCTCCCGATCTGCCGCATTATCCTATCCGTTAGGGCCTCGTCCTTGACATAGCCAATATTGGCCTGAATGGCTGACTCTTTGAGTAGAGCCTCCTTTCGAGTCTCGGTGTCTAGCCATTCGGCTTCTTCCAAAGTCAGGCGCAGACTTTTTCGAATCTCCTGCACAATTTTCGATACTTTGGAGCGTTTCTCTTCGCTAAAGAACTCCTGAAAAAAAAATGTATTTATTATTTATTTAATATTATTAAAATAGTGTGTTTACCCACTTTCATATACATTTTGTCCAATAAGTACCCCATACTACTTGATGTTTTCAATGCACAGTAATCGCGTTGATGTTTGGGGTCCTTCAGTTTTGCATCCAAGGTATAGAGGAGCTTCATGGCCAGGTAGTTGGCCACGGCTTCCGCATGCTTGACACAGATCTCATCCAGCTTCACGTAGTATAAATGGCAAAAGTGTTTCTGGGTCACATTTGCACCTTTCCAGGCGATGTCGTAGTAGCTATTCCACTGGGTAAACGGAGGTATACCTAGGATGTGGCTCATCATATCGCAATTAAGTTCATCCTTGTGGAACTCATCGACCACTGTCAGAACATCCGTCCAGAAGGCAAATACCCCGGAAATTGTCTTAGTTATATTTTCTTCTGAAAGCTGGTAGGCTCGCAGATAGCCACGCATTCGATCCTCGTTGAGCTGTTTAGACCTTGAGGTATTACTCTCTAAATTCTCCGTGTAGACCGTAAAATCGAAGCCCAACTTCGGCAGTTTAAACTCTGGCTCAAAGGGATATTTTAGACTGAGTTCATCGTTGATGAGTCCACTAGCTCCGTAGTTGGTCAAGTGAGCGCTCATATTGAACCAACTGAAGGTCGAGGCATTCCACTTTTCTCCATCGACGGCGGGAAATCCTCCAATCGAGCGGATGAGATCCAGATATGCGGGATCGGCTGCCGGAAATGGATACAGCTCGGCCGCCAGACAGGCAATATGGAGTTTTTGTGCCACGTGAAGTTCCGTTGAAACATTTAGAGTCGCTGCCAGTTGATTTAAGCCCAGCAACTGTTCCGTAGCATTGTTCAAGGCGTAGATAAGAGCGGAAAGGCTGCCCATTTTTCCTGCGTAATACCGATTTGGTTTCACATTTGGCCAGTTTCCACAGGCGTACTCGTAAAAATCATCACAAGGTGGTACAGAGAAGTTCATAAACGACTTCATCAGTTCTCCGTGGGATTTCAGATAGGCCTCCTTAGCTCCATTGTCGGATTTAAGCTCTACTTCTGGCAAGCTCTTTGCATCTGCTTCGTTTAAAATAGTTACAATTAATATGCTGAGAAGCAAAACTACACCGATTTCCATCTTAAATTTTATTTAAATACTAATCAACCCGACTAACCGAGTCAGAGTGCTAATAAAAACTGATAGACAACTGATAGACCCATTTCAAATTTATAAACTTGAAGTTTATATAGGATGTAAGAAAGATCATCTAGGTCTAATGCACACTGATAAGCGGTTTACAAATTAAAGAGATAATAATCTTTATTGCTTTTTGCTGGAATATAATAATATTGAGAAACCCTATGGTAGAAATATAGTATTTTACCCAAAACATCATTTTAACGCATGTATGTATAAAATTTTAAAGTAAATTTTAAAGATTAGAAATACTGATTTTTCATTTTAAATTGTGGTGATAAAGTAATTTTATTTGGATTGTAAAATATTTTTAAAAATTTAAGGATAGTTTAAGCATATTTTATAATTCTTGAGTCAATTTAAAATTTAAATATTGAACAATTTATTCAAATATTCAAAATCAAACATAAAAGACAAATATGAATTTTCAAATTTTAAATCTGCCTAAATTTTGGAGTATTACAACACTACCAAATGGTTATCGATATTCCTTAGTGTGGCCAAATTTCGAATTACACTGAAATGGGGGAAATATCGATAGGTTTTGAAAAGACACTTATCAACACCGTACTAAGAGACATATTTGACGCGTGCTCTTGACCATCCAGAAAATCAAGTAAAAACCCCGATCCGGATTAGGAAAACGGAATATATTTCTTGGTAATAGTTCAGGGAAAGGTAAATATTGTGGGAGACTTTAAGTTGTAACTGTTATTAGCGTAAATATTTTGGAAAGTCGTGGGAAATAACTTGCGCAAAGGGGGGTGACCAAAACCAAAATGGCGCCGCGTGGATGCGAAAAATAGGGTAGCAGACACCGCAAACAGAAAATACGAATCGCCGGCTAGACAAATAAAAAAATAAGTGGGGGCCATTTAGACATTTTACGTTTGACAAATGTCATTGTCAAAGTACTATTTCGCTTTTTAGGAAACGAGACAACCAGTGAGTGAGAAATGGCTAACGCTGATATGCAGTACAACTACGGCCAGCAGGACAATGGCAACGACTACGACGACAGCAACCAGCAGCAGGACAACGACGACGACGACCAGTGCGACTTCGGTGGCAATATGCAGAACTCAAACTCGAAGATCGAGAACGTGGGCGAGAGCCCCAAGTTCATTCGATTGCGCGGCTTGCCCTGGTCGGCCACTCACAAGGAGATCCTTGACTTTCTCGAAAACGTAAATGTGACCAACGGCTCGCAGGGCATTCACCTGGTCACAAGTCGCGTGGATGGCAAGAACACTGGCGAGGCCTATGTCGAAGTGTCCACCCAGGAAGACGTCGAGGAGGCGCGCAAGTTAAACAAAGCCAGTATGGGCCACCGCTATATTGAGGGTAAGTGTTACCCTTTGCGGGGAGTTAACTGTACCAAAAAAAAACTACTAATATACCTTAAAACATATGTAATTAAATAAGAGTGTATAAGATTCGGCAATGTCTTTAACATGCATTTAACGGTTAGAAACGTGCAAAAAATATAATATAATTATTGTAATTCCATTTCATTTGCACAGTTTTCACTGCCACTCCTAAGGAGGCAAAGGAAGCCATGCGGAAGATCAGCGGACATGGCAATGCTTTCGTCGTTAAGCTTCGTGGCTTGCCATATGCTGTAACCGAGCAACAAATCGAGGAGTTCTTCTCTGGTGAGTGTCCAGGGTCTGTCCCATTCCCATATATCAGAATCAGTAGCTGCAAGGAGAGACAGTGGTTGACCGCATGCAATGAATTTTGCACTCCGTTGATAGCTGGCTTAAGGGACCACCTTACTGCTACACTATTCATTACAACACATTCAATTCCTAACCGTTTCTCCAGCATCAATTAGCAAACCTTGGGAATATATGTTTCCCCCATTTCACTCCCCCCCAAGTATAAAAATCTCGTCCTGGGATGCTGGATGCTATTCACCCGTATATTCCCGAGGACTATTGCTAAATATGGATGCATTCATGTCCGCTTGTCCGTTAAATCATTTCATTAATCAAACACAGCAGTGTCACTGCTACCACAATTCACAAAGAACATTTCTGCGAGTCTACCGGAACTGGGTTCTATGGAACATTGCGGTCGGGCATCTCGATTGCCCCACACTTTCACCTCGATTGAAAGACGTGTGGCGGCTGTTATGCAATTTTTAACTTTAGAAACTGGTGCTGGTTCGGAGAGTCTGCAAAAGTTCTGCGATGCGATGCAGGAACAAAACATTAACAACCAAATATCAACCTCTGTATTTCTGTTTATCTTTCTAAGCTTAACCTTGCCATTTGCCTATATATATTTGTATCTGAATTCTATATATTTGTATAAATCTTTGTTGGTTATCGTCATGGGCAGGGTTGGAAATCAAAACGGATCGGGAGGGCATACTTTTTGTTATGGACAGAAGGGGTCGTGCAACTGGGGAAGCTTTCGTTCAGTTTGAAAGCCAGGATGACACTGAGCAAGCCTTGGGCCGAAATCGGGAAAAAATTGGGCACAGGTGGGTTTCAATTACATCATATCTACTACAAACCAAAACTAGCTGAAATTAAAACATTTGCGTGGTAAATGTGGTAAATGTAATCTTGTTGAAAAATACAAGGGCAAATACCAACACCAATATTTCATGGTTAATTCATAAAATAAATAAGTTTACTATCACAATTAATTTCTCTTTCAGTCACAGACAATTAGCCACAATTTCCCATAGCTACGGGTCTGGTGGGGCTCTTAATCCTCGTCAAAGCACCAAAGTGTGCCTGTTTTAACATAATTAATAAAATCATTTATTGTGCTTATCGCATAGTGAACTCTTATTTCCGATTAAATGATTTATCTTTTGTATCATTTGCATTTTCATTGTTTAAACTTTTCAATTGGATAAAAAATTTTGAACGAAAGTAAAACGCCACCGACCCTAGCATCCTTGGATTAAATACATATTCTAAAAATCATGTCGTTTTCCTTTAATTTATTTAGGTATATTGAGATATTCCGCAGCTCTATTGCTGAAATGAAGCGTGCTACCGGCGGCGGCGGTGGGGCTGGTGGACGCCCCGGGCCGTATGATATACGCGATCGTGGCGCCAATCGTGGAGGCAACGACTTTGGCGGAGGCCGCAATGGTGAGCTTACTAATTTGTCTACTCCAAAATACTCCTCTAAACCGATCATCCGCAGATTGGGGAAACAATGGAAACTTTGGTGTTGGCGCCAACAACATGTTAGGCTTCAACAATCTCCCCAGTTTGATGAACTCTGGAAACTTTGGAAATAACCCTGGAAATACCGGAAACTTCGGAAACAACTCGGGGCCCAGTAATTTTGGCAACTTTGGAAACGGCGGCGGCGGTGGCGGCAACAACTCCAACTTTGGAGGAAACGGCGGCGGCAACAATGGCAACTTTGGAAACTTCGGCAACAACGGTGGCGGAGGAAACTTTGGCAACAACAATGGCGGCGGAGGCTTTAACAGTGGAAATAACTTTGGATCTCCCGGGGGCGGAAACAACTTTGGCAACAATGGCGGCTCCAATTTCGGAGGCAACAATGGCGGCTTCAATAATGGCGGAAACAACTTCGGCTCTGGATCGGGAGGCGGCAATTTCGGTCCCATTGGAGGCGGGCGTAACAACAACAGCGGAAACTTTGGCAACTCTGGGTTCGGAAACTTTGGAGGCAACAACGGAAACGGAAATTCGAACTTCGGAGGCAACAATGGCGGAAACGGAGGCTTCAATAATGGCTCCAATTTCGGAGGTGGTAACTCTATGGGAGGAGGAAACTTCGGTCCCATTGGCGGAGGCCGCAATAATGATATCGAACATTATACAATCCATATGCGTGGTCTGCCGTACACCTCATTCGAAAATGATGTTTTCAAGGTGCGTACAACTTATAATTTATACTGTAACTTGATAATATTTCTTGTAATATTTGCAGTTCTTCGAGCCCATTAGACCCTCTAATGTGCGCATCAATTACAACAAAAAGGGCCTGCACAGCGGAACTGCTGATGCCTACTTTGACACCTACGAAGACTCCCAAATGGCCATGAAGCGCCACCGCGAACAGATGGGATCACGTTACATCGAGCTGTTCTACGACGGAAAGACCCGAGGAGGTGCCAATGGTGGAAACAACGGTGGAGGCGGCGGTGGCGGCGGCTTGGGTAACAATGGCGGAGGCAACGGTGGTGGTGGTGGCGGCGGCGGCGGCAACTTTTCGCGTCGCATCTAAATCGGTCCATGGACCAATTACATTGACATTAATGTAAGCCCAAGTATTTAATAAAACTATGAACAAGCCGCCACTTATGCCGCTAAGGCAACTTTTCAACCACGTAACAATTGATCAGATATTTGACATAGAGAATTAGTGGATTGTACCACGCAGCTAACTGGGAGCTAATATATTTACGAAATAAAATACAACAAAAAAAAGAGGACACGATTTTACTTAAGTATTTCAAAAAACTTTCAACTTTATTTTATAAGTTTCCAATTGTACTTTTAGGCTTCTTGAATAAATTCTCTTTTTACACAACAGTCATGGTCGGTTTGCGATGGTAATGATAACAATGATCTAATGTGTAAGTATCAGAAGAATAGCGCTTTTATAAGTTTGCGCAGCTGCTCCGATATTGCTCTGGTACTACACGGCTATCAACAAACAATTTAAATACGGATATAATAGATGCATTGCAGAAGCACATGAATTGAATTTAGCGTAACAATGGAACAGTTTTTTCCCTCGACGAGTCTTGTAATCATGAGAACCCTCTGCCATTACTTCATCAAATTATTGGAAAAATATTTTTATTCTGGTTCTATTGCATTAATTAACAGACCTATATCTTATTTTTTATGTGGTATCTGGTTGAGATAATATCATTTGAGAACCATAAACTTGGCCTCACATTTCCTTAAGACAAGGCTGACAGGTCGCAGTACCTTCGCAGCGATAGATAGCGAACTGTCAATAAATTTTCGTTTCTATTTTGATCCAATGATCATTTTCCATAATTGTACCAATAAACCGTATGCTGAAAATAGATAACGCATTACGTGGTATCGCGTTTTTTGCCTGCGGCGGGTTACGAGATGTCCCAGAGTAGAGGAAGCGTATTTAAATATACTTATACTTGATGGGGTTTTAGTTGTTCCGTCTTTTCGGAAAGACGGCGGCTCGGCTTCAAAGTTACTTCAGGTCTATGACAGGGGCGGTGACAAAGCTTTCCTTTTTCGATAAATATTTACCTAATTAGGGGCTTCAAATATATTAAAGATACAAAAATGATATCGCGCTAATCACTTGAATCAATGTGATAGACCTTGATGCGCGTGTCGGGAAGTAATTAAGTCAACAGTCCTTTAAAAATGTGTTTATATATAATATTTTGTTATAAATTCATTCATTTTTTTAAAACAATAAATCAAAATTTATTAACCCCTTAGGCCATTCCGATTTGCGAAAAAACTTTTGCAATTTCTATTGACTTATGGCGTTGTAATAAATTTCTAGCGTTTATACGTGGCTGTTTTTTTTTAGCCAAGTCTGTATTTTCATACATTCCCGCCATATCTTCCACCTTCTTATAGACGTGCTAATGAATCAAACATGTTCTCTGATTTGTTTATTGCGAGTCAGATTTTAATTTTACGCAACAAGCGTATCTGCCGGCTTTAAAATTTTATTTAAAAGCAATGAGTTTCGAGTTTTGATGGTTTTTTTTTTGGGGAAATACCAACCACTTTGGCTTTCTTATACATAAATGCAAAAAATCCCCTTGTTTGGAGATTTTTCTTCGAAAACGTATATACATTTTTTTGGCCTAAATAATGTCTTGGTTTGGGACAAAGTCTGCTCACTTTTACCACAAATCCCATTCATAAAGTCAAACCAAGTCAACAGACCTAGCGTAAATCTAGAAACTCACTCTAACAGACTTTTATTTGGGGCCATAAAACGCAAAATTGCGATAAGCGTTCCAAATCACAATTAGTACGAGCTGCCGGCCGAATGGAATGCAAATTTTTCGTCAAATATTCGGAGCTATTGCCGGGCCCCAAACTCGTAGCCCCAATATAGATGGCCAATCAGTCAGCTGATCGGTACCAATATCATTAGGAACGGAGGTATACTCTGTAACTGTCGACGTCATTAATCTTGGCCGAGACCGTCAACCGTCGACCGCAGTTGATAAGCTCCCACTACGACTACGGCTCCGTCTCCGGCTCCGTTTCCCTCCGAAAACACCTATTCAGCGAGAATGAACAGCAGCGGAGACGACGACGACGACGCCGTCGCCGCCAGTCAATGCCAGAGCGCGAAGCGGTCGCGTTGACATCGGAGGTTCTGCTCTCCAATAATTCTCCAATAGTATTCCCCGCCGGCTTCCAAACAAATATCGAGTGAAATGTGGACCCAATGAGACGGCGACCACAAAGCCCAGTCAGTCGTCCGTCAACGCCGCCGTGTCAATCACAAGTGAATGCAATCAATCTGAAGACTTCCACTCGGTTCTGTGGAACCTGGACAAACCGCAACAATAGCAAAAACAAGCCCGAAACGCCACTACAGCAGACGCTAAACACGCGCTACAGGTGTGAGCAGGTGGAACGCGAAAAGGTGACCGATCCGACCGGCGGGCATGGGGGTATGGAAATGGTGCTGTGTTCTCATTATTCCCCCCCATACCCATTCCCATTCGTATTCGTATTCGTGAAGTTTTTGTTTTGCATCTTTGCGACGATTTAATTGATTTTATAACGAGTACATAAGGCTGTGTAACTACAGTAAAGATTTCAAAAATCGCAGCAGACTCGAATGAATTATGGCTAAAATGTGAAAGCTAAGAGGACGAACGCCGGGGGTATTTCCCCCCGCTAACAGACCCTACAAAACAAAATAAATATATTTAAAATATAATAATATAGTACGAATGGCTCCACAACAAATGATTCTGTTGTTAGGCGCCTTTACCTTGACTTTGTTCTGTTTGAAATTATAATATTTTCGTAGTATATTTTTGGCAATCTTTCAAACTTGGGGGAATATTTTCCGTATTCTATTTTTTTTAACAACAAAGAATGTGGCCAAAAGCAAAGGTAATGTGGTTCTCGAGAAGTCAACCCTTAAGAATTTAATTCCCTGGAGCTTGATTTTAAGAGGGACTGGCTTAAAAACCCATTAAAAGCCATTTGAAAACTCGAACAGGCCATTTAGGTTGCCTCGTTCCGCTTTTAACAAGATTTGTCTTTCCCCATTATGAGTATAAGGTTTCCCTTATCTGTTAAAACAAATATGTGCTCTGTTTATACATATATGTATTTATTTTTTTCAAGTGCTTTGCAAAATCCATGCCAGAATGAACTGACTCAGATTGGCGGCAATTATAGAAAAATGCTTTATATCTGAATATCATTGCTCGACTTAATTGGAAAGTGTTAAGCTATTATTTATTATAATAGCTATTATATATTCCCAAAGCTATTAAATAATTTGATAGTCATTAAGATACGTCACGAATATCATTTGTGTTTTTTTTTGTTAAAAGATCCAAAAACAAAATGAAAAAAGTCTGTATGTATATTTATTTAAATGTATTTTGATTAAAAAATGAGATCAAAAATCTGGACCAGATCGTTTGGAAAAAAACACGAGCCTGCTAAATCTACTTTCTACTAGATATTTTAATATTTTTAAGGGCTCTTTTGTCGAATTTGTAATCAATATCAATTCGCGAGCTTGTATATTTGCGGAATTAGGCGCCATAATAGTGACAAAAGATTAAAATAAGCCAATAAATCTTTGAATCTTAAAAGTTGATCGTTGAAGCTTGACATTTATAAATAAGGAACCCGTAATAAATTATTCCGGCGTAATCCACTTTGTTGTAGAACAGCTCCTGCACTGCAAGTGTCTAGCTACAGTTTTGATAAGAACCTTAGTTTGGATTCTAATCGTTGACTAAAATCAAAACAAACATTGAAATGCTTGGCAACTGAAAGAAAAACATTTTTTGTTTTGTAAGCTATTTAAATAAAACGGCTAAATAACAAGTAAAAGCTTCCAATTTTTAGATAAAAGCAAAATCAGGTAACGATCATTACGTGCATCTGCGAATTATCCGGAGCTCTGATGATGTTATTTGCTTGCTCACCGACCCCACTACACCTGTTATTATTTTTCCCATTTTTGCACCACTTATCAGTTGTGAGTACAAGCTTGTTAGACACACATCTCCCGTATCGAATTCATTAGCCGATACTACCGCTCTCCAGCCACAATTCATGTTTGTTTGCTCCCCATATTGACTTTTATTCCCTATTCGTTGCAGATCGCCGGCACACCTTGGGCACACTCACTCCGATAAGAAGATAATTAAACTGTAATACATTTCGATGTCCGATGTGCCATTTCGCTTTGGTCGGTGTTAATTAGGCCTTCACACACTTAAGTGTGCCACTTGAGATGTGTCCCGGGGCACAGGTATAAGCCCCTTAAGCGTTGCCTTATCGCCAGCCGGATTCGGCCAACAGAGTAGACAAAAGTAACAAGTGATCTCAGAGATAAGAGAGTAGCTGCGGGTGCGGTAGTCGAATCCGAATCCGATTCGGAATCACCAGCGATAACGGTGGCAAAAGAATCAGCAGCAACATCCCCACAAGCAGCAACAGGTTTCCTAGCCGGGAAACAGCGACGCCGGCAGAAAAAGCAAAGCAAATGCAGCATCTGCCACAGCGGCATATTCATAAATAATCTTTAGTCGCAGAAAGATCGGCGGATCAACTCTACTGCTACAAAAGGAAGTCGGTCTTGTGACTTCGTCGTGGTGCAGACCAGAGACTGTACAGATAATTGAATTTAATGTACAAATAAGCCCCAGGAATTTGCTTTTATAAAGCCATACTGCATGCACGAGTGGCGAATGCAAGCTTGCATTGTTTGCCATTACCGAGATACAATATTTCACTTCCGAGTCGCACATCACTCTCGTCTCCAAGATGAAGTCATCCAGAAACGGGGGCCAGACCCTCTTAATCGCTCCATCGCCCACAGCCCGCCTGATGCCATTGCGCACATATTCCAATGCCTCTTCTCTGGCCCACCACAATGACAGGAGTCCCGGGACTCCAGGGAGTCCGCTGCACGAAGGTGATTTGGAGGAAAGTGGCTTGGGCTACACCCATACTCTGGTGAGTAAAATTTTTTGGATAGAGTTGCTGATATTTTTATTGAGTTTCGAATTTACTAAAATAGTAATTAATACTTATAGGGATGTGAGTAATATTAAGTATCCATATCTTTTAAGCTATGTCTAAAAGATGGATTCCAACCCATTTTATAATGTTCTTTAATGTCTGAAAGGAATTTATCAATACCGTTCTTTATTTTTAAGCTACCAATCATTAACCTAAACCCTAATAGTTAAACAAACCCTAAAAGAAACCTTACATGACTTAAATAATAAAATTATATTGCGAATCTGTTAATCAATCACGTAAGATACTCGACTGATTTGTTCGACAATTATTGACTGTTTCAGTACTCATTATTCAAGATTATATAAGAAGCTACTTAAACCGTAAGACACTATCACATGACACAGCTGAATTGCTCTGCCCCGATTGTTCATATATCTCAGAGTGGGCGTCATGACATGCCTGATGCCTGACATCGACATTCAGAATTCCCTTCTTTATAGCCAAGTTTGTTTTGCGGTTAGGCTATCTGGCTTGTTCATAATTTTTTATACCACCAATATATGATCAAAGCCTCTTGCTTTTATCTACTATCTAAGGATCGTTTTCCCATAAGGCTTTTAAAATTTTTTTGTTGACCTATACCCTCATATTTTGGCATTCTGCGTCACAATGTTTCAAAAAATTCCGATAATAAATATGTATCCATGCTGCAGTGGCTAAAGAAGATTTTCAAAAAAACAGCCTCAGTCTTATTCTGAATACAATTTTGGCAACACCAGCGCCGGACATTTTTATATAATATTTTTCCGTACAAAGTCCCAGGCACAAATTCGGTTTAGCCTATTCAAATTTATTGTGAATCATTATTTTACCACCTTTTATTGGGGCAGCCACTTATCACGACAATTTTATTGATCGAGAAGTGATTGATTGTTTTACAATCGCAATCGGATTGCCGAGCATAAACTGGGAACCCGGTGGGAAATGACCGTAACAAATACCAACGGTAGTACCGCCATCTATGTGCTAATCTATTGAGCCAGGTAATGCCCCAATGAATTTCCACTAAAAATAAATACTCGATTATTAACAGAGCCATAAATACCCATGCTAATAGGAAAATACATTTATCTGTTTAAGGCCCACAATTGTGTTTGCATTAGAACACCCACAACGATCAGGCATTGTTTGTTTTGAACTTTAGTTTTTTTTATCGTAATTGACTGCCTGGAAACACCCGATTTGATAATCAATGGTTCTCTATTATATTTGTATTTAAATAAAATCGATGTAGTGCGGCGCTTAGATATAGTCACCTCAACCTTGTCACACTTTTTGTGATCAACCTGGGGATTTTTCTCAGTTATAATTGAGATATATTATATTTTGTTCCAGACTATAAGATACTTCTCATTTCGCATTGGTCATTTCTATAAAGAACACAAAACTATTTTTTCTCAGGGTATAATTGAATTCGGTACGCTGGAAACAACACATGTTTCTTGTTTTACTTTATCCGCTCATGTGATTAACATGTGACTATTTGCTTGTTTTTCCATTTATTTTTTTTTAAATTTGTTTAATTTTTGTCATGTGCCGAGCCACGTACCGCAAAGCATTATCAAGAGCATAATTTAATATATTTAATTCAGAATTTAACGTGACTGAGGTTTTTAATATTCGATGTAATATAGTATACAACCAGATAAATCCAACCAAATCCAATTTAGTCTAAAAGTAGCCCAGACACGTATAATTAGCACCTTCCAATAATGACTACATTGTATTAAGAGTATTATTTTAAAAACTCACTTTTAACACTTAAATTTAGCTTATCTCTGATTGTAAATTTTAAATAATCATACATTCATTCAATTCACTTAGATCATGAACTAAGGAATAAATCGATCGATTGCCATGTTGAAGTATTATCCACTTGGATTTGACGGCTTCTTATCGGCGCCTGTCGAGCCCATCCATCAACGTCAAAGAATTCGATTTAGTTTAGACTGATCTATTTACCTTTCCCCTAAAAAGTTGCGAATTAAAAATATAATTTTAACAGCCTTCCCCTAAGAGGTCATAAAGTAATTCAGATAAAAATAATATTTTTATAACGTGGTATTTGTGCTCACGCGCCGGGTTCTGTATCTTCTGGCCATGGATCTCTGAGATGCTAAGCAAACGCGATATTTGCCCAAAGATTTCATTCAATTTTTAATTAATTTCGGTGGCTTTTGTGGTGTCATCCTTTATATTTTTTCACTGTGAGGGGTTATGTGCACCCTTATCGGGGTTCTGGGGCTTTGTCGGCTCTGGAGGTGTTTGTACCCCCGATTGGGATGCTGGCTCCCCAGTCGCCTCTCAGTTTTAGCCAAGATCACTTTGTTTTATCGTAAGCCCGCTAATTTCTATCATATGAGCTCAAAAATGTCACCTCGGAAAAAAGTAAGTGAATTATCATATCACCGATATGGCAGCTGCCGACAAATCAATTGATAACTCCCTTTGTAAGTGCTTGTGCGAGGAATAAGCTTAAAATGTTCAAAAAATTAATGCGGTAAAGTTAATTTTTTGTTTTAATGTATACACACATATATACACAGGCATTTCCTGGTTTGACTAGGAGCAACATGTCCCCCAGCGAATTTCCTATTTTTTGCCCCAGCCTATCCGATCCTTAAACGGAATACTTCTAATGATTTGTAGATAAATTCTCCATCTATCTGCATCAAAATTTAAAACATAATATTTTTTTGATTTTTACCGCTTTTGATGGTTATATCTTTGCCAAAACCTATTCGTAAAAGGAATACCTTAAATGATTTGTAGATCGATTCTCCACCAGTCTGCATCAAAATCAACCAACGAAATAATTTTTCGATTTTTTGTCAAATTTTCTGGACGGTACCCTTCAAAAATGGGGAAAATGGATTTAACGACAATCTGCGGCCCTCCGAAGGCCATATCTTTGCACATAGGCCATATTTTTCGCAATATATAGCACCTTACTCGCCTGAACTGCTTCCTGGTCAAGCAGTGCAGCCATATCTAACATTAGCTATTAATATTTGATAAAGCTTTTACTCTCTTAAACTTTCTCTTAATTTATTATTAATGTTCTTAAAATAATTTATGTACTGGATTATCAGTTAAGTATTGGGTCATATATGTACATACGTACATATGTACGTACGTTGTATGTAAAACTATTAGGGTTACCTCAATTCGAAATTTCTTAGGCCTCTCTGATTGACGAAAAAAAAAATAATGAAATATATAATAAATAGTGCAGACGTACTAAGCTAACCCCATTACTTTCATGTATGTTCCTTAAATCCACCAGGGGCTTGCAAGACATGTGACCCAACGCCTAGTCTACACATTGAGACTATTAAAGCAAGTAATCGCAATTTATGCGGCTTAAGTGATCTGGCACAGTGGACTAAGACACTTGAAATGTTTGAGTAACAAACTAATATATAGTTGCACCCATTTTCGAGATACCAAAGTATCGGGTATTGAACTTCGTTTATTGCTCTTATAGAGCGTTGAACTGATGTTCTTAAAATCTCATATTATCTTTCATTTTGTTTGCTGTTTAGATACGATTGAAAAATGTATAAGAGATTTCATATTTCATAATTTTTACTGTTTTGTTGGCTTTGAAATTCATTTTTTTTTTGCTGAATAAAACTAGAGAAGATTGTATGATGTTAGCTCTTCTTTTGAGATATTATTGTTTGAGAAATTTGAAATTTAACGGAATCAAAGATTCTAAAGCTTTATAATAACCACTGTAAAGCGCACTTAGTGTCAACCAAGTGCTTGGCATTTTCACTTTTCCCGTTGACCAGACCACTGATTATTAAATTTATGAAATTCTATTGATGTTTACACGCAAACTTTGACCGCTCGAGAGACACTCGAGGCACACATGTGAACGATATAAGTAGTATTCATATAGATATAGATGTCTGTGCCGTATTTCTGGATGGCAGACGAGTGGTGCGTCGGTGTCTGTGTACTAAATTTAATGGAATCTTGAGTTTAAGCGGGACCGGATCGGTCTATCCTCATCTCATGACACCGTTCAGTTGGACTCAAAACTTTGCTCGGTTCGCACACGCAAACGGAATTCAAATACGGCATATACGGCACACTCCGGCGAATGACCATTATCTGTGCCATGGATATGACTAATCTCTCTGATTGTGCGTAGAACTGTAAAACCGAAAACCGATTAAGTCCGATCGATTCGTACTGACACCATATCACTCACAATGGTCTATTTCGGCGATCGGCAACGCGATCGTGATCGCAATAATCACAAAGTTGAGCGAATTATTCACGATGAAGAGTTTGGCGAGGAGAACGTCGAACTGGTGGACTCCGAGTGGGCGGACTTTGAGAAGTTCATTTGCCAGTTGCGAAAACGGCGCAGCAGTAACATCTCCATGGAGGAAGAGCTGCGGCACGTGCAGCGCCATCCGAAGATCAAGTCGCAGGCCTTCTATCCGTGTCCGCCGCCCTCCGAAAATGCCCGCGACTCGGACTCCTCGGACGACGATGATCCCATTGGATACATCGACACTCTTGTAAGCATTCTAGATACACATGGTATTTATATAGATTCGAATGGAAAAGAACTGATTTTTTGCTTGTTGCCTAGTCTAAAGAATTTCTTATCTACAAGATATCAACGAAAAACCATAAGTCTCTCACAAGAGTGGTTAAAATTATAGCAATTTTGTAAATAATAATATTATTAGTTGTATAAAAATAGTTTGTTAGAATAGGATCTAAATAAAAATATTTAAGAAAAACCAGTTTCTTTGATACATTAAAATTATATCCTTTGATGTTTGAGCTAGGTATAAAGGATAAGGGATCCTTATTCTCGTGGATCCAAGATTCCAAACAAGATTTCCTTCTCTATAAAGAATTTAAAATTTATAGTGCTATTATTTTAACCATGCCTGTTTCAAACAGTGCCTGGAAATTACTTTGATTATACTACCAATATGTCTGATTATCCAATGGTTATTGCCCCAGTTTCGTGACGCAAGGAGAGTCTACATTTTATCATTGCCCATATAAATGCGGTCGTAAAGAAATTTTGAATGAATACCTTCGAAAATATCTTCCAAAATATTGTAAAATAAAATTATGACTCGGCGTATTTGCTTAGCAAGCAGAATAAGTTCAGTAAAACATTTAAGAAATAAAGTAGGACGATGGTTTTTTATTGATTCGCACAAGTGCCATGAGCTTTTGTTTATTGTATATTTTATATTATTTGTCATTTAATAATATTGGTTTATGGTTTTCCTTTTATTGGCAATATACATATATTTCAATGAAATAGTTTTTTTTTGTTTTGAGCTGCACTATTTAAATGGCTCTTTATTTCACACACAGTTTAGTATAAATATGTGCCGTGAAAACATCGATCAAAAGAAAACTTTTTGTAATTTCTGAATGGGTTTTCAAGCTTTTTGTGATTCTTCTGGCTGTGGCGGGGTTGTCTCTTGCGATTTCCTCCAGTTTGTGTTCACATCTGGGTCTCTGTAAAAGCAATGCAAACGCGGTGTACGAAAGACCCGACAAGCGGCAGACATTATCTATTTTTAATCCGATTATAATGAACAGTGTTTATTATATTTAAAACAAAACAAAAAGAATTTTCATTGCTAACGACAGTAGGGTGGCGGAAAAAAGTGACCGTATCGGGAACCAATACGTAAGATATATCCATAAAGAACTCTCTTAAATTTAAGCACATGTACGTATTTATTTCAAGAGCAGGCCCTAAATCCATAATCCATTATCGGTGAATTTAATTGATGATCCATTTGGAAATAACAAACCAATTCAATTTGATGGCCAAACGGGGCGAACTTAAAAAAATTCGAATTCCTTTCAGCATTTTTAAAATTCATGATTTGTTTACATTTCATCGTTTTTTCGGGGGGCATCGCTTTAATATCGGCACAGCGTGCTACCCTGCCATGGCGTCCCGTCTTTCCCGTCCTTTCCGAGAGTGTAGCCAAAAAGAAATTTCAATAATTTTCCACGCAGAGCGCAGAAAGCTCGACAGGTCAGTTTAGTTTCGAAAAAGTTTACACAAAGACGCTACAAGACCGCTCCTCCGTCGTACAACTGCCCAACAAATAATGAAAATCAATAGATAATGGAAATCATTTAAAAGTGCAAATTATTGGAAAATATTGAAAAGTGTGATGGTGATTTGAGGGCCGTTTCCGGATAAACTGACTGCTATAAATCCAATACTGAATAGCGATATTTTACAAAGTCTAAATGCAGTGCATGGCCCAGTATAAAATGTTAAAAATAAATTGCAATGAATTTTACAATTGTCGTGCTTCCGAGACGGGGAAAATCAAGGGCAGCAGCGTCGGCGGCGTCGACGGCGACTTCTAATTACGTCTGGCAGTGAGATTTAAAAACTTGTACTGCACCACCAGAGATAACCGAACACTAAAAATAATTGGCAAACAAGATGCGACACAAATATTCGGCCAACAGCCACAGTCACATCCAAAGCCAAAACCAAAATCAAAATCAAATTCAAAATCAACAGCCGCGGGCATGTCAAAGGCCGCCGCCGCCCAGCAATTCGAGTGACAGGGACAGTGATTTTTGAAACTTGATTTGAGATACGATTGTTTTTGGAATCGGGATTAGGGATTCGGAAGTTGAGTGCGCACCTCGCCTGCTTCATGTTTAACAACAGCCACCAGCACCAGGATGAGTATATACGGGAATACGCCTTCGAGCCGGAACTGCTGATCAATCGCGAGGACTATCTGCGGAAGGAGCGCGCCCAGAAGCCCACCACCTCCACCGCATCCACCTCCACTCCTGTCCGCCAGCGCTGGGACTCGGTCATTGCCAAGCAGAAGGAGCAGAACCGCAGGCAGAGTATTGACCCGCCCAGTGATGACAAAAACCAAATCGAGATCGAAATCGAGGCGTTCTATTATGTGAGTGGCCCGCGGACCACGTGCCCCCACAACCACATCCCCATCCACCCCGTCCATGGCCACAGCCATTGGCTGCCACGAAAGGCCTTTGCATTGGCCCTGAAAGAATGAAAGACAAGTGCACATTTCACCCTGAAGTTCGAAATATCGACCTTAAAATAACAAACAATATTGTGCGGCGTATGAGCTCAAGACTTTTATTGAAATACATTTAATGTTTGTTGAATAAGTACCTACTTTAATTACAATAATATTTCATAAATTTCAAAATTTCATAAATTTAATAACAAAATATCAAGATTTTTAGTAGTATAACATGAATATGTTAATGGAAAGTTCTTTTAATGAATTTGTAAATCATTTATGCAAGTTTATGCCATATTACACAGTTCAGGACTTCAATTCAAACTTACTAGTATCCTAGATGCTTTTGAAAGTATCCTTTATAAACGTAATATTCACGTTTCTAAATAAATTATTATTTTAATTAAATTTTTGTAAAATTATTAAATTTTTTTAAATTTTTCAATCATTTACAATGAAAGCAGATAAAATATTCCATCAACGAGATATTGGGGGTTTCCTGGTAACCTAGTTTCAAACATTAATCATAACAAGAAAGGAAAGCTAACTTCGGGCGGAGCCGAAGTTTATATACCCTTGCAGTTAAAACCGGATATATATCGCAAACATCGGATATAGTTGGCCGATCCTTATGGGAATAGGAATATATAATCCAATTTATTACAATACAAAATCTAAAAAAAGTCCCAAACTTCTATCTTCAAAAATACGAAAGTTGATATTTCTACCAAATACCATTTCCGATCGTTCAGTTATATGGCAGCTATGGGATATAGTCGGCCGATCCTAATGAAATTTGGTAGGTTGGATCAACTGACCAAGAATTAAATCTGTACTAAGTTCCAGCTTTCTATCTTCAAAAACACGAAAGTTGGGTCATTTCCGATCGTTCAGTTATATGGCAGCTATAGGATATAGTCGGCCGATCCTTATGAAATTTGGCATGTCGTATTATTTTGCCAAAAATAGCTCTCATGTCAAATTTGAACTCTCTAACTCTAAAAACACCAAAGTTATACCATTTCCGATCAATCAGTTATATGGCAGCTATAGGATATAGTCGGCCGATCCGGGCCGTTCCGACTTATATACTGCGTGCAAAGGAAAGAAGGGTGTGTGCAAAGTTTCAAGACGATAGCTTTAAAACTGAGAGACTAGTTCGCGTAGAAACAGACAGACAGACGGACAGACGGACAGACGGACATGCTCATATCAACTCAGGAGGTGATCCTGATCAAGAATATATATACTTTTTAGGGTAGGAGATGTCTCCTTCACTGCGTTGCACACTTTTGACCAAAATTATAATACCCTCTGCAAGGGTATAAAAACAATGTTGGAATGATTCCAATTGAATAACTTTGCCATTGGATTAGTATTTACTTTATACTAAGATCCTCTAGAATTAAAATTTGTTTATTTATAATCCTTTTTAATTTATTTAGACGTACAACTAATTTTTATGGGGTCTTTGCAGATGTATGGTCGTTATACCAAAGATCTAGGAGAATTTGCCAAAGATGAAGCCAGAAAGCTCAAAATACTTGAAAAACGACGAAAACAGGAAGATAAACAAAGGAATAAGGTAAAATTAAATATAACATAAAATCCAAGCATTCCCACAGTGCATAGAGTATAAAACTAATTACTTGTAATTTATTTGAATGCAAACTATACGAGAAATATAAATATTTAAGGTATGTGAAACAAAGAAATAAAACAAAATATTAGCACGCGGAATTATTCGACAAAGTAAATCTAAATTTGTATCGCATATTGAGTAGCAATTTTAATTCGCTATGCTGGGGATATTTTTGAACGTACCAGTTTATAAAGCAGCAGTGCTGGGAAATATTTACAGGAACTGCTAGGAAAGCAATCCACCAGAGCGAAGCGGGTCTCGTCATGGATTTGGAAGCACACGGTAGCCCGACTGGGCGAGGACTGGGTCTTCCTGGCGCTCCTGGGCATCATAATGGCCTTGCTGTCATTCATCATGGACAAGGGCATCTCCATCTGTACAAACGGTAATTGAACACATAACCCAACCGGATTCCCAGCTCGTTATCAGCATCCATTGTTGTCTTATTCCCCAGCTCGTATTTGGCTGTACCGCGATCTGACGTCACAGCCGTTCGTTCAGTACATTGCGTGGGTCTCCCTGCCGGTCTGTCTCATATTATTTTCAGCCGGCTTTGTCCATCTCATCGCTCCACAAAGTATAGGTATGTGAATTCATTCAATCACTGGCTTAAGTCTTGGAGCAATCCCTTTAATCTTCACTTTGTGACTAACTATATTGTCTCAATTATGATCCCATTACACATTTTTACCATAGTTTGCCATTTTCCCCAGGATTTTTTATTTTTATTATAAACGATTATCTTTTTTAAAAAATTAATAATGATTTAGGATTTTATAGAATCAGTATTTATATAACCAACTAACGTAAATTAAAATGTATCTTGCACATTTTTATACCCTTGCAGAGGGTATTATAATTTTGGTCAAAAGTGTGCAACGCAGTGAAGGAGACATCTCCGACCCTATAAAGTATATATATTCTTGATCAGGATCACCTCCTGAGTTGATATGAGCATGTCCGTCTGTCCGTCTGTCCGTCTGTCCGTCTGTCCGTCTGTCCGTCTGTCTGTCCGTCTGTCTGTCTGTTTCTACGCGAACTAGTCTCTCAGTTTTAAAGCTATCGTCTTGAAACTTTGCACACACCCTTCTTTCCTTTGCACGCAGTATATAAGTCGGAACGGCCCGGATCGGCCGACTATATCCTATAGCTGCCATATAACTGATTGATCGGAAATGGTATAACTTTGACGTTTTTAAAGTTAGAGAGTTCAAATTTAACATGAGAGCATTTTTTGGCAAAACATTACGACATGCCAAATTTCATAAGGATCGGCCGACTATATCCTATAGCTGCCATATAACTGAACGATCGGAAATGACCCAACTTTCGTGTTTTTGAAGATAGAAAGCTAAAACTGAATACAGATTATATTTTTGGCCAGTTGATCCAATCTACCAAATTTCATTAGGATCGGCCGACTATATCCCATAGCTGCCATATAACTGAACGATCGGAAATGGTATTTGGTAGAAATATCAACTTTCGTATTTTTGAAGATAGAAGTTTGGGACTTTTTTTTAGATTTTGTATTGAAATAAATTGGATTATATATTCCTATTCCCATAAGGATCGGCCAACTATATCCGATGTTTGCGATATATATCCGGTTTTAACTGCAAGGGTATATAAACTTCGGCTCCGCCCGAAGTTAGCTTTCCTTTCTTGTTTATGAATGAATTAGAGCTTTTAAGAAACGTTTGTTTTCGAAAGATTTGTATGGGAATCTTAAACTAATCTATATAAAAATTGATAACTAAAGTAGTGTTGATAATTTAAAATTATAGAAATACTTATTATACCTTAAAATATAACATGGTTGATATATCATTTTTCATTCTTGTATATAATTCGTAGCTAAAGCATGGCATTCAAAATAAATAATTTCTGTAAAAAAAAGTTTCGCAAATAAAGTATGCCATTCCACTTAATGCCATTTAATATATCCATATCATCTTAATACTCAAAAATAAAATCATTCCAGTTAAAGTAGAGATTGTTTTTAAAAAATTATGTCAACTCTACATCGGTTTTCCAAAAGTGTAGAAATTGTATGAATTTTTTGCTTACTTACTTTACTTCTATGGTTGATTAGGGTCAACAGCAGAGTAAAGACTATGATTTAGGTCGATGGGTTATCTTTTTCCCAAAGAAATTCTTTTTAACTTATTTAGTATCAAATAAACGTGGCTTTCATAAGAAGTGCAGTACAATAAGTACCACTGCAATCTGGCAGCTGTCCTCACCAAACACACTTGGCATTTCGAGTCTAACAATCCCATTGTGTCTACATGTTAAATACTCTAACCAGTACTAACTACTCTTAAACTAACATAGCTATAGATACTCCGATATTATTTCAAACGCAAACTCAAATATGAACAAACTGTGTTTAGGTTCCGGTATACCCGAAATGAAGACCATACTGCGCGGCGTGCAGTTGAAAGAGTATCTCACATTTAAGACATTAGTGGCCAAGGTAATTGGTTTAACGGCAACTCTGGGCAGCGGTATGCCATTAGGAAAGGAAGTAAGTATAAAAATTGATCTCACACTGCATGCAACATGCCGCTATGGCGAAGCGAGTGCAATTTGGAAAATCTATATGAGCTCCTCTCTTGGTATCCTTAGGGTCCTTTCGTACATATAGCAAGTATTGTAGCACAATTATTAAGTAAACTTGTCACATCATTCCAAGGCATATATGAGAATGAGTCGCGAAACTCTGAAATGTTGGCCGCAGCCTGTGCAGTGGGCGTGGGCGCCTGCTTTGCCGCCCCAGTGGGTGGTGAGTATATATCCGTGCTATTAGCCGGTCATCGTGTACTGCAAGCTACAGAATCTAAAAGATCTCCTATTTTCTTCGCAGGTGTTCTTTTTAGTATAGAGGTAACCACGACTTACTTTGCGGTAAGAAATTATTGGCGTGGATTCTTTGCCGCAGTGTGTGGCGCCACAGTTTTCCGACTGTTGGCCGTGTGGTTTCAAAACGCCGACACCGTAAGGGCTCTTTTCCTCACGAACTTCACCACCGAATTTCCATTCGATCCCCAGGAGCTTTTTGTGTTTGCTCTGATTGGGTAAGTGGCTCCAAAGCGATTACTTAAATTACTTTAAACAATGTGTTTATTTTTCAGACTTGTGTGCGGTTTGGGTGGTGCCTCATATGTGTGGGTCCATCGGAGATATGTCCTCTTCATGCGCTCCAATAAGCGGATGAACAAGTTCCTACAAAAAAAGTAAGTCTTTTTATTAAAATAGTTTCTTTAATAATTAATATTTAATATTCGCTTTTCAGCCGCTTTTTATACCCCGGATTCCTAGCCCTGCTGGTCTCCAGCATTTCATTTCCTCTGGGCACGGGCCAGTTCCTGGCCGGAGAACTTAGCACTCACGAGCAGGTGACACAGCTCTTTAGTAATTTTACGTGGTCTCGAGATGATCTGACCGTGGAGCAGGCTGCAGTGGTGACCCACTGGATGACAGGATACACCAGTGTCTTTGGAAATCTAGTCATTTATACCCTTTTCACCGTAAGAACTCCACAATCCATAACTTTAACTCCAACTGAATGAAATCTCAAATTTCAGTTTGTTTTCTCCATTATTGCCTCCACGATACCCGTGCCTTCGGGGATGTTTATTCCGGTTTTCAAGATTGGCGCCGGATTTGGACGGCTGGTGGGAGAGTTCATGGCTGTGACTTTTCCGCATGGAGTCCGGTACGGTGGGCGGCTGTCCCCCATTATGCCTGGCGGCTATGCCGTCGTTGGAGCGGCTGCCTTCTCCGGATCCGTGACTCACACTGTATCCGTGGCCGTGATCATCTTCGAGATGACGGGGCAGATCACTCACGTAGTTCCGGTGATGATTGCCGTGCTGGTAGCCAATGCCGTGGCAGCCCTGTTGCAGCCGTCGATCTACGACAGTATTATATTGATTAAGAAGCTTCCATATCTGCCGGATCTTCTGCCCTCTAGCTCCGGGATGTACAGCATATTTGTGGAGGACTTCATGGTGCGGGATGTGAAGTACATTTGGAAGGGCATCTGCTATCAGAAGCTAAAGGAAATTCTCAAGGCGAACAAAACGTTGAGGTCATTGCCCTTGGTGGATAGTCCGGAGAACATGATCCTACTGGGCTCTGTGCAAAGGTATGAACTGATAAAAATGATCGAAAAGCACATTGGTCGCGAGAAGCGAATGGAGGTGGCCCAAAAGTGGCAGAAGGAGGCCGAGGAGCGAGCCCTGGAGGAGGAGAAAAAGAAACAGGAGGTGGAATTGAAGATGAGACGTCCGTCACGCTTCGAGGTCCTTCCGGCCCCGGATATTCTGAGTCTACGGCAGATCGCCAACGATGAAATGTTGCCGCCCAAAAAGAGGGCGGAGACTCTGCACAGTTCACTGGCGCCCAGAAAGTCGATCCTGAAAAAGACCAACTCTTTTAACCTGAAGACCTACGGCCAACCCCTCGCTCACAGTCCGAGCATCACGCCCTACACCACGATTACCGGAAACTCCGAGTTTCGCATCCGGTCAGCCTTTGAGGCTATCTTTAAGAAGTCCACCACCCTCCAGGATGTCCAGCCAGATCCGGAAACGGGTTCCCTGTCTCCGGCAGCTAGTAACAACGAAGTGGGGGTTCAGCGAACTCCTAGCACTCCAGGTGTTTCCAAAAAGGTTCAGCTGGTAAGTGAGCCCCATAAAGTAGGCAATAGTATATTTCTAAGAGTATATAGACTTATGTATCTTCTTTTAAGTATTGGGTATCTATAGTCTGTAGCTATTATTAAGATAGTGATTTATTTCAAGCAATCACAAACTAATTGGGATTTTGTAACCGATCAAATTATGCTGGTAAGTGATGTTAAAACCTGTGTACACATATATCCATTGAAAAGTTCACGATATTTGTTCAATATATGCAAGCAAGTAAACCCTATCCCTATGGAACCAGTAAAACCACCGCCATCGGTAAATGATACAAATTATTTAAAGAAAATAGAGTAAACTTAAATCCCTAAATAATATTATTTTTATAAAGCCGGACGAGGAGGATAGTTTCGAAGAGCAAGTTAGGAGTCATGAGGATTCCGGAGATAGTTCAAGACAATTGCAAGATCAGCCCAGCATTAAATTCAAAACCAATAAAGTTTCAGATGTAAATAGATCTCCGCATTTAAGACCTGGGGATCGTCCAAAAAGACGTTCAAAAATAAGATTTTCTAATGGAGTGACTGATTCGCCTTCCCACAATAAAAGTAAAGAAAATGAAATGGGCTATATTGTAGAAGATATTGATGAAAGTATAGGTCCAGAAAACAAGGGAGAGGTGGGTATTCCTAACGGGAATATATACTCAACTAACTATATTTATGAATATTTTCTCTATTTCTAACTGCTAATATATTAACTAAAATAAGAGCCTTCAGAGAACAAAGTCGGTGCAGTTGGTACGTTTGTAATAGGAATGGAAATTAACTTCCACCAGTTCTTAATTAATTCATTTGTTTTACAATCTTATTGTAGCCCCGAGAGCGTGTAATCGACATGTCCCCAGAGGATCAAAAGCAATGGGAGCTCGAGGAAATGTTGAAGCCCATTGACCTGCAGAAGGCCAATGTCCATATCGATCCTTCACCGTTCCAGCTGGTGGAACGCACCTCAATACTCAAAGTTCATTCACTGTTCTCCATGGTTGGCATCAATCATGCCTATGTCACCAAAATTGGCAGACTTGTAGGCGTTGTGGGCCTGAAAGAAGTAAGTAGCTCTATACAACCTTTAAAGAATGTTTTATAATTGGAATTGAATTTTCAGTTACGAAAGGCCATTGAGGACATAAACAGCAATAATTTTGTAGCCCCCACTCGCGATGAAGATGCGGAAGATAAGCCCGCTGTGGAGAAACCTCTCCTTCCACCAAACACAAGTGATAAGGCCGTAGACATGACCGTCACGTCAATGGACTCGGCGCTATCCAACTCCGAAAACTGTTCGGACATCGAAATGGAGCACATAAAGCACACGGATACGGACGCAGTTACGCTCACCATCCCGCCGCAGGACTCGAGCCAAAACCCACCGGCGGACACAACGACAGAAAATGGAAATCATTGAGCTTGAAACGAGATGGTCGCCTATCATAGTAGATAATACGATGCGTATACGTAATATGTTTGTAAAGATCAACTAAAAACCTTACCATAAGTTACGCCTTACACGAGTTAGTCATCAATGTTATTATGTATTTATATCTCGTTAGTTTCTAATGTCAAAGATATCGTGATTTATATATTAAGCTGAAAGAAAGTTAAGTCCCCAACGAAAATGTGTTTTTTAATAGGGGGTGTAAAATAAAAAATATCGGTGCTGAAATAGCCAAACTATAAATGAGCGGAAAAGGAAAGCTTTTAAATAGGATAGTAATAAAAGCAAACCTATAAGGTCAAGCCTGTTAACTATCTATCTACTATCTGCTATATAGAAACTATCTACTAATCAACGTTTATCAAAATTCAAATTTTGTTACATTTTCCAATATTGATAAAAAATCAATCTACCAACACTGTTTTGGGACTCATTTCAACACTAATTTCAGCAGCTGATTGGTAGTGTTGGAAAATACTCGGAAATTATTGTGTATTGCTTGCTTCAAATATTTTCTATGCAAACTCAAAAATAATAATCACAGCCAGAGTTCTTTGCAATTTTGAGGCAGTGAGCGGGGATTTGGCTGCCGACGGCTGCGAGGTGTGTGTGCGTGTTTACATAAGATGCTTATATCAATTCCAATTACTTGTATGCCACTTGCGTGGCGGGCGTGGCGTTGAACGGAAAAAAATGAATATGAACGCACGGTCATAAAGCCTGAAAAACGCCTCGGGACAGTACAAAAACAATAACAATTTCGATCGGCGATCGACGTTGGGCTAATCATTTATGCCAAACGCAGAAAGAGAGAGCCTAATTAGCATATCAAATTGGATGACGGCAGAGGGGCCAGGAAAAAAAAATAAACCTAAACAATTCCGTTTCTGGATTTCTACTCCGCAGATTTGGCCAGAAACTCTGGTGGCAATGTGCTGGGCAAGATGTCCCGACTCGCTGATTACTTCGTAATTGTCGGCTACGACAGCGATAAGGAGAGTAAGTACTACATGGAAACAATATCCGAAATATATACATTTATTTATATGCTCCACAACGTTTATCACAGAAACGGCCAGCAATGTGTGCGGGCAGCCAACTTGCGGCAAGATCGTACAGCGCTTTCCCGAAAAAGATTGGCCGGACACTCCGTTTATCGAGGGCATTGAATGGGTGCGTTATTGGGGTGAAGAAATTGCACCTGCAGCTAATATTATAGCATTAAAGCTGGTGACCTAAGCCTTTATGATTATAATTTGGATATTCCCTTAGTGAATACGAATTTTTAGCTTAAAAGTCATTATACTTTCGATGCTAATATACTAACCACAAGTGTTTATGTCACCCATTATTATTATCGTATATTTTTGTTATTCCCTCAGTTCTGCCAGCCTCTGGGATGGAACTTATCGTACGAGAAGCAGGAGCCCAAGTTCTTCGTATCCGTGTTGACGGATATCGATGCCAACAAGCACTACTGCGCCTGTCTCAGTTTCCACGAGACGCTGGCCATCACCCAGACACGGAGTGTAGACGACGAGGATGAGACCATTGGAAGCAGTAGGCTGCTGGGCAGCGAGCCCACAACAGAGACAGTGGCGCCAGCTCCAATCACCCACCACAGTGTTATGTATGCGCCCAAGTGCCTGGTTCTCATATCTCGATTGGATTGTGCGGAAACTTTTAAAGTAAGATTCATATTTCTATAGAAAAGTTTGCTTTTATGCGATAGGGGGAAAATGGAATTTAACAGAGTATCTTTTAAAGTTTGTATATAAAGATTTCCTCATTTCTTTTTTCAGAACTGCCTAGGCACTATATACACGGTGTACATCGAGAACCTGGCATACGGAATGGAGACCCTTATAGGCAACATCTTGGGCTGCATCCAGGTTCCTCCTGCTGGTGGACCCCAGGTACGCTTCTCGATCGGCGCGGGTGACAAGCAGTCGTTGCAGCCGCCGCAGAGCTCCTCACTGCCTACAACCGGAAGTGGAGTGCACTTCTTGTTTAAACAGCTCGGCATCAAGAACGTGTTGATATTACTCTGCGCCGTGATGACAGAAAACAAGATCCTATTCCTGTCCAAGTGCTACTGGCATTTGACCGAGAGCTGCAAGGCCTTGGTGGCGCTGATGTATCCCTTTCGATACACCCATGTGTATATACCCATTCTGCCGGCGCCACTCACTGAGGTACTGTCCACGCCTACACCCTTCATCATGGGCATACACAGTTCACTGCAGACAGAGATTACGGACCTGATGGATGTAATAGTCGTGGATTTGGACGGTGGTCTTGTCACCATTCCCGAGTCGCTTACGCCACCTGTTCCAATATTGCCATCTCCGTTGTGGGAGCAGACGCAGGAGCTGCTCAGCATGATCCTATTTCCGAATCTGGCCCAGGCGGATCTGGCATTTCCCACCCAAGAGCGCCCGTCGGCGCTGGCCAAGACTGACGCCCAGATCGACAAGGAGCTTCGCGCCATCTTCATGCGTCTCTTTGCCCAGATGCTGCAAGGTTATCGCTCCTGCCTGACCATAATTAGGATCCATCCAAAGCCAGTGATCACCTTCCACAAGGCCGGTTTCCTCGGCGCCCGCGATCTCATCGAGAGCGAGTTCCTTTTTCGAGTTCTGGACAGCATGTTTTTCACTACATTTGTTAACGAACGAGGACCTCCTTGGAGGGCCTCCGATGCATGGGATGAGCTATACAGCTCCATGAACGAATTGCTCAAAACGGAAGCTCAAAACAGGAATCTCGTAAGTAAAAACCATATTTTTGTATGCGACTTTTATTAATTGGAATATTTTACACGATGTTAGATACTCACACATATCCAGGAGCTGGGTCGAATCCTCCAGGAAAACGAGGGAACTCTGGCCCACACTAGCTATGCCCAAAAGGTGCTGCGTCCTCCAGAAGGTGCCTTCCAGCGCATCCATCAGCCTGCCTTTCCGCGTATTAGCTCCGAAAAGGTGGAGCTCATAATCCAAGATGGAATCCGGAAGAATGGGACGACGCAGCGGTTCCAAATCACCCGCAATCAACACCGAATTATCCCTATGGGACCACGGTTGCCCGAGGCATTGGATGTTCGCCCAAATGTCCACAACTCTGCCAGGAGATTGGAGGTCCTGCGTACCTGTGTTTCGTACATATTTGAGAACAGGATTGCGGACGCTAGAAAACTTCTACCGGCTGTGTTACGCACACTGACCCACAGGGATGCGCGCCTGATCCTTTGCCGAGAGCTGTTCGGCTATGTGCATGGCAACAAGGCGGTGTTGGATCACCAGCAGTTCGAATTGGTGGTGCGTTTCATGAACAAGGCCCTGCAGAAATCATCAGGAGTAGATGAGTATACCGTGGCGGCCGCCCTGCTGCCCATGTCAACAATCTTCTGCCGCAAACTATCATCTGGAGTGGTGCAGTTCGCTTACACGGAGATTCAGGATCATGGCATCTGGAAGAACCTTCAGTTCTGGGAGTCCACCTTCTACCAGGATGTGCAGGGTCAGATCAAGGCATTGTATCTGCTTCATCGCCGCCAGAATGAACACCAGAAGGAGGCCAATTGCGTTCTGGACGAAGTGCCGCTGGAGGAGCCATCAGCGCTAGAAATCACGGCCGAACAGCTGCGAAAGAGCCCTACCATCGAGGAGGAGAAGAAGTCCGAGCTAGCCAAATCCGAGGAGTCTACGCTGTATAGCCAAGCCATCCACTTTGCCAATCGCATGGTCTCCCTACTGATCCCACTTGACGTAAATGTGGACGCTGCCAGTAAACCCAAACCCGCTTTCCGCCTGGAGGAGAATCAGAGTGTTTCCAATAGGTAAGGATGAACATGTCACTAAAGCTTACATTTTTTAATGAGGATTCTTTTGAATTATAGTATTATAGGCTCCCATAGCCTAAGCGAACATTCCGACGAAGGATTTGAGGAGAACGATGCGCTGGAGATCAGCAATACGGTGGCGAAGACCATTTCCCGTTTCATCGACTGCGTGTGCAACGAGGGCGGTGTTACCTCGGAGCACATTCGAAATCTGCACGACATGGTTCCGGGGGTAGTGCACATGCACATCGAATCCCTGGAGTCGGTCTATCTGGAGGCAAAGCGACATCCGCACGTACAAAAGCCGAAGATCCAGACCCCTTGCCTATTGCCCAGCGAGAACATAGTGGCGGACCACCTGCGATGCTTCCTTATGCCCGACGGACGCGAGGACGACACCCAGTGTCTGCTTCCCGCCGAGGGGGCCCTCTTCCTGACCAACTACCGTGTGGTATTCAAGGGATCTCCCTGTGATTCGCTCTCCTGCGAGCAGGTTATCGTACGCTCCTTTCCGATCGCCTCACTGCTGAAGGAGAAGAAGATATCGGTGCTGTACCTGTCGCACCTGGATCAGACTCTCCCGGAGGGCCTGCAACTGCGCTCCAGCAGTTTCCAGCTCCTAAAAGTGGCCTTTGATGTTGAGGTGACGCCGGAGCAGATCGAGAACTTCAGGAAGATATTGAGCAAGGCGCGTCATCCGTTCGATGAGTTCGAGTACTTCGCCTTCCAATCCTACGGAACTATGCTTCAGGGTGTGGCGCCGCTGAAGACCAAAGAAAAGTATTCAACGCTCAAGGGATTCGCCAAGAAAACGTTACTGCTGACGGCCAAGAAAGCTGGCTTCAAGCAAAAGCAGCAAACCAAACGCAAGCTGGTTTCGGATTACGAGAATGGGAGATCAGACGCTGAAGCCCTGGACACACAGTCGATCGATGACGAGCTGGAAGACGGAGATGAGTTCGAGACTCAAAACAACACCATGCCTAGACTGCTCACCGCCAAGGATATAGAAAGAATGCGGGAGCGTAGCTACGTGCTCGACTGGAAGAGACTCGGATTCGACGCTGAGTCGCAGCGTGGATTCCGCATCAGCAATGTGAACACCAACTACGCCACTTGCCGATCCTATCCGGCAATAATCGTGGCCCCAGCCCAGTGTAGTGATGCTGCCATAAGTCACCTCGGCAGGTGCTTCAAGAGCCAGCGTATCCCGCTACCCACGTGGCGGCATTCCAACGGGGCTCTGCTCATTCGCGGAGCTCAGCCCAACAGCAAGTCGGTCATCGGAATGCTGAAGAACACCACCGGCACCACGAATGCCCACCATGATGTCACCCACTATCCCGAGCAGGACAAATACTTCCTGGCGCTGATTAACACGATGCCCAAGCTGACCCCCCTGGCCCTCAACCAGTACTCCGGCATGAATCTCTCGATGGGCTCTCTGCTGGGTCACAGCTCAGCGGACGAGCGGCAGACTCTCACGCCGGAGCTGTCTCGGAAGCACAAGACCAATCTGGACATGAACGATGGGGGCAAGTCGAGACAAAGTGGCGGAAAGGGGGGCACCATGAAGGGAAACACTTCCGCCAACGCCTTCCGCAAAATGCGGCTGTATGCTTTGGGTAAGTTTACTTAACATTGTTCAGTGGAAAAAATTCTATCTTTTTCTTGATTTCCAGGTGAAAAATCGCAGGCCAAGTCGAATATGAACGTGGACTTTTGCGCAGATTTCATTCCGGTAGACTATCCAGATATTCGGCAATCGCGTCTTGCTTTCAAGAAACTCATTAGAGCCTGCATGCCTTCCCACAACACCAATGAGGCAGATGGCCAGAGTTTCGCGAAGATGGTGGAACAGTCCGACTGGCTGCAGCAAATCTCCTCGCTGATGCAACTGTCCGGTGCCGTGGTGGACCTAATCGACCTGCAGGAGAGCAGTGTCATGTTGTCCCTGGAAGATGGCTCCGATGTGACCACCCAACTGAGCTCAATCGCCCAACTCTGCCTGGATCCATACTATAGAAGCCTGGATGGCTTCCGGGTGCTGGTGGAAAAGGAGTGGCTGGCATTCGGACACCGCTTCGCTCATCGCAGTAACCTAAAGCCTTCGCATGCCAACACGAACATAGCTTTTGCACCGACTTTCCTACAGTTTTTGGATGTCGTCCACCAGCTACAGCTGCAGTTCCCAATGGCCTTCGAGTTCAATGACTTCTATCTGAGATTCCTGGCCTACCATTCGGTGTCCTGTAGGTTTCGTACGTTTCTTTTCGACTGCGAATTCGAAAGATCGGACTCGGGCATCGCCGCCATGGAGGACAAGCGGGGCACTCTGAACGCCAACATGTTCGGAGGAGGTGGCTCGGACGACGAGTGCAATGTGTATCCGATGGACATGAGAGCACCGCGCACTCCCGCTCCCCTAAACCGCATTGGGCACTCCATATTCGACTATATCGAGCGCCAACACAACAAGACTCCAATATTTTACAATTTCCTATACTCCGGCGGCAAGGACACCGTCCTGCGACCGCAAAACAGTGTGGCTGCCTTGGACCTGTGGAGGTACTACACCAACGAGGAGCTGGCCCAGGGTCCGCCGTATGATCTGGAAGTTACCACCGTGGACGATGAAGTCGACCTGTCCGAGTTGAAGGGCAAGCGCATGGTAATCTCCTCCGGCTACGATAACCTCGAGAAGTACAATCCCAATGCCTATGTGTGCCTGCTGAGCGAGGTCAAGCAGGCGGAAACGGAGCGGGGGCACTTGCCCCAGAAATGGCTGCAGGTGTGGAACAATCTGGAGGTGCCGAAGCTGGAGCCGATAGTCTCCCACAACTCGTCGCTCGGCGACATCTACGTGCAGGCGCATCAGCACAAACGCTCAACGCTTGATATAATCATGAAGGGCAGGCTGGCGGGATATCAGGATAAGTACTTCCATCCGCATCGGTTTGAGAAGCATCCCTACACCACTCCGACGAACTGCAACCACTGCACCAAGATGCTGTGGGGTCCGGTGGGATACCGCTGCATGGACTGTGGCAATTCCTACCACGAAAAGTGCACGGAGCTCTCGATGAAGAACTGCACCAAGTACAAGGCCATTGACGGAACAGTGGGGCCCCCAAATGTGAACATGTCGCAGGGCGACACCGCTAGCATAGCCTCCAGTGCCGCCACCACTGCACGCACTTCAAGCCATCACTTCTACAACCAGTTTAGCAGCAATGTTGCCGAGAATCGGACGCACGAGGGGTGAGAACTTACTCTATATTTGGTGATATCTTAATCTTTAATACAATCTCTACCATAGGCACCTTTACAAACGTGGGGCTTTGCTCAAAGGGTGGAAGCAACGCTGGTTTGTCCTGGACTCGATTAAGCACCAGCTTCGTTACTATGACACATCCGAGGATACCGCACCCAAAGGCATTATTGGTACTTGAGATGACTTATTGTTTATATTTCGGCATTACAACTTTGCCGTTTATTTCAGAACTGGCCGAGGTACAATCGGTGACTCCGGCACAACCTGCACAAATTGGCGCAAAAGGCGTGGATGATAAAGGATTTTTTGACGTAAGAACAACCTCAACTGCCCTGACAACTGGATATTAATAGTTTTCTATTCATCAACAGCTGAAGACGTCAAAGCGCACATACAACTTCTATGCGGTTAATGCTAACCTGGCACAGGAATGGATCGAAAAGTTGCAGGCTTGTTTGCAATAGACAGTGAAGCATCTTCCGAATTCGATCCCGAATCCGAATTTCGTTTATTTTCCTCCTTTCCATATACTTTTCTAAATGCCCATCCGAAAGTTTCGTTGTAGTAAAAACCAGTATCTTTATACTAATATGTATTAATATGAATCTGTGGCTTTGTGTATCATATCGTAGCTAAACCTATTGCATACCTTAGCGTTTCCTTAGTTGATTTGATTTGAGAAATCGCAAGCAACCATTAACTTAGATGTAGCAACAATTATGCCAAGCAACAAGCAAACGTTAGTTAATGAATGAAATCCACTCTGTAAATGTGAATGTAAAGAAACTATAAAATGATGTGATTATACATATATGAAAAGAAACAAAATCCGACTATATGATAAATTAACGATAATATGAGATGATGATGATGCCACGCCCGCAAACTTTTTATATACATTTTTTTATATACATATATATATATAAATATATCCCTACGCATACAGAACTATATAGGATTATAGTAAATGTACCAAAGATTATTCCACCTTTGTTGCGCAATGAAAATGCATTTCTCGGTTGCTTCCTTTAAACTAAACCCTATTAATCCACGCTTTCCTTTATTTATACACACTACATGGTAATCAATATAATACATACGTTTAATGCAATTATTTGTGGCTTACAAACGATAATATACATATTTAAACAAATGCGCAGTTGGTTTTCTTTGCTATTGTTATTATCCTTAGAGGAGATCCCTATCCTTAGCCTGCCCATCCATCATAGGAACGTTGTCCAGTAGACAATGTTGAGTATGAAGAACGAGAACGGGAAGAAAAAGCGCGAGAACTTGTCTATATAAATGGCTGTGGCATGTCCGTGGCAGAAAGTATCGTACTGCGGTTCGATTATCGACTCCCGATGGTGCTGCAGAGCGGCCTTAGAGGCGTCAGTATACCTTCTGTGACTGCGTTTCCAACTCACCTTCAAATCATCCAGATCGCTGATATTCTCGTCCGAGTATCCCTTCATCGCCTTGGTGGCCACCGGCCCCATGTAGTTGTTAACCACGGCGAACTCCATCAGCGAGAGAAAGACGAAGACCGAACAGGACGACATCCAGACATCTATCGCCTTCACATAGGAGACCGGGGGCAGAGACTGCTGGGATTGCGTGTTCTGGGTGGCAAGGGTCAGCAGCGAAGTCACTCCCAATGTGACACGGGCCGGTATGGCCTCCGGCTTGATCCAAAACGATATCCACGACATGACCACGATCAGAGCCGAGGGGATGTAGGTGTGGAATAGATGGTAGCCCAGGCGCCGTCGCAGGTTGAACACAATGGCCAGGCAGGTGAAGTTCCCTGGACGAAATATATATTTTAAATTAAGAAACCTTAAAAAAGATATTATGAAACTCACCTGTGGAGTACTCTATAGTACAATCGGTTGTGTAGTTGTTCGATATATCCAACTGTGGCAACTCAATCTCCGCATTGACCACAAGGGGATCGGTCATGTTCCAAATGAAAACCAAATCCTCCACCGTGTGGGATACTAGCAATCAAAATTTTGTTAAGTACTGACATCCAAAGGACATCTAAACTACATATTTTTGGGGCAAGTTTAAGGGAAGTTTTTCAAGCGATATGGATTAGCTGGGCTGGAGAACAGGTTGACCACGTTTCCACCTACAACTCTCAATCATCATGGAACAGATTTGCGTGTCGTGGGGATAGGACTCGAACTTCATGGCACACGACAGCACCAGTGTGAGCTTGGACATGTAGAGCAGCGTTTTGTCGTGGTACAACCAGAGATAGTGATTGGGGATGCTCATCTCGTGGAAGGTGACCTTCTTGGCGTTCTTGAAGAAGCAGTCCGGCCGCCAGATGCTGTGCAGCCAGTCCACGTCGAGGATGCGGTACTGCTCGCTCATGTTCTCGGGCAGCCGCAGGCGAGGATCCCGCCAGCTTTGTGCTAGGAATATATCCGTCACATAGGTCTGTCGGAGAGTTACAATAAAATTTTTATACAAAAAAATATAAAACTTGACTTGCCATAGACTCCTCGTTAATGGAATCTAGCGATAGCACCGTGACATGGAAATAGACGACTGTGGGCTGGCCCAGTAGCTTGGGTGCCCGGTTCTTGTCGTAGGTCTTTGAGGGTATAGGCAGGATGTCCGGGAGCGAGAGACTCGACTCGTAGTGGGACACCAGCTCGGCGCTCTCCGTATTGTTTCTGGAATGCAGAAAACCTTGTGACGAATTCTGATGAAACAGGGCAACCGCACACCCCGAGCACTCACCTGAAACCATGAACACAGTGGCACGGCCGGATCGATTGCTCCAGCGCTTGCAGGTAGATTGCAACGGCAATCAGGAATTTATACTCTACCGATTTCCTAGTTAGGCTTTGCATTATGAACACACACTACTTTTTGATTTATCAATATGATTCGCCCACGACACATCGCTCTGCAGTCCATGTCATTTGAGCAGGTCACTCATTTCTGGCTGGGCATGGGCATGGAAGTGAACTTGATTGGATTATCGTAAAGTGCAGAACGGGGAATTATTTTTTACTGGTCGCGTTGTAAAAACCAATAAGCATACGACAGAGTTATCGCGACGATTGTGATGCGCTGCAAAGTGTGATAAATTAATTTCTAAGGTTTCATTCGCTTTCATTGGCATTCGTCACACGACTTTTCAAATTGACAACTGACCCCGGCGAGCGGAATGTCGAAGAGGAAATGTGCGTACCGACTGGCAAGGGCATTAATTTAAATGTCCGCTCTGTATTTTGCAAAAATACATCAAAGAAATATGAAGAGCTTTTCTGTTTGGCTGATCAGAAATTCAAAAGTAGAATATGGCGCCAACTTTCCTAGTCAAAAACAGTTTATTTTCAACGTTTCTGAGAGTCTCTTAACTTCTTAACAATATTCACTAATTTTTTTAATACATATAGATTAGAATAAAAGAGTTAAAGCAAAAGATATCAACTTAATTCATGAAGATAAATTGTAAAGCACAAGCCGGAAACGCCCTGTAGTGTAACGGTCTATGTTGCCAACTACTTTCCGGTCTGGCAGCGCTGGCGCCAAAACAGCTGTTCCCCGAGTTGGCAACACTATGAGGTCAAAATATTGATTGTTTCACTTGCCTTGGAAAATTTTTGAATATGTGGGACTAGAAAAACAGGTATTTAAAAAATTTCTAAACGGCAACAAGTGAAATATAATAAATGTGAAGCTCATCATAAGGGAAATGGAACTCTGTAGTCTGATTAAAGGTGAGTAACAGACACTGAATTCCGGTAAGAATCTCCCGAATTCGCAATGAGATCCGGGTGGGTCAGGGGTCAGGGGTCCCTTTTCCTTTGTGCAGTGACGCGATTCCGCTGCGGCGCATTGTGCAACTTGTGGATATTGATTAATTGCAAGAACACCGAGATACACAAAACATAATTTTAAAGATTTTAAAATTTTCTCTTACCTTTTGTTATAAAGGTTAATAAGCAAACACTGCGCAGTACAAAAATTGAGACAACAAAAACCATGGAATCGCCACTGTATCCAAAGGCCAACAACAATATGAGCTCCTCTGACAAGATGAGCTCCAGCTTGAACAGCAGCACTTTGGAGGACACCACTCCCAGCGATTCAGGCATTCAGCTCCTTGACTCGGAGAACAGTGATGTCATGGTTGAATCTATCTGCTCCTACGAGGAGCAGCAGAGAACACCCCATGCCATTCCGCCGGCTGATCCCAATTCTAATGTGGAGGCCATGACCACCAGCGAGTGCTCTACGTTCGACACCACCGAGAAGATCGTGTACCGCCGGAAGGTCCACAAACCCTCGTCCGCCTCCAAGACGCCCAAGAAACGGGTGTCCTTCCACGAAGACATACTGAAGAACACTCGCACCGACAACATTCACATAGAGCACGGCTTCATCACCTACAAGAATGGTCGGAAGCTGGCGTTTGCCAACTCTGCCGGCGTGGCTGGGGCTCCGGGCCGCTACTCCTGGTGCCCGGACCGCGAACGTGCCGAAGGACCCAGTGAAATCAGTGCCGCCGGACGGGAGGACGACGGCGAGGAAGCAGTCGGCGGCGGAGGAACCCGGCGAAAAAGGCACCTAGTCTATCGGAATGCCTGCTCGGATGTACTGGACTATGCCAACTCGGACATTTTTGATACGGACGAGCCCAGTGGACTGCAGTACGATGCATCGGGTGTCTTCGAATATGGACCAAAGGCGGAAAAGAAGGAGGAGCCACGGTTGTACAAATGCGTCTGCAGCAGCTCCAACTCCAGCCTGGACTCTGACGAACAGGACAAGAACTCCAATGCCAACCGTAAGCAGTACGAGCAGGCTAAGAGCAGCTCCTGTGACTGCATCGGGATGAGCAATGCCAATAATAATCTTATCGGTAAGTAAAGGGATACATTACTTTTCAGAAATATTTAAACATTATTCGAATTCCAGGTGAAAACTGCTACTATTCGGAGCCCAACATCGGAGATGCCGACAGCCCAAAGGTCAAGTCGGTTTGGAACAAGGAGAAGAAGCCCAAGTCGAGCTGCCTGAAGAAAACCAAACGCTACACCAACATCACCCTCGAACAGGACCTCAATGGCCGGGTTAAGAAATTCAACGTGCATGACATCAAGCACCAGTTGTTGGACAACAGCAGCAAGATGATTTTTGGCTCTTTGAAGAGTATATTCACCATGCCGCTGCCTGAGCGGGGTGTACCCGAAGGCTCGGAGGACCTTCAGGCGGTGGTAGAGTGCGTCCCAGAGCTGGAGCAGCAAACGCCGGAGCATCTGCCGCGGCCAGGAGCCGAGTCACCGCCGCTCAAAGCCAAGCCATTCCTCAGCAAGAGTCTGGACGGGAGCAAGCAGACACCGCCGGTCAAAAAATTTGTGCACAACGTCGACGAGCAGCTGCGCCGCAAAAATGACGACGACAGTGCCAGCTCCTCGGAGACATCACCCGTGGAATCGAAGCAGTCACACATACTACACCGCCAAGATGAGTTCGATAAGGAAACAGTTCCCATAGGCAGCGCACAAGGCGGCGAGTTCCGCAGCAAGTTCATCATTAATTGCGAAAGCACCGTCTTCGAGCACACGGGTGTATCCTACGAGGCGGGCGAGCCCCAACCCGAGCTCTCTGCCTCGATCCAGCACACCAGTGTGGCCGGTTTGCTGGAGCAGAACACTCCGATAGCGGAACCAGCAGCTAGTCATATTAAAAAATCATTCATGGACGCTCCCATTGCCAAGACGTTTAGTAATTTCTTTCGCAGCTTCAAGGAGAGCACCAGTACAGTGGCCACGCCACTTGAAAAGGACGTACCGGCAGTTACTGACAGCACTTTAGGTGAGTGGGTTGGGAAATTTGTTTAGAATTACTTATGCTTTAGTTTATGAAATTAATCATTTCAAAAATTTTATAAATGAGTCAGCCAAACTTGTTATGATTATTTCTGTCAATACATAGCGTTTAGTTTTTTAAATAAAAGCTAAGCAATTTAGGAAAATTTAAAATTTTAATTTTAATAGCTACCATATAACTTTTTGAACGGAAAATGTTTTAACTTAAAAGGTTAAGACTTTTAATGGATGCTATTTTTTAGTCTTAAGTCTTATTCGACCTGCCTAAGAATCGACCGACTATATCCTATAGCTGTCATATAAAGCAAATACAAGCATTGGATTTTTCTAAAAATTTTATATTATATCGAAAGGTTCTCATATATTACTTCCTATATTAATTATATATTTCATTATATGTAAATGTATCCTCACAAATAACCTTAATTCTACCTTAATTTATAAAGGAAACATATTTTTTTATAAATTATAAATCTGGAAATGTAAACACTCCTATCTCCATTGCCTACTTTGAAGAGCGCCTTAAAGTCAAATAGTAATAAAGAGCCCAATTTTACCGATTGTTTACGAATAATAACATTTCATAAGAAGCTTTAGTTTGGTAACAATTTAATAAAATTAAAAAAAAAAAATTATTAAAAAATAGCGCCGTCCTCCTCGATTCTCATAGGTTGCACTTAAGCAAGCCCGAAAAATAGGAAAAAATAATTTTTTTTTTTTGATAATTTTGTTGACTGTATTTTTTAGTGGCTATATCATTGACTATATCCATATATGCATCCGATTAATCGGAAACGCCATAACTTTCGTGTCTTTGAAGATAGAAGCTTGGTACTTTTTTTTTAAAGATTTTTTTTCTAAATAATTGGTTTTATCATAAAATTCTAATAAGGATCGGCCTACTATATGCGAAATTTGATGAATATCCAATCTTAACCGCAAGGATATATGACTTAGCTTTCCTTTCTTGTTTGTTTTAAATATATACTATATCCAAACGGTCAGATATTTATATACCTATGAGAATCGGTCAGCTGTATCTGATATTTGCGTTCTATGTATATCCTTAATTCCTTACATTCCTTCGTTACCTTAATTCTTCTATGATTTCCAAAGATAAACATGTTTGTTTATAAGTTATAAATCTGGAAATGTAAAAGCTCATATCTTCATTGCCTACTTTGAAGAGCGCCTTGACGTCAAATAGTAATAAAGAGCCCATTTTTACCGATTTTTTGCGAATAATAACTGTTTAGAAGATGCTTTAGTTTGGTAACAATTTAATAAAATTTATTTTAAAAAATTAATTAATAATTAGCGCCCTCCTCCTCGATTCTCATAGGTTGCACTTAAGCAGGCCCAAAAAATCGGGAAACAAATTTTTTTTTTTGTAACTTTTTTTTTATATCTTTAGGCGTCTATAAACCATGTGTAAATCCATATATGCAACCGAATCGTAAATTCCACGACTTTTTTTTATACCCTTGCAGAGGGTATTATAATTTTGGTCAAAAGTGTGCAACGCAGTGAAGGAGACATCTCCGACCCTATAAAGTATATATATTCTTGATCAGGATCACCTCCTGAGTTGATATGAGCATGTCCGTCTGTCCGTCTGTCTGTCCGTCTGTCTGTTTCTACGCGAACTAGTCTCTCAGTTTTATAGCTATCGTCTTGAAACTTTGCACACACCCTTCTTTCCTTTGCACGCAGTATATAAGTCGGAACGGCCCGGATCGGCCGACTATATCCTATAGCTGCCATATAACTGATTGATCGGAAATTGTATAACTTTGACGTTTTTAAAGTTACAGAGTTCAAATTTGACATGAGTGCTATTTTTGGCAAAACATTACGACATGCCAAATTTCGTAAGGATCGGCCGACTATATCCTATAGCTGTCATATAACTGAACGATCGGAAATGACCCAACTTTCGTGTTGTTAAAGATAGAAAGCTGGAACTTGGTACAGATTATATTCTTGGTCAGTTAATCCGATCTACCAAATTTCATAACGATCGGCCGACTATATCTTATAGCTGCCATATAACTGAACGATCGGAAATGGTTTTTGGTAGAAATACCACTTTTGGTGTTTTTGAAGATAGAAGCTTGAGACTTTTTTTAGATTTTGTATTGTAATAAATTGGATTATATATTCATATTTCCATAAGGATCGGCCAACTATATCCGATGTTTGCGATATATATCCGGTTTAAACTGCAAGGGTATATAAACTTCGGCTCCGCCCGAAGTTAGCTTTCCTTTCTTGTTTTGAGATGGAATCTGTTCAATATTTTCAGTATTACCTTATAACATAAGCTGCCACTTCATTGCAAGGGTATACAAACTTCGGCTCAACCCAGAGTTAGCTTTTCTTTTTTTTAGTGATGTTCTTTCCAATATTGGGCCGAGTTTTTTTGTTTCATCTCTAATGGGTTTTTAAAGTAATATATTTTTAAAAAATTTGCAAAAATTAATTAGATGTATTTCTTACAGTTTCCAAAATGTCAAAGCCGCAGCAGCCGGCTGCTTCTGTCGGCAAGCTCTGCAGGAATTACTCATCATCGACCATATCCGAACCCAGTTCCCTCACCAACACCAGCAGCAACCAGCAGCACGCGAAGAGTGTCGACCGTCATACGAATGCCAGGCACCTGCCGTCCCCGCTCAAGAAACCAGGACAACCCCTCCAGCCGCCTCGTTACTACGACCAGCAGCACTCCCTTCAAAGTCGTAGCCTGCACAGCCCCAGCGCCTATCTGACGCCGGGAAGAGGTGGTCCTGGTGGCAGTGGGCGCGACTCAAAAAGCACAATCCTCAGTGAGGAGTTCGATGATATACTGACCATAACTACTACGGACACGGCAAACGACAAGCGCTCAATGGACAGTGATCTGGTCATCGTGGATTACACGGATGTGGACTATGCACACCTGCTGAAGCCTCCGGCACCGGCAGCCAAGACATCGCTGATCAATCGATTCCTACGCAACGTAACCCAGAAGAAAATCATGGAGACTTCCATTCGCAAGAACAACTTCTTTGCCGACAAACTAAGAACCGAGCAACGGCATATGGGTTCGGATTTGTACGTGAAGGGAGCCCGGCCAAGGAACTATGAACTGATTGATGACCTCAACGCGGAGATCGCCATGGAGATCGAGATGTGCGGTACGAACTCCCCGCGCCGGGAACTGGCCATCAGTCTGGACACTGATCTACCTGGATGCTCGTCCCATTTCGAACTCGGTATAGGAGAGGTCTCAATCGACTTGTTTAGAGAGAAGCGATTGCTTAACTTGCACCACTCGGATGAGCAGCTCATGAAGGTGGTGAATGCTTATACTCACAAATATATCTTTAAACTCATATCCTAATCCCTAGGTCTTCAAATTGTATACGGGCTACAGCGTCGATGGTATTATGACTCCTGTACTGGTTCTTCTGACAGATAAAACCCTATATGTTGCAAATCTGGATCGTGATCGACTCTCGGCAAAGTTTGTCTTGGCTTACAAAGACCTAGATGTCATACTGGTAAGAATAAACTAGTGCTAGTCTTCTCTCTTAAGGATACCTTTAACAATCATCTTCTCATTGCAGATGGGACCCTTTGGAAATACGGTTTTGTTAAGCAACAGCATGCGGGACATGCAGCAGGTTCTGCTTGCCGGCGGACCTTATCCAGCCGGATCTCTGGTGGCTAATTTGGAACTATGCGCCAGACGCAGTGGCTCCACCTTGCCGGCGGTAGGCCAACTGACCTTGGAGCACTTGGCTCCGCTGCAGGCTTTTGTGCGGGCCAACAGTTGCGTTGGCCGGGATGAGAACTGGATGTTTTACGCAGTCGTTAATGTGCCAGCGGCTGGTGCTTTGATGGTGGAATCGCCAAGCGAACCACTAGGACCTTCCATTAAAGGATTCCTTATGCACCGTCGTCTCAGGACAAACGCCAAGGCACCAGCGAGAATATACTGGCAACCGGGCTACTTTCTTCTGAAGTACGTAGCCATCAGTGTTCTATTTCCCTTGAAGAACTGTTTTAATCCACGCTTCTGTACTTTTTAGAGCTGGCGTGTTGTACATGTTCAACGATTCCACGCAAAGACTTCCCAGCTGGGCGGTGGCTCTAGCCGAGTGCCAGGGCGCAAGGAGAACTATGAAATCGGAGCGACCACACTGCTTCGAGATGATGCTCAAAGGCGAACTGCTGCAAATGGCAGCGCCCGACGAGTACGTGGCCTCCGAATGGCTCCAAGCTCTTCTGCAGTCCGCCAGTGGGGTATGAGTTTTAATATTTGAATCTCTGTTCATTTATTTTATATTATTTTTGTTTTCTTAGCTTAATAATCCGCAGGAGAAGCACAAAACTTTGGGTTGCACTTTAATTGTTACCCAAAACCATCTGATAACTCTACGCGAGGACTTTTCGGCTCCTTTAAGGCAACTCAGCCAGCCGCCTGCAGAGCAGGTTGGCCCGGAAAAGAAGGAAATTGTAATGGAGGAGGATCTACTCAGTGTTTTTGAAACCGGCAGTTTGGTAGGCTTAAATATGACTATAATTAGGACATCTTCACTAAAACTTAAACCTTTTTCCAGATGGACTCCACCATGAGTACGCCAACGCGTGGCACTCAGCACTCTTATTCTTCGCTGAGCTCCACACCCACTAAAAACTCGAATATTCCTAATCCCTCTAAGGAGGAGACTTCGTCGCCCGGAAAGGCTCAACAAATGACCAGCGTTTATGGCAAAAACTCCGGCCTGGCTATTCTCACCTGTGCCGACATCAAGGCCATGACGGGTATTAAGATTACTTCGCGCAACGAGGTGTGGTGGTGCATACTGGAGTTCTCATGTCAGGAGGCTCCAGTGGAAAGTCTGGACGATTTGGTGATCTTCTTCGCCAGCAGCATGGAAATGCAGCGTTTCCTCCGACTGCTAGAACAACTATGGCAGGCCAAGAATGTAAGAACCCCTATAATTAAAAGGTTAAACCCTTAATAATTGGTATATATTTATTTCAGAATGATCTCTTTCCGATAACTATATTGGACGATGGTGACGTGCTGGCGGAACAGTGCACCGAGCTGTATGTGGACACCAAGCGGGCATGGGAGCCACTGCTTTCGGCCGCGTTGGGCCACTCGCGTGGCTAAATAGAAGCCTACGCTATACTCCATTTACAAATAGAAAATTATATATTTCCATATAACTCAAGCGTTAAATATTCTATCCTGAATACTCAAAAAAATAGTTAATGAACAAAAAGTATTGATATACATACATATATATATATATATATATAGTCGGTATTATGTATTATGATTTTGTATTGCCTGCCTTCGCTTGACTAGTTCATTCATTTGCGCTGTTATCCATTTGAATAATTTTTGTGATATTAACCTTAAAATCTTTGATCTTTGGGTATACATTTTTTTGTATCTTGTTTAATTTATAATTGTTTTCTTTAGATTGATTATCTGACCTTTTATAAGAACATTGTGTACAAATACTGCACAGAAAAATGAGGACAAAAATATTAAACACATATACATATATAAGCATGGAAAGTATTATCCGAAATGTTATGTTTTGGGGGTGCTCTACTGGTCCAAGGATCATATCCGTATGATATACAAATATTAATATTAATCTCTAACCATTTATAAATGCAAACAAGGTAAATATAAAGGGAATTCTTTTTTGTTGTTTTTCTTTTGCAAAGCTGTGCCTGCCTTTTCAATTAGCTTAGATTACAGTCCCCTCCCATAACTCCCGACTTTTCGCCATAAGCCCTTCAGCCCACTCAAAGCTCATAATAATTAATAAAATGAATAAAAGCCATTAAGAATCGAATTTTTATTTCCTCCTAAGCCCATTGAGTGATGGGCCTTGACATTTTCAATTACTGCCGCCAGTGACGATAGGGTTTATCTTTTTTTGCGGGGGAGGTGTGAGATTTCTGGCATTAGCTGAAATGGTTTGAAGGAACATGGCCCTAACCTGCATCTTTATGCGTGCGTGAGCGAAAGGGATGGGGCATGGCTCTTAGCAGGATGCTGCTGGGTTAGGGAAACGAGTTCGTTCGGTGTGTTCTCCCATTCTCAAATACATACAAGCGTGTAGGTAAATACTTGTATCTGTGTCTGTGCGTATATGTATCTGTGTATCTGCAGGTACATTTGGTGAACACGTGTGTGCGTGTATCTCGCAGCTAAATACGAATTCCAGTGCCGGTGATCGAGTTTTAAGGAAAACCATTCCATATTCGTTGCTGGGCGAAATAAAAAAAAAATCATAATTGGGAAAATGTGCATTCAAATTCAAGATAAACACATGTAACAGTTGGAGCTCGAAAATCAAGCTAAACAAAGCATTGCATTCAAGGGTCCGAGCGTACGGGAGAAGAAAGAGAGGGTGGGTGGGAAGAAAGAACGAGAGACTAAGAGACGAAGCAGGGAGAATAAAACAGAACAGAAAAAAAAAAGACTCCAACCCTCTTAATAAGTCAAACGAGTGGAAGACAAGACTGCAACAGGAAAAAACAAGAATGAGGAAAACATACAGACACCCATACACTGGCAATTATGCAAGTGCACGTGTGTGTGTTAGCATATAAAAAGTGTATCTTCAGTTGCAACGACTTTGTAGGGCGCTATAGTAGAAGATAGTTTTCTTCTATAAACTGAAACAAGTTTGAACATGTTTTCTGCATTATATAGACTAAGATATAACATTCCATACATTTCATAAATTATAAGCAATATACATATGGTTTTTTAAACTCTTATAAAGTCTGTATCTTTGACTGCCGATCGATCTTCTCCTAACCCTTTAGTGTGCATCTCGGAAAAATGAAAACACTTGCAAGTCCAGGGAAGGGGCCGACCAGAACAGAACTTGTCGTTATGCAGCTGAGCCGCGGCCTGCTTTCTTTTGCTGCTGGACTCACTTTCATTAATACGACTTACAGCTACAGCTACAGATACGGATACGCTAGAATCCATCGAATGCAACGAGAGCAATGCGCCCGAGAACGCTCTCCTCTCTCTCTCTCTCAGTCTCTCTGTTGCTGTCTTCCACTTGAGGCGACCCGCCTTGCTCTTTTCCCCGTTCCTATCGCTGAGGGCAAACAGATCCAGATACATGCACACACAAGCGCATATAACCAAACATAGATACTTAAAAACACCGTACATACATACTTACATATGTACATACCGACATTCACATGTAAACGTATAAGTGCACAGCAATACCACACAACCCCAAAAGTTGGAAAACCAAATAAAAATACAAGGCGCATTGTGTGTGCGTTTTTCTTGTGAGCAGTATGCACCGACTTCTAAGTGCCCTATAATTAAAAAAAAAAACAAAAGTGTATTATATTTTTGTTTTAAATGTAAACTTTTATAAAATAAATAGCTCCTTTAATTTAGGAAGACCTTAAGATCCTTAAAAGTTGTTTTATGATTTAGGAATATATTCAACTTTATCATCTTAAAAGTTAACCAAGTTAAACCACTATCTTAAGATTATTAAACTTCATTAAATATTCCAATTTTCCGGTCATTTGTATTATTCCTCCCCCTATTAACTAAAAAATGAGCAAATTAATGGCCTTTTGGTTGTTCTGCATTTTAATATCGCGCTTAATACTGAATCCACATTCGAAAAGTCATCCTGCTCGGCGCTGTCAATTTAATATGTTGTTGTTGGTCGAACGGCGACCACAAAAAGTAGCTCATCTCTCGCTGGGAAACCAGTTTTTATGCTACACTCCCAACCGGTTTTCATCCTGATAACTTACAGCGAATTTCGTGTCTCGCTGTCTCGTGGGTCTGCTTTTGGCCTCCGACTCCGACTCCACTCCAATCGCCGCCGGATCGGCCTGAGTTCCAGCATAAATAAAATTGCACTTTGCCTGCACGGATCGCGCACGAATTAAAGTAGTATTCTTGGTTCGGTTCGGTCCGGTATAGCTAGCTAATCGCCGCACAGTAGGAGCAGGAGAGCAGGGGCCTGTTGCCAGTGTCATATGCCCGGCGCTCGGTGCAGCGAAATGTAAGGAACGTTTGTACGTACAAATAAACGCGCATTTTCCAGAGAAGTAGAAAAACTTCCACCCTCAAAGCGGCACAGAGCACACACACAGACATACATACAAATGTACAAACACAGTGAACTAATACAAACATGTAAGAATGCTGCAGTCATGCAGCGGCAGTGTAAGCGACTATTCGATACTCAGTATTAAAGGTGTATCTTTGATTCAAAAGATACAAATGATTCAATCCAAAGATACAAACATTAGGATACAAACGAAACAGAACCTTATAAATGTATCTTAAAAATACGCAAGGACTTAGTTCTGTTAGATAAAGATATGAAAAAAGCACTGTATCTTTTCATAAAATTATTAACATATTTGTACCAATTTTTGGTTTCTTCAATCATATTAAATGAAAAATATTAAAAGAAAGATCAAGAGCTTCAAAGTCATCCTCCGAAAAACCGCGCTTTAATGATATATTACAAAAAGCGTGCTTTTTAAAAATATATTTTCAAAAACAGATTCAAAAAGCATAATTTTAAAAAATATGTTTTATAAAAATCTTGCTTTCTCAAACCTCGAAAGATACTGATATACCCTTCGGATATCCCTGGCACTGTCACTGTCATTTGCGTCGCAGTCGCAGCTGCGTCGCTGCCATCGTCGCCGCTGCCGCCGCCGTCGCCGTTGACGTCCGCGTCGTTTCGTTTGCCTGCCCCAGTGTTTCCGCTTTCTTTCGCCTCGCTGTAATGTTACTTTTAGTTTGATGTCGGAGCGGAGCGGTCGTAAGCGAGACTTTAGTGTGCGACTCCGTGCCGATCCGCCGGGTTTTTAGTTCGAGAATCGGACTCTGAATCAGAATCGAAACCGAAAGTGCTTCGCTCGGCGTGAGTGCTTGTGTGTGTCTGTGTCTGTGACTGTGCCTGTGCCTGTGATGCTTTGCTACCCCCGAAAAAGCAAAGCACAGCATAAAACTGTGCGCGAGTTCACTCACGGGTGTGAGTGCGAGTGTGCTGCGTGCCTGTGTGTGTGTGAGTGGTAGTGCCCGATTGCCAGTGTGTGAGTGACACGCCACGGAAGGAGAAGAAAGGCAACAGCAACGGCAAAGGCGAAGAAAAGAAAACCAACCCCCACCCGAAACAAAAGAAAGGAAGAAAAAAAAAACCAAACGCGAAAACAACAACAGAAAGCACACACACACACACCACCCACTCTTTGGAAAACAGCGTCATCGCTACGCGGCGATCGTCGTGTGTGGAATAGTGCATTTCCTAAAATATTCTAGTATTTCTTTAAAGAAAAACAAACGCGGATCGTGAAAACTACGCCGGCCTGTGAGGCCCCCCTGGAAAACCCTCCAACTAATATACACCATAAATACAACTCTAATCAAGTGCGCCCCCACCCGCCCCAAAAGAACCTGACATGATGAACTTCTCCGCGTTCGGCGGCCCCTTCTCCGGCATCCATCAGTTTGCCGCTAAATTCGATGCCCAGACGCCCGGCCCCTTCGGCACGCCCCCCGGCTCGGCCGCCTCCGCGGCGAATGCAGCAGCCGCAGCGGCAGCGGCCGGCACCGATAACCATGTGCAGCGCTATCAGACCAACGGCAATCACTTTAATCAGAATGTGCCCAACGGTAAGTGCATCTCTGCCACACAAACAGACATGTAACTGTAACTGCATGCCATGCCCAGGCACATGCATGCACTCTCCTAGTCGCATGTGTTTGTCTGTATGTATGTATGTATGTATGTCTGTATAACATAATCACTAAAAATTTATTTTATTTTTATCGATTTATTTTCGCCCGCTGCGGGCAGCGACGCCGGCGTCAGGGCATACACTCTCACTCGGGCACTGGCAGCGCTGCGACCGAGGGGTTCGGGCTATAGCCTCTCCTAATGCCCTACAATGATGGGGGTTTTGTTTCCGGGCATGTTGGGTATTCTGCTAGCCAGGAATGGGGGGTCTCTCTTTGGGGGATAAAAGAACGGATCAAAATAATAACAATCTCAGACCGAAAGGTAAACAAACTTAATTTAAATGAAAAGTTTAAGATTAAAAATTAAACTTCAACTTTCTTCAAGAGGAATCTTGTAAGAAAGAAAAGAGTCTATATCTTATTTGGAATTAAAATAATTGTAATGGCTATTATTTTGCTTATGTAAGCATAGGGCTAAAAGCCAAAAGTAAACAAAGAAGCACAGTTCTGAAAGCCCTAAAAACTAATTTTTATTAAAATTGTAAAGTAAGCAAAAAAACATAAATAATTAAGTTGAATTGCAAACTAGAATTTAATTTTTGTTTTTCGATTGCGAGATTTAGATTCTTTTTTTAAAGAATCTTGTTTTAAATATTATGTTTCTGTTGGGTTTTATCATCAAGAGGTTGCTTCCATCTGGATCCACTTACTGACATTCTCGCTTGGAAAACATGTGTGTGAGTGTGAATGGCAGTAAGAAGCGGGTTTTCCACCCCCAACCCTAAGGTCATGACTGGCTGGCTGGCTGGGTGACTGCCTGGCATCCTGGCGGTTTTTGGCCAGCGAAGACATCTTCATGCGAGCACAGCTAGTAGTCCAATTTGTAAGCCACACTACAATATTTTCGGGGGTTGGTGGAGGTGACTCGGCACTCGAGGACTCGTACTGGAGTGGTGGTGGTAGGAGAGTACCCTGTCATCAAAGCAGAATATAACGATTTTTTCGTCGTTCCTTGTTTTTGTTTTGCGCTCTTTTTTTTTATACGAGTATATTTCGCTCTATGTTTTGAGTCATTACCACCCACCCCTAGTGGGGGTGTATACATATATATATATATATATATATATATGTGTGTCTTTGTGGTAAGGGGTGTACTCTTTTTGTTGTTGTTTTGCGTGGCTTGAAAATGCAATGAACTCAAATAACTTTTGAATTTGCTGCATTTCACTTGGTGCAAATACCAGGTTTTTTTTCATCGGGGTGGGTTTCTCTTCTTCTCTCTTCAGCTACTTAAGCACATACATAGAAATACAATTAAACACACACAGCGTGCATGTGAGTGTATGGGAGTGTATGTGTGTGAGTTTACAACCCCCAACCCCCAATAGAGCCTGCCATTGCTTTTTTAATTGCACTGACTTCCTGCCAAGTTGCAACTTTTTCTCCTGCCCTGTGGAAGGGTGTGACCAGGCAACCCCCAGTGCATGCCCCACCCTCCCCTACTCTGCTCCTGTGGACACCCCTTTTTCTTATCAATTCTAATTAGTTGCATTTGCTTGCATAATTAGATTCCCAGGGCAGGGCAGCATAGGGCAGGACTTGCCCCATTCCCTCTATATCCTTTTGCGGCTTTTCATAATTTATTTTTGCCCTGGCAACTGCACAGATATGTTATGTTATTTCCACTTGCAGTTATATTGGAAAGTGTGGAGAACCAAGCCCAGACCCAAACTCCTCCTCTGCACGAAATAGGTTCATTGATCCCGGCTTTTTGAGCTACGCATTATATTTCCAGTTTAGCGTTTTATATACATACATACACATACATATATATGTATTTTTTACCTGCTATAACAGGAAAATGCGTTTGTATGGTTTGGTGGTGGTGTGGGTCTCTGTGTATGTTGTCTCTTTATCTCGTCCCCGGTACATACGATTGTATGTAATCCACGGTCCGAGTATTTGTACATCAGGCTAGTGTCTGAACGATGATCCCAGGCAGGTAAAATGTCCCACGTACTCCCCGGTCCCGAGGCTACTGCATTTCCTTTGCTCTGCTCGCTTATTAGCTGCATTATCGCTGCCCTGCGACTTTCTGACCTGCTCGGAGCAGCGCAGCGAGTCTCTCTACCAAGCTGGTCTTATCTTTCGATACCTACACGATAATTTCCCCGGGGCTGCTTGTATAAATCATTATTGGGTTACCAGGAAATCTGTGTGTCTGCTGACGGGTATGAGTTCTCGAAACATAAACAGATAAAGATAGCGATCCCTTTCACATATGCATTTTCAGCTGTTGGAAAACCCGAGAATTTTCTCATCAATTAACATGGAAATAAATGTAAGCCCCTTTTTGGAATATGTTAGGGATAGTTTAAGGTCTTTCTAGTTCAATTTAATAATTATACTACAATTTTTAAAGTCTTTACCTTAAAGACAACTATCATGTATTAAGTTTAATATCTTTTATTAAAATAGTTATATTTATCTCTAAAACCTCACCTTCAAAAGTTCAAATAGCATCCTTTTCATTAGAATATTGTCTGTCATCCGATGGACACCGGGTATCTTGTTGTCGAGGACATACCATTCACCCCTTTCTCCCTTAGCTGGGGCTCCCCTAATATTAACCAGACACCCCAGCCATAAACCATTTGCATTTTTTATATACATTTATATGCTTGTCTGTGTGTATGTGAGTACCTATGTACCTATGCAGTGTATGTATGTACATAGATGTATGTGCTTAATGGGTGTGAATGACTGGTTACACCCCCAAAACGGTCCCTGGATGTATGCAACACTAAAAAAGTGCGCATGATAAAGCAATTACGTTTGGAAGGGAGTGGAGGGGAAGAGGGGGTCAGTCCCCAGTCCCCCATAAATCCTGTGTCTCTGTTTAGATAAGTATTATTGTGGGGGAGGCATTGATTATTAATTTCTTTGTTTTTCCTTGATTGGCTTTAAGTATTAAAGCCGCCGTAGGGCGTTTAACACAGGGAATATAAAATTCTCCTTCTGGCGGGCGCTGATGACTTAAACTCTGCCGCTGGCGCCGTTTTCGTCCTTTTACCCCTGTCCTTTTCTCCCCTAGTACTCGCTCGCCATGCACTCAAAAAAACAAGGGGCAAGAAGGATAGAAATTCATAGAACTAAATCCTAAAAACTTTTGATAGTTATTTTCATTAAAATAGAACCCTTCCTTATATTAGAATTATATTTTCAATAATTGTTGTATACCATATTTTTATGAGTTGATTCTTTTCTGTGTAACAATCTCACCCGTCTACTATCCCACCCCCACACACTCTCTCTTTCTCTCCGCGAGGCAGCACTTCGGGTCAAGTTTCACCCAACTCCGTTAGGGGTTGCTCTTACTCTCTGTTTTTCGAAAAGGCTCTCCTTCTACCGCGCGGGCGCTCTCACCGCTTTCACTGCCTCTGCCTAACACACACACATATATATATAAAGCGTCAGTCGACACACATAGACATGGGCAGGAGCAGCAGATAAGCGCCATGTTTTTCAAATCGCTGCCCAGCGCATTCCTTTCCATTTTGTTCCACTTTGCTGCGAATGATCCGCCCAACACCCCCACTGGAGACCTGCTCTCTCTTAAACACTCTCTCCACTCTCGCCGCTCTCCCACACTCTCGCTTGGAACATGTTTCCGACTTCACCGACTTTAACTCGCTACTCCCGGCTCCATTCCGAGTCCGCCGAATTCTATTCCGGCGACATCGTCTCCTCCACGTTGCTTTCCTCGTCGTTGTCGTTGTTGTTTTCGTATTTGTCGTCATCCTGTTCATGGGAAAGTGAAGTGAAAAGTGAAATGCCACGACCGACGAAAGCGGCGAATGCCGGTTACTGTCCAAATCCTCCCATCCACGCACGCTACCCGGCTATCCGGTTTTGTTGTTGCCATGACTCCCCCTCGTATTTTCGGCCATTCAGACCCGAATTTTCCGGCTGCCATTTGGTGAACCCCTTTTTTTAGGGTTATAGTTAAATGTTTCTATTACCTATTCATTATATGTTTCTCTTTTAAAATAAAATATATTAATTTTTAAAAGAAATTACTTAAGATCATGAACTAATTTTAATAAAGTAATAACTATTTAATATAAGAAAGAACTCAAATATTAAATAAATTCGTATTTTTCTCAACATTTCCGTAAAACATCAACGTAAACATGTTAAAAACATGTATGTATTCCAACTATTTACTTTCAAGCCTCCAAGACATAACCCCAAAAGAATCCTTTTTGTAGGCATCTGCTTTTCATTTCTCTCCCAAACGCTTGAGCGAACTGATTAAAGCCGCACTTTCCATTTCCTTTCAACCACAAAAGGCCGCTGTCGAAAAAAATTAAAGCATTGGTAACATCTTATGCTTCGGCCCAAGGTCGAATGGTAATTTATACAAAGGCTAACACACACACACCACACGCCCACAACACATAAATTACACCACGTCAGCCAGTAGGAAGTCCTTCTTTCAGGAGTTTTTCGTTTTTTTGATATTCATGTTTTTTTTTCATTATTTTATAAAGTTAAAATCTGTATAGCTTCCTCAATCCTTCCTTCGAAAGTTGTGTTTATGTATTTTTCGAGGAAGCATGAGCTAAGATTTAAACAAGAAAGGAAAGCTAACTTCGGGCGGAGCCGAAGTTGATATACCCTTGCAGCTAAAACCGGATATATATCGCAAACATCGGATATAGTTGGCCGATCCTTATGATTACATCATAATAAAACCAATTAACTAAAATAAAAAATCTAAAAAAAATGTCCCAAACTTCTATCTTCAAAAACACGAAAGTTGGGTCATTTCCGATCGTTCAGTTATATGGCAGCTATAGGATATAGTCGGCCGATCCTATTGAAATTCGGTAGGATGGATCAACTGGCCAAAAATATAATCTGTATTAAGTTTCAGCTTTCTATCTTCAAAAACACGAAAGTTGGGTCATTTTCGATCGTTCAGTTATATGGCAGCTATAAGATATAGTCGGCCGATCCTTATGAAATTTGGCATGTCGTAATGTTTTGCCAAAAATAGCTTTCCTGTAAAATTTGAACTCTCTAACTCTAAAAACACCAAAGTTATACCATTTCCGATCAATCCGTTATATGGCAGCTATAGGATATAGTCGGCCGATCCGGGCCGTTCCGACTTATATACTGCGTGCAAAGGAAAGAAGGGTGTGTGCAAAGTTTCAAGACGATAGCTTCAAAACTGAGAGACTAGTTCGCGTAGAAACAGACAGACAGACGGACAGACAGACGGACAGACAGACGGACAGACAGACGGACAGACGGACAGACGGACAGACGGACAGACGGACAGACGGACATGCTCATATCAACTCAGGAGGTGATCCTGATCAAGAATATATATACTTTATAGGGTCGGAGATGTCTCCTTCACTGCGTTGCACACTTTTGGACAAAATTATAATACCCTCTGCAAGGGTATAAAAAAAGAAGAAAAGCGTACATATAAGAAAACCAGGCAATTGGCAACAGCCCGAAAATGTTATTTATAAAACCGAGCACCCGGCTAAGAAAATGCAAAGAAAGAGATGAGGTGGCGGGACGTGGGCGGGGGCAGAAATGCACACCCGGCCAAAAAATGGTGAAAGCTTTTCTTCCTATGGCATACATTCGGGCGTGTGCGCGGCCGGCATTTTCAGTTTCAGTTTTAATTTCCTTTTTCCTATGTATGCGTTGTCGGGGCGCCCCGAAAACACGTGTGTGCGTCTCTGGTTCCGACTGGGTTTGTTTGTATGTCGGTGTTTGTGTGAAAATTTGGCCTTGGCAGACGGCAGCGTGTGGCCCAGAAGGGGCGGGAGGATGTAGGGAAACAACGACGACGACGACGACAGCCAGCAGACAACAACAATTTGTAGGCACACGCACTTTCGGCGAGTAGGAACAGAGCCATGTTCAGAGCCTGATACATATTTATGTAGATTAGGGTGGACTCTTAAAGTAAAAGGACTTTTAGGGATTTAATATTAAATTTTAAATTTGACTAAAAGGTCTAGAATAAGAAGAAATAATATTACTTATCATAATTATGAAATCACAAATATTCATAGCCAACAGTGCGTATGAGTAATACTAGGCGTATGAGTGATTCGTTATTCATAGTGTTGTATAGCGTACTGTTTTAGTAAAATATAGTGATGGGATATGACAAGTCCGCCCTAATAAACCGCCATATGTACATCCTTACCAGTAAATGCAGAAAACGTGGCTGCCACACAGACACACACACGTACAGTGTACAGGACACAGTAACTGCTCCTAGATATATGCACGAATATATGTACTTACATATACTTGTGTAGTAAGCCTGTATATATAGTATAGTGGAGAAACGCGTGTCGTGCCATATCGTCGTTACTTTGTCGGCCGGTGGGTTGTTGTTTTTGTGCCCGGCACCCGATCTCCATTCGGCTCGACAGCTGAGCCACGGGATTCGATTCGGAGCCAGCCGGCCGGAGACCGGAGTGTTGGAATCAGGAGCCGGGAGCCGGGAGCCGTGAGCTGTGAGCCGCCAAATCGAGCCCAGACCCAGTCGGTTGTAGTTAGTCGGCCAGAGTGCGTTGTCCCAGAGAGCGGCGGCCGGATAGTAGACGGATTTTTTCGACCAGTTTCAAGTGCTAGTACTGCCGTGCCAAGTCAAAGTTCACAATTAGTCCAAAAAGGCTGTGCTTAGAGTTCAAAATGTGTAATATTCTATTATCCTTTTACTCTCATATAATAATTATACTCCCTAGATGGTTTAAAACTAAGATATATTAACGATTTTCGTATTTTTTCTTAACCATTTCAGTTTCGGCTGCCAACAACATGCAATATGGCCAGAATATATCCATACCGTACTCCTCGCAGCCCCAGGGCGATCTGAACTTTCTGAATGCAGCCGATCATAAGGGTAAAATCCATCCAAAAATCGAACGTGACCGGGAAGAAGGTGAGTCGAGCCGCCGCCACGCGGAGAGTGGGTTGGTGGGATTTCCGTGGGTGGTCTGATGTCCTGACACCCTGACAGCTGGGTGGGTGGGTCAGGGGGGAAGCTGAGCAGTATGTACAAGGCATTCGGTTCGGTATATGTGTTTTTCAAGGACGCAGTCATCACTCGTCGTGCGTCTCACTTCGGCTTCGTTATTTATAAATGTTTTTGGGCCTGTCTGCTGGCCGCAACTGGGTGCGGGGGCGTGGAGGTCACAATAGCACCATAGCATACTTTTTTTTTGTCATACAGGACCTTAAACAAGTGGAGTTGTTCTCTTCTCATCCTGAGTCTGATGATTACGTTGCAGGAGCTGACATTTTTTCACTTCCAAAAGGGGGTTTTCTGGAGGAGATGTCCTTGGGAGTAACTTGCTCAGTAACTTGGTTAGCTTATTTCAATCAGTGTAACACAACATCCATTAAAATTTTACATCCCACAACTACATAATTTTAATTAAAAGTAGGAGGATAAAATCTGGGTCGGAGCTATGACGAGGAGAGTGGGGATTGGCTAACAGATAGGCTTGGCCAACAACCACCGATGCATACTACTTACATATATCCTTATACACATCATGACACGCCCCCCAAGGGGGAAAGAAGTTGTGTTGTTGGGGCAGGCTTCTATTAGATAATAGGCAAAGGAAGGACCTGAAAGGAACTACTTCTAAGGATTCAAACCCGTTGATTGAAAATAATAAGCACCTTTGAGTGTATTTCAATCCTTAGAGGTACTCCATTGATTATTCTCACTAAAGATACCATTTTTTTTTAACCTCCACAGTCCTCAACCAGCAGCTCCTGCAGAATGTCAACCAATCCTGGCAGACGCTGGCCAACACAGCCAACACGGTGGACTACTCGTCGCACCTGCTCTCCGCCACACTGCCCATCTCCATACAGCACTTCCTCAAGTACTCCGAGACCATCAAGAAGGAGTCCACCAGCGATGTCCTGAAGAATGGCACCAACTTGGCCAGCCTGGCGCTGGGGGGCGTGGCCCTGACGCCCAGCAATAACGGGGCCAATGGCGGCCACCACAACGGATTGGTGGGCATGGACCATGGCGGCCATATGACCAATATGACGGACGCCAACGGAGCGGCGCTCACGAACGGAGCCACCAACGGCGTCAATGGGAATGCCAATGGCGCGGTCACCAATGGTGGGGCCGGAGCTGTTTCCAGCACCGCATCCGTGGGCACGACGAACGCCAGCGGCGGTACGGGCACGGCCACCGGCAAGAAGACCAAAAAGAAGAAACCACCAAAGGAGAAGAAGCCGCGCCCCAAGCCGGGCGAGATCCGCGAGACCAAGGCGCTGGACGGCTCGACGCTCTACTGCTGCCCGGAGTGCCAGATGGCCTATCCGGACCGCAGCCTCATCGAGCAGCATGTCATCTCGCATGCCGTGGAGCGGCGGTTCGTCTGCGATATTTGCAATGCGGCGTTGAAGCGCAAGGATCACCTGACCAGGCACAAGCTCTCCCACATACCGGACAGGCCGCATGTGTGCAATGTGAGTGGATATCGATATAAATCGATAAAGTTATCGATTTAAGTTAGATTTAAGCGGTTCTTTTGAAACAAATAAGTAGGCAATAGAACAATAGAATTATGGAACTTAAACTAATTATATTATAATATTTTATATTATATAAAAACTAAATAATAATTTAATTATATTTTTTAGATCTGCATGAAATCGTTCAAACGCAAAGAGCAGCTAACTCTGCACATTGTCATCCATTCCGGCGAGAAAAAGCATGTTTGCATTGAATGTGGAAAAGGTAAGTACCTTGGAATAGTCTCCTTCTTATAGACAGACTAACTAAACAACTCTTTGTCCTGTCCAGGTTTCTATCGCAAGGATCACTTGCGCAAACACACGCGCTCCCACATCGCCCGGCGTGTCAAGTCGGAGGTTTCGGCGCAAAACGTCAACGGATCCGGTGGTGGAGGTGGCGGCGGTGGAGGTGGTGCCGGTGCCAACAACAGTGCACAGAGCAATACGCTGCACGGTTCCTGAGGATCGTACAAGGACTTCTGGTAAACTCCCAGACGAATTTCAAGCCATTGAGGCGTCCGGGCTGTTGACGGCGGCGGGCAGTTAGATTGCTCGCGGTCGGTAGCAGACTGGAGGCCTTTGAAATTCGCTGGGGGCTTACCGGGGGTCCTGCTGAGCGTCACCCAACTCCAATTACAATAACCCTCTCAAAAAAAAAAAAACAAGAATATTAAGAAAGAAATACTTACAGGATGCAAGTATTAGTACGATTTTGTTCACGACACTTTCAGTTCTTTAGCTTTAGTTCTTTCAGTTGAGATTTTCGCACAAATAAAAAAAACAGAGTCGCAGAGCAAAGTATATAGCAATCGAAATGTACAAATCAGCAGAAGCCGAAGCAGTAGCAGTATCAGTAGCAGAATGACAGATTCAAATTCGAGTTTAGTATGCGCATATGTTAAGGACAAGAGGAGCTCGTCGTGTCGCGTCTCGTGGCTTTCGTTTCTTTTTGGGTGTCTGTGATCTGTAGTCGCTGCATAAACAAAACGAGATGATCGAGGCCGATCGAAAGCTGTTCTAAGAATCAGTTATAATGTCTGCAACCGATAAACATACATACATACATATATGTGCAATTTTAAGAAAACATTTTCATTTGCCTTTTGTTCATTACTTTAAAATTAATTAAATTACATAACATTACATAACATTAAATGGATAAAAAATGTGTTTCTCATTGGCGAGAATTCTCATTATGAATTATGGAAGCGCACTATGAAGCATTTTTAAGGAAGTAGGAGGAAGAGCTCTAAAAGCGAAATTTGTACTTCTAGTCTTGTATTTTATTTTACCGATAGGCATACATAGAGGTCGAGGTCATGTAATCTTAAGCTTTTTAAAAACTTGAATGTTCAAAAAAAAGGAGAATTCAAAAGTCACACACACACTAAACGCAATACGAACTTGCATCTTTGCATGCCCAAGCTTCCAGCCATCGTCATTGTTTGCAACTGCAATATCTATACAGTAATTACCTATATCCAGCTTACCAATCAATAACTGATAACCACAAATAGCATTAAGAGCCACATATACACAGCAATAGCAGATACAAGATAGCAAGATAGCACACACGGGTCAGCTATGAGAATCCAAAAAAAATAAAAAAACAGCATATATAGCATCGCTAATCAATAAACAGAAAAAAAAGCATTAGCTAGAAAGCGAATGCTTACAGCAACAGCAACAATAACCGAGACACTGTATAACTGTATAAAAGGATATTTTTTATATATAATATAAATACAAAAGAGAGAGCATATGAAAACCGAATAGGAATAAAGGCATAAAACAATAACCGAAATAAAGTGCAAACACTTCGAGCAAGTGACAAAGTAATTAACTGTTCAAATACAAAGCATTTTGAGATTAACGATTTAACGATAAAGTACACGATTTAACACGAAATCCAAATGCATACATACTTACATACATAGCAATGTGTAGTTATACGAAGCTTCAAACTAAATACGCTAGCATACAAATAGAGATACAAATGCAGATGCAGATACAGATACAAATACTGTAAAGCGAACCCATTGTAACTCAACTTATAAATGACCCACTGAGCTCAAACTTGGCCAGATTATGTATTTAAGCTTCCTAGTTCGAGCCAGAGTGACATTTCACTTTCTTTTCTTGATTTTTTCAGACAGTTCGGGTTTACAGTAGAACACACAGTACAGAATGTAATTGAAACACTTGCAGTGAAGTACAAATATTTTAACGACACTTGAAGCACCCACGACACAGCAGCAGCAGCAGCAAAGCCATTATTAGCCAAAAATTAAAGCAAATCGAAAAGAAAACTATGCAAATCTAAATACAGTTACTACATTAGGGGGTAGCCATATACTTAAAGCGTTATATACTTCTCTCCAAATGGCAAACAATAAAAGGTGACGACGACTTATCACTGTGGACGATAAATAATTAAGGGAACCTTCACACCAAAACAAGGACTTATTATTTTGCCACTAATTTATTAGCTCTCTCTCCATCTCTCTCTCTCTTGACACACTTAAATGGAATAAGAATATATAAAACAATAAGTTTATAAAGAAAAAGTTGCAATAAATGACAAACAAATGAAATTAAATCACTCAGGGATAAAGCCTCCAAAAGAAAAACATAAAATAAAAAAAAATGCAATATTTTAAACGAAATGAAAAAAAAACGTAAGAGAAAAACAAAACAAAAATTTAATCTAAAGAGAAAGAAAATTTTAAAGTTAAAACGAAAACGAAAAATATTTTAGTATAATACGAGAAGGAAAAAAATAAAAAAAACGTTTTAGAAATTTGCACAAATTTTTGGGATTTTATAAAAGCAAAAACGAACCCTCATCAAACAAAAGAAAAAGCATCAAACTCGAATAAAAAATGACGAAATAGGAACAAACATATTTTCTCACATTTCATTGGCTTAGCGAAGGTATAAATCGACAGGATATCGCAGGATATGGCAGGATAAAAAAAACAATAAACAAACCGAACAAAAGAATTCATAGACAAACGGTCCGTGCAACTTTTAGTGCATTTAAAATAATAATTAATTTAAAAATAAAAACAAACAGACAGACAACCCCACAACCAAACAGTTCATATTTACAGAAGCAAAGATTATAAGCGGAGGTCTGCGGCCAAAGATCAAGTAAAAATTGTAGTTAGAACCAAGTTGGAGGTCAAAGGTCAATAAAAAATAAATGAAAAACAGATTAGGGGCTCATAAGAAATAAACCTTTTTATATATTTAAAAAGTTAAAAAAAAGCATCCACACAAGTTTCGAAACTGTACGTATTGAATTTATGTTTAGTGTCTGCAGCATGCAAGGATGTGGAATATAAGTAGAAGTTCGACCGGAGGAAGGGCAAAGAGCTAAATACATTTTAGGGTTAGGGATTTTCTGCGAAAGGACTGAAGTTAAGGCAACCGTAGCGTTAAAATGCAAAATTGATTTGAAAGATACCGAGTGTTATGGATAATGGAGCGTGCGCGAATGCGATTGGTGACGAAAATTACTTGTTTAAGGCTGGACTTATGTAATTTCGAGCAAAACGATAGTAGGAAAACAAACAACAAAAAAAACCATGTAAAATGCAGATACAATATATTTATAATTAAACAAAACTATCCCCGAAAAAAACCCCTGATCTTACTATGTTTAATTCAACTGCAATTATCGTTAAAGACGTATTTACTGTTTGTGATCCAAATTCATTGATTAAACGTAAAATACACAAAGATACAATTGTTGCATGGGCAAGGTTTGAAGTAAAAAGTCAGGGTTCGCACTCCCCCACAAAGTACTCGATACCCCGGGTCTATAAGACGAAAGTTTTATACGATTCATAAGCCAGGTTTTAAACCGGGAAGACATAGATAGGACCCTGGGTTTTGGGAGTACTTTTGGGCCTGGTGCGAACCTTTAGAAATAGAGCAGGAACAGTAAATGGTACTTAATTGAAAAATGATATAATAAAACACCGCCACTTTGAAATATATTTACTTGAATCAAATAATATTAATGAGTATATATAACTTTGTACTTGAATAATATTTTATTTATATATACCTTAAGTCAATAAAAATTCTAATAAATTATAATCACCCAAAAATGCATTTTTTCAACTAAAGTATTTTATGAAAATTAAATTTAATAATTGTATGGGGATTCTATGAGCTTCAAACCAATTCAGCTTACTGGAAGTTTTCAAATGGTCTTATCTTGTATTTTTTAAATTCTTAACTCTATGAAAACTTTAGATCTATTCTTAAAAAAAAAAAGAACAAATTATTTCAGCAAATGTATTTTACAAAATACTTTTTTAGATAAAAACCAAAACATATGGCAAATGTTATAGTATTTAGCTAGTGCCAATTAGAAAAAGCTGCAGATATGTATGACCGGAAGTCATGTCGGCGGGAAAAATATTTTTAAATTTAGAGGCATTACCCAACACTGGTCCAGATGTAACTAGAAGAGTTGCCATATAACTATCGATAACCAAACAATTGTGAACGGACAACCGATAAAGGATTTAAATTCTTCATATTTTGTTCTTAGTCATATTCAGCCAAACAGAACTTTAACGCAAGTATTTAATTAATTCATTTATTTTTCATGTAGGTATTTAAATTTTTTTGAAAGGATTTTGATGTAAGCTTAATACAATTTTCTTTTGAAATAGTATTCATTTAGTTCGTACTAGATGTCCTGACGGCTTAGGATAGAATAATAGGTATTTTATCCCATTTAATTTTTTCTGAATTAAGCTTATTTATTACAAAAACATAGATCCAAGAAAAGTTGGCAGTAAAACCGCTAAAATACATTAAAGCTAGCAACAATCTGGCAACTCGGCCGAAATGCAACTCTGTGCGATAAGAAGAGGAGCGACCCAGCGACTACGACGATGTTTGTGGGACCTTCGTCATTCGTCGGAATCATCTTCGAAGCGTTGAAAATGGATCGGTAGCTGGGAGAGAAACTTAAAGCGAAATACGCAAAGAAAACGGCTTTTGTCCGCTATTTCAGCGATTTTTTTTGTGTTGTAATCAGCAGAGGAAATTTTAACAACGACCAATCCAATCCACTAAACCACCAGCCACTTCCTACAGCAATTTGCAACAGAAAAAAAATAGAATTACCCTGCACCAGCACCAGCACTACTACTACCACAGCTCAGCAACTAAAACTATCACACAGCCAAGCCCACAAAGGAAAGGTGAAACGCAAAAAACAAGCGCAAAAAAATAAAACCGAGTCAGGCAACCTAAATCGGAGGAATAGGAATAAATCCAATTTTGCGTTTGTTTCTTCGCCTGTGCCTATATGTGTGATGAGAGAAATCAACAGTAGCAACAACCAGCAGCAGCGACATCAACGACGACTCAACCACCAAACTTGACCAACGAAATCGCAGACCGACCGACGCAGAGCCTAGAATCGAATCAATTTACATCAACTACAGCAGCCGCATTTCTTGGCAATTGGATTAAAGAAAAAAAAAAGGAAAAAACATCCCATAGGCGGCCACCATTTTGAATGAGCTGAAAAAAGATAGAGAGAGAGCGAGCGAGAGCGTGAGAGGGTGACTCTCATTTGTTGCACTACGCATTGCAGCTGGCCGCGGCGTAACCGAAACACACTGAAAACTCAAAACTAAACCCTTTCCAGTTGCTCTCTCCGTCTAATCGCGTCCAACAACAACAGCCACACCATGGTCGAGCTGGAGGAGCAGATGCCCAGCATGGCTGCCGCGATTAATTCAGGCGGCAACAACAACAATAGCATCCCCAGAAGTTCAGGCGACAGCGGCATGGGCAGCGGCAGCGGCAGTGGCGTTTCCTGCAGCAACACGGATAACAGCTGCAGGCAGAGTCAGTCAGGTGAGCAATTAACCCACTAGTTAGAGAAACTTGTTTAAAAAACAATATTTATAAGAATGGCTAGTATCATGACTTCCCTCTGCCCCAGCCAACCAGTTAGAGTGGTAGTGCTAATCAATCCGGCTAATACTGGGTCACAGTCGTACCAAATACCAGTCTTTTCTTTTGACGTCACAGCAAAACATTCGAGAACGTGCATGTTGTCTGCTGGTTGGCGGCAGCTAATGGCTAATCTCCTGCCCCCGCAATGGGGTGTTTACAGTTGCTTTGTTGTTCTTCCAAGAGAATCACATATTGCATCATGCGAGTGTAATGAATGTGCTCCACTTTATAGGGTATTCCAAAATCACTTATTCATCGTTCTATAATTAAATATCTTGAAGATATTAGGTATTAGGACAGCTCACTACCTGATCCATGTACGGAAACTTGATTCTATTGTTATTGTTGACAGATGGGCGTTTAGTTGAGCAAATATCTACTTTATATCACGTTCATTTGTTGGAAATATTGTTGGTTTATTCCAAGCAGTTACCCCTCCTTTGTTAACACCACAGGTTCTCAGGTGTGGTTAGGGAGCGGTAGGGGGATCAACAGCTGCCAGCGGGTAGGAAACAAAGAGAAAGGGAGACAGCAAAAGTATCTGTGTCGTCGTATCGAGCGTGTGCAGGCAATTAATGGAAATGGAAAATGAGTCATGAGATCGATTGAGCGCCAGTCTCGTTCAAAATGCATCGGACTCGGACGAAATGTGAACAAACTTCCAAAGCTGCAGCTAGCACATAACCTTCATGACGTTTATTGCACTTGGTGACGTGTGTTGCAGCCTAAAATAGAACGCAGAGCCCAAAGCAAACGGCCGAATAAACGCAGCCGTTCAAGCATTGAACAAACGAACGAACGAGCATGCGAAAGCGCAGGCAGCGATGAGAGCGGCCTCCCACACACATGCCCCCATTGAGTTTTTTTTTTGTCGTCTGGAGAGGATTACAGTTACTAATAAAAAAAAAAGGATTGAACAGATATACCATACCTGTATGGAAATGTGTATGTCTGTATCTCCATTTCCTCACTTAATCAGTTAAGTGAAAAAAAATGTCTATTGATTACGGGCCGATAGCTGGACATGTTGTTTCCCCCCAACAATTATCACGAAGTTTCCTATTCTATCTGGCCTATTTGGAGGACAGTTGGGGCCTACGTGCAGCTTCTCATTCGTTCGTCTCTGGGCCATCTTTTCGATGTCTCTCATTTCCGAAACCCCCACACTGTCTTGTCAGAGCCCTGCGAGAGAAATGGATTTTTTAGCTTTGGCAATGCCGTGCTGCTGCGATAAAAAAAAGTCTGCAGGCGTACATATGTTGTTGTTTACTTGTGCGAAACGAAAACAATTCTCGAGAGCCAAGTCTTGAGTGTAGTTTTTGTTTTTGCTTCTTGCCCTTTCCACTTGTTTGCTTTTTAACAGAGCTTGCTCACATCACACCACCTTCCACGATGCGCTGGTGTTGGGGAGTCTAGCTTTCTGTCCCACTCACTCCTACTCTGTCTCCCCCGCCCCCCACAACTACGGCCTACGTGCGATTTGCCGTCACGAACGCACACTGCCAGAAGCCATGAAAACAGTAAGGTTGGTGCGTTGTTGTTCTCCCCCTTCAACCTTAGTTATTATTTTAAATTTAATAAATTAATATTATTACACTGGAAATTTGAATATTTATGAAATAATATAACGAGAGTTTGAGAGCCAACATTGCATCATGGAAAGCTGAAGCTCTCTTTTGCACCGGTCTTTTCGACTGTTCTCTCTCATTCTATGGTTCGTGGGGCCACCTTCTGCTGTTTGGCTGCTCGGCTTGTCGCTTTGTTATTATTTTTCCTGTTGCTGTTTTTGTTTTGCTTGCGGCAGTCACAACCACAAAGCCACCTCTCTTGCCAGAAAACTGGTTCTGTTCCCAATCACTGGTGTGGCTTTATCTTGGCTCCTTCTCTCTCTCTCTTCAGCCGTTCTGTTCTGCCATTTGTTTTGTGTGCGTGGGCTTTTTTGCCACCTTGTTATCACTCACAGGTATCGGTATCGGGAATAGATGGTCCCGATTCTTCGATTCACTGTTAACTAGAAAAAAATAGTACATATCGAAGTCCAAGAACTCGATCTGCAGTAATAAAGTTGTTTATTGATATTCTGCGGCTTTGTTTAATTTCCAGCGAACGGACGACAGCTCGAATCGGTATCGATGAATAAACATCGCATTATATTCCAAACCGGATTTTTGCAACCAGAAGTTTTTCTCTTCCGGGCAGCATTTAATTTTGATTTTAATTGAGGAGCAGGTTGTTATTGCACTTGAAGTTATGGCGCTAGGATAAATTAAATACCTATTTGTGTGTTAGAAATTGTTTACTATTGTGTAAGTCAGCCATAATCCCCTTTACATCTTATAATAATTCTTTCTTTGAAGTGAAAACTATTATGTTGAACACCACTGTATCTGCAAGTTTGTCACAAGCCCCCAGTCCCGGCACTCTCGCTCTCGTTGGCCGCTCTCAGTGCTCCACCCGCTCTCTCAACCGCCCGAGAGCGTGCTCTCGCACGTCGTTAGTTTTTTGGCCCGTTCGACGGCTGGCGCGTGTTTGATTTTGATTCTTTCCTCGTAGGCGCCGCGCGACGAAGGTCCGCAAAGATTTGTCCGTGTTTTTTTCCCCATTTCTTTTAAAATTCACTATTTCGGTCAATTGGTTTTTTTTTTGCCGCACACCCGAATTTTCCACAACAGTCTCGCCGCCGGTACACACTCAATACAGCCGCGCCGATCCCAGTTCCAACGAGCCGGCCGGCCATTCAAACCGAAAATTTTCCGTGTTCCCCCCATTCATAGTTGTTGTTCGTTCTCTTTAGTGCGGAGTACTGTTATGCGAGTGGTGCACTAAATCAATCTATTCTATGAATGCTAAAGATGTGCTAACGTACAAATCCATCCGGAATAGGGTTATAATTAGAGCCCTCAAATACAAATAGCCGAGAACTAATATCGACGGACGGGGGAGCAGTTTTATCTACGCATTGCAAAAACGTGCCGCCTAGAAGCAGCAGAACGGGCAACGGGCGTTGCTTAGACAAATTGCGTTGCGATTAAAAGGCGAACAGCAGCAGCAAAAGCAGCAGAGCCAGAAAACAACAATAGAAGCAGCAAACATGTTGGGTAAATACAAAAACAACAGGCCCCTTACATGTACATGTGAGAAATTTGACAAATACTATCTCAAGCTTTTGCTGCAAAGGTGTGCAAGCAGCGGCAGAGGCAGCGCAGCGGCAGCAGCATCTGTCTGGGGGAAACGTTTCGACATGCCGGTTTTTGCATTTTGTTATTGTTATTGTTTTTGTTGGGGCTATTTTCCGCTATCTGCAACGAGCTAATGTTATTACATTTTATTGGCTATTACAAGCTTATTACTCCGACTTCCCACTCGGCCTTGCGCCCACAAACCTGAGAGATAAATTCCATCCGATGGGTTGGCAGTTTATAATTTATTTCATTATGTATTTAAGCATTTCTTTTGGCCTGGCTCGCCATTTTCATAAAATTTTTGCCTTTACATTTGCTGCGCAATAATTTTCTTCTTCTTTACAACACAAACACACGCGTTCACATGGCATGATGGCTGTGTGTGAGTGTATGGGGGTCTGCCCGTGAATTCATGCTGGCAATGATGGAAGGTGTCGCTAAGAGAGGAGAGATGAGTAAGAGTGGGCAGGAGAACCACCCGACCACCACATTCCAGACCTTTCTGGTGGTAATAGTTGTGGATAAGTTTTTTTTTATCTCAGTCTTGAAATATTAAAAAAAAGAATCTTAACAAAACTACTATATCATTTTTGTATCCCTTAATATTTGCAAATTTGTGACGTCACAATTGACTTGTTTGTAGAGCAAAGAATGGCGATTTTATTTAATGATCCCCCCCATAGTCATACTTTCACTATGGCATGAAGTAATACTGGGAGAGCCAGAGATATACGTTATCTGCCTTCCGCCCGATACCCCCACTCTCGCCACTTGCTGTCTCTTGTTCCGGCTCTCTATTTACTAAAAGCTCCTCATGTGCGACCGCATGTTGTTTCTTCTCCTTCGTCCACTTTTCTTTGCGTTTTAAATTTTATTAAAATACAACCCACAAAGTCAAACCTTTTGCTTTTGGTGGTTTGCCATTCTGCGTAGTTGGCTTTGCTTATCGGGCTTTTGTTTATTTGCTAATCGTGGTCACCTTTTTTTTTTTCTCTTTTTGCTATTCGCGTTTCCTACCTAGACCAATTTCGATTGCTTATTATGGCATTGCGGAGAATTCGATTATGATTATGATTATGGCAGTGCTTAGCCGAAATTTCTCAAGGTCCACTCTAGACTCTTTCGATTCTTGTTTTGCTCTCAGTTTCGCCTTATCAGCCTAACTGTTGATTTGTTTTTTTTTCTCTGGCACCTGTCGAGCTACTTTTTTGAAATTTTATGAAATGTTTGTTTTTTAAGACCTTCAAACATAATACATTTTTTTAATTATTTTGGCATTGAATTGGGGATTAAATTCTTGACTATCTTGAAACCATAAAATTTTCAAAAGATACTCTATTATAGAGATAGTTATAGTTATTTTTTGTGTCTTATTTTCCCATTTGTTTAATGGAAATATTTAAAAATAAGACGCAGTTTTCATCGCCGATCGTCAGACCTATTCCAACACACCAAACTAGATGACGCCAGAAAAGCCGGCCGGCTGGCAGGCTGGCGAAGAAAAACAACATTTCGCAGTTTATTTCGTTTGTGTGAGCTGTTTTTACACAAGTGTTCGTTCATACATATAATAATTGTTAAATTCTGTAGCAGCCAAGCTGATGAAATAGACAAGGGCTATTTCCATACTTGATTCCGCTGGTGTGTGCATTGTCGTCATTGCCCTATCGACTTTTCATCTGCAGGGATCGTCTGATTTGTTATGTGTTTCTAGACTAGACTAAGTCTATCAAAATGCAGCGCAACTGCGGTAATTACTTATGCAATTTATATTAAAATATATGTATGTGTTTTTAGCTCACACTCCCCATCCATCCATCAATTCCCAAATGATTCGCAAAAAAATTTCGGTGAATTAAATGCGCAGAATGTTTGGTCAGCGAGGCCTTCAGATAAAGTCATTAACGAAATGTCATAAATGTTCTTTGTGGCATTTATTTACGCAATTGATAACAGTTAAAAGTCAACAAAAAATAGGCCAATTTTAAATTTAGACCGCAGAAGCGCCAGGCGGGGAATACTTCTATATGGATCGCAAAAAATTTCCATCGCATCCCATAATTGGATTCATCAGGGCAACGACTTGCTGCCTCGATAAGAACTACTAGTGGTGGTTTTTTTAATAAGTAGAGCACTCGACAGGCCACAAACAACTTGATAAACGAAGCAAGATATTTCTATTTTTAATATACTTTATATAGAATATAGATTAATCTTCTTTTTTAAGCTTAAATTTGAAATATATCTGTAGTTCTTCTTATAGCTAATATCCACTGTAGTTGACTCCTCTCAATTACAATCCAATAAAGCCTCCCAGACTGATTACAAGTATAGTAGAGTGACGAGATCTCTGGATAGATATCTCCACAACTGCAGTGGGCTTTAAAAATAGCCACCTTCACCCGCCTATTCTCCCTGAAGAACTGGGGCCTGTTTAGCTCCAACCCTAGCTCTGTATAATCCCATAAAGAAGTTCCCTATAGATGCCTGCCAGCGACGACTTATTTATTTTTACATATTTATGCACACTTGTGCCGACTTGTTGTTTACGACACCCGATTGCTTTCTACGCAGTTCTTATTATTTTTATAGAGGAAATAGCCATGCAAATGAGGCAAGCCAACCATGGTTGGTGGCCTGATCTATGAACTCTAGACTATTATGACTTATTCCTAATCTTATTCCGAATTTTCTGAACTTTACAGACGGCCAAAATGAACTGACCCGCTACAGCAGCGAGGATGTGTCGGGCAACGAGTCAAGCGAAGCGCCCAACATGACCGAGATGGAACGGCAGGCGGAACTCAACCGCCACAAGGAGGAGATGCAGAAAAAACGGCGCAAGAAACGCATCAGTTCCTCGCTCCATTCCTCAACGTTCCAGGGTGAGTCTGCACCACCGGCATTATAGACACGTTCCTTTATAAACTGATCTCCCTATCTTTTTAGAGCTGTACAAGCTGACTGGCGAGATTCTGGGTGAGGGGGCCTATGCCTCGGTCCAAACGTGTGTCAACATCTACACGGATTTGGAGTATGCCGTGAAAGTGATCGATAAAATACCGGGGCATGCCCGCGCCCGTGTCTTTCGCGAAGTGGAGACATTCCATCACTGTCAGGGCCATCCCGGAATTCTGCAATTGATCGAGTTCTTCGAGGACGACGAGAAGTTCTATCTGGTGTTCGAGAAGATCAACGGGGGTCCATTGCTGACGAGGATCCAGGAGCATATCTGCTTCTCGGAGCACGAGGCCTCGCAGATCATCAAGGAGATCGCGTCTGGACTGGATTTCCTCCACAAGAAGGGCATTGCCCATCGTGATCTCAAGCCGGAGAACATTCTGTGCGTCAAGACCGACTCCCTGTGCCCGATCAAGATTTGCGACTTTGACCTGGGCTCGGGCATCAAGTTCACCACAGACATCTCGTCGCCGGCCGCCACTCCCCAACTACTCACTCCAGTAAGTCGCTGATCCTTGGCTGTCTTTCGATCTGGAACTGGGAACATAATGAAAAATTGTCTGTTCTTTGTGTCTAGGTCGGCAGCGCCGAGTTCATGGCACCCGAAGTAGTTGACCTGTTTGTGGGTGAGGCCCATTACTATGACAAGCGATGCGACTTGTGGTCCCTGGGTGTCATCGCTTACATTTTGCTTTGTGGCTATCCGCCGTTCTCCGGCAATTGTGGAGAAGATTGCGGCTGGAATCGCGGTGAGAACTGTCGCACGTGCCAGGAGCTGCTCTTCGAGTCCATTCAAGAAGGTTTGTATATCCATCTAATCTTTTATTTATGAGCTTCTGTGACAAAAATATCGCTCCACTTTATAGGACACTTCACTTTTCCCGAGGCCGAGTGGCACGATGTCAGTGATGAGGCCAAGGATCTGATTTGTCATCTGCTCGTGAAGAAGGCCTCGAGTCGGCTCAGTGCCGAGGCTGTTTTGAACCACAAGTGGATTCGCATGTGCGAGCACGAGCCACCGGTGAAGCAATCTGGACGCCATAAGGCTCTCCAAACACCAGCCAACATCCGACGGTAAGCCATCCTGAATTAGTCTCCTCCTGAAGTAGTAGTAATGTATCTAAATTGGAATTTGAAGCAATCACCAGTCGGCTAGGGAAATCTCGAAGTTCGCCGAGTCAGCAATGGCCGTGAAGCGTGTGGTGTTGCAGCATTTCTCGATGCGCTACGACTACATGAAGGAGCGCCCGAATATCTATCAGCCGTCGCAGGCCTACATCGATGCCTACAGCGATGAAAACTACAATCCCAAGCCGCCGGCCCACTACACCCGTAATCGCTCCCAGCGCAATCCAGCAGCTGCCTCGCTTTCCAGCTACGGCGGTCGGATGTCCTCGATGCACGGCCAGCGGGCCAACAGCCGTCAATCCTCGAGGAATGGGGCTTCGCGTAACGCATCCGCTATTTATCCGAGCAGCGGGGGCTTCAAGACGCTTAACGTGCACGAAGAGGACGACGATGACGAGGCTCTGGAGGCCTTTGGCCGGATCGATGACGAGGACGACGAGTGGGCCAGGTCGACGAAGCACTACCAGCAGCAGAGGGAGTTGCAGAAGCAGCGGGAGGCAATGGAGGAGGATCGCTACAGGAGGGTGAGCGTTAGCGAGGGCGAAGTCGATGACATGGACGAGGATGGAGAGAGCGAGGACTATCAGCACTATAAGCATTATTGGCGCGAATTGGACGAGGACGAGGGCGATGACTATCTGTATGAGCAGCAGCAGCGCGTCGACGACATCATAGCCGAGGAAGATGAGGGGGAGAACGAGCCGGAGGAGAACGAGAAGGAGAAGGGCGACGAAAAGTCGAAGCAACTACTACCAGCCGACAATCTTAAATTGGAGGAAGTTAACCACGGTGAGTATGGAGGAAAGGAGCAGCTTATTATGGATAATATGGAAGAGGAGGAGAAACTCACCACAATGCGCAAAGATGCGCAGGAGGAGGAGGACGAGAAGGAGACTACACCCGAGAAGGAGAGAAAGAAGGAGCAGGATAATGTTGATGGGGCTATGAGGCAAGGACCATCAAGTGATATTAGTGCTACTACCATCACCGAAAATAACCAGCAGCAGACACCAGTTACTACTACAACTACGACACACATTAACAACTGGCAAACTGGCGATGCAAATGATAATGATTCTGATTATGATGATGATGATGATGTTAAACTATTGGATAGTATTAGTGATTTAAATGAAAAGCTACCTGAAATTTATGAGACTGCAAATATTGTTGTCAACTCAGCGGCAGTGCCAGAAGCAGATAAAGAAGCAGAGGAAATTGCAGTAGCACGTGAAGCTACAGAAATACCATGCCCACCAACCGATAACCTAGAAGATGATTCGAATGGGATCAGACCGAATGCAATGGCTGCGTCTGCGGCTGAGGGTACAACAATGCGAACGACTTTTGGCAAGGCGGCAACGGTGGATGCTCCCATCCAGGCGAAGCCCACCCGTAATGTTTACTTTGCTCTCGATGCATATCAGAACGACGAGGATGCCGATATCGATGAAGACGACGACTACGACGAGGAGGTTGGGGAGCAACGCAAGCAGCCGGGAGGGCCTTCGATCGCCAATGCCTACACCCGCAAGCAGCGCCAGCAGCACCACCAGCGGTATATAGTGCCGGCTCAAGGCCCCAGGCAGCAGCAGCAACCGGAGAATTGGCGTTACCGCACGCACCACTCCCAGGTTTGTACTTTGCATTGATTTTCCTCAAAGCCAACAGGTTATAAGGTTTCTATTTATGTAACTCCAGGAGCAGCAACCAGCGGCTGGCTATCGGAAGTACCGCCCACCCTTCAGCACTGGAGGTGGCGGCGGTCACTACGGCAACCAACAACGCAACTATCTGGGCAGCTTCTCGCACAGCGGCGGGGCCGCTGGTTACAAGGTGGCTCCCCCGCCATTGATGCAGCCACCGGTGCAGGCAGCACCACAACGGCATAACAGCGCTGGCAGCAGCAGTGGTAGCGGCAGTGGCAGCGGTGGATCTCCGCCATCCGACGAGCAGTCGACCGTCCGCAACTGGCGTCAGGATTGCGTCTACGCTAGGAGCTACGGAGGCAACCAGTCGTCGCAGCAGCAGCAAGCCTCTCAGCCTCGCTCCATGGTCCAGCGGGCCCAGCAGCAGCCGAGGATCGGTAGCGGTCGCTTCGCCCATTTGCAGGCCTCGCAGCTAATGGAAGAGCTGCCGGACATGCGGATCGGCCTTTCGCCGCCCAGCGAGAGCGTGCTGCTCCAGCGACGTCTACAGCAGCAGAGGGGCAACGATCTGTCCGAGTACTGTGAACCGGCCACTGCCAGTGGTTAGTGGGTCGGTCAGTCCATCTTGGGGCGGAACTCTGTTTTTCACGCACATTCTTCAAAACAACTTTCCAGTTCTAAGATTCTTTTGGGTGCCACACTTCGGCCCGCAACATTTCATTCGAAAAACGAACGAAAACCAATTACACAACAATTCTATTAATTCCGCAATTGCAAAACAGAGTTAACAAAAAACAAAAACAAAAAACCACAAAAAAAAACAATGTTTATACAAGAAAAGGATATTTTTTTTAAAAATGTAAGATGTGAGGAGGAAAAGATAGAGCCGACAGATAGATCCAGAGAGGGGTGGCAGTTGTCTACGCTGTTTTGAAGCAAGCCAAACAGTCGTTCGAGATAAAACAACAAAAAAAACAAAAACAAATACCTTTTTTTATAAAAAAGATTCGAAAAATTGTAATTTATATTGCACTATAATTTTTTATTATGAAAAATAAAAACGAATACGAAAAGTGTTTGAGATCAAGAGATGCATTAACCAATATATAGATTCATTTCGTTTTGGTGAAATCCTAAGTACTTTTCCAAAAAAAAAACTAACTTTGATTCAAAATCATGGCACCGCGTATCCAAAAACCAAAATGTACAAGGAAATTGTTAAAATTTGTATAGTATGTTTTTATTTCTCATAACTAAATTGTTATAAGAAACACCCGGAAGGAACGAGTTAAGTTCAGTTGATAATTATGTTTAAAATGTCCAAAATTACGAGTGGCTCGCAAAAAACACTCCACACACACACACAGCTCATTCTGGTAAAGCGATTTCTAAGAAATCTCCATGTGGATAAGATCTGGTTGTGCACACTTGGGTTTCTTAAAACTAGCCTTACAGAAACACTATTGAAGATGTATCTTTTAAGCCCCAATCCCCCAATACAAGTCCTATGCATTATACTACACTTTCCACACTACACTGGGCGAAGCTAAAGCTAAATAAACTTGACATTGTTGGTGGCCCAACTACAGGGACTGGGCGTAAATGAAAGGCCGACAACAACAACAAACGAACCCAATTTTGTTAAATACATATACTTATAATATTTAAAAAATTGTGATATAAAATGTAAATGTAACTGCACCTGAAGAAAATCTATCTATCTATCAAATGACGCTGTGCCATCAACAACAACCACTTGAAACTATTGTTAAGGCCGCCAGAGAAGGAACATTTTCCGTAGTCTTTGTTTACGTCCCACGAAACCAATGTCAAAGCTCATCCACACCTATACTTTATATTTTCCAACCAATACAGCAACTAATACTAAAAACTTCCATTAAAAAAACAACACAAAAAAAACAAAACACTTAAAAAATAATTAAAATAAAAACCGAAGAATGCAATAATAAAAAGAATTGTTCGAAATCTCTGCACGAAAAGATGCAAAATTATTTTGCCAACAGCATCGATTCGTGTTTGAGAAAAGTATTGAACATTTTATAAAAACAAAATATAATATTGACAGCGTCCAAATAATTTTAAACTATTCATGCAATCTATTCCTACAGAAGCAATCAAATTTGCATTGAAACTGAAACAAAAAAATATTGAAATGAAAACTATCGCTTTCGTTTTTATTTGTAAAACTGTGAGGAATGTTTCGCAACGAAACAAAAAAAAAGTAACTAAGAAATTAATTGATAAGCAGCGCTGCGAAAAATGATACAACTACACACTCAAATAGATATCACTCAATATGGTTTAGAAATCGTCCGATAAGCCAATAATGGGTAAACTTAAGTCGTTAACACTGTGCACAGCGCTGCTATCGGGAGTCGGGAGTCTATCGGGAGAACACCAACGAGAAATCGATGGGGATCGATACAAACGATTGATAAACAGATAACAGATCGATAACATCAATTGAATGTTTGTATGAAAACAATTTGTTTTAAAATTATTGCTATACAAAAGTAAAGAAAAAAAAAAACAAGCCAAGAGAAAAATTCAAGAAAAAAACCCGCAATAAAAGAGTAGATATTGTTTTATACATGAAAACTCAATAAAAATGCAAAATACATAAAATGTTAAATCCTGTGTTTGTCTTTAACATATAGTATATAATTTATTTAAGGCAGCACAAAAAAAGAAGTAAGCTTATTAAGAAAATCACCCAGTTTATTCCAATCATTATATCTCCACTACATACAGAAATGGGAGCTTTCGATCGGGCGAAATGGAAAACCGTAATCTCAGGCGTCTCATTATAGGGCGACCCCATACATTCCGATATTAAACTTCTTACATACTCAACCTTTCTGGCACAAGCAATTTGATTGTAGTATTCATAGATGAGATTTCCATTGCGACGAAATTGTCCTTCGCCATCGATATAGAACGCCGGTAATGTGTGAAGCCTACTCCTGCCCATCGTGAGGACCATCACCCGCATGTCTTGCACCTTGTGGAAAATACTGTAGGCGTGGTCCCTGTTATAATCTTCAGTATTCTGCGACAAGGAAATATTCCTTTGTTTAACGCTGTGACAGAAAAATTTGAACTTTTTCCCCCAAGCATAATAGCAGTTTGAGTCTCTTTGCATTTTTTCGGATTACTTTTATGCTGGGGGATTTATTAAATGACAAGTGGATTTTTTCTTGTTTTAGTTTTTGTTGTAAGAAGCAAATATTTCTTTGCAGGAGTTGATTTTATTCTTAATAAAATCCCTTATATTTGAACAGAATTGTTATTTAGTTTTTATATTTTATATCAGTATCACCATATCAAATTATTTCAAGGATACGATCATAACAGCCCTCATAATTAACCTATCGCCAAAAGCTGAACCTTTCCGATCTTAGGTCGTCGAGAACTATCATTTTCAATCAAAACCAACTAAAATGCTGACCCAATTATCGAAATCTTTCAAAGGGGTAACATCATGAAATTTTTCAAAAATCACATCATGATTTCAGCCAAAATTCGACCCACAATTGAAATTCTTGGTTTTTACCATATTTTGATGAAGGTCGAAGCTACTAGGTTCCCTGACTCGTAAATGGTATTCCTTTTTCGAAACCGATACGAAATGGCTGAAATATTTACCTAAATAGGTAAATATTTAGATCTTCGAGAACTATCATTTTCAATCAAAACCTAGCCAACGAAAATCTGACCCAATTTTCGAAATTTTTCAAAGGGGTAACATCATGATTTTAGCCGACAAGGACGTGTTTCAAAATCTCGCATTTTAGCCACCCGATGATCTTAACTTGGTCCTTAAATTGGTCCTTAGGGAAAATGCTATATTTTTGTCAATAATAATGCGATTGGCGAATGTCATACCTTCCCGATCTTAGATCTTCGAGAACTATCCTTTTCAATCAAAACCTAGCCAACGAAAATCTGACCCAATTTTCGAAATTTTTCAAAGGGGTAACATCATGATTTTGGCTAAAATTCGACCCAAAATTTAAGTTCTTGGTTTTTTAAATATTTTAATGAAGCTCGAAGCTACTATGTTCCCTGATTCGTAAATGGTATTCCTTTTTCGAAACTGATACGAAATGGCTGAAATATTTACTAAATAGTGTTTCAAAATCTCGCATTTTAGCCACCCGATGATCTTAACTTGGTCAACATGGTGTCCTTGGATTTTTTATGCCGATCTTAGATCTTCGAGAACTATCATTTTCAATCAAAACCTAGCCAACGAAAATCTGACCCAATTTTCGAAATTTTTCAAAGGGGTAACATCATGATTTTGGCCAAAATTCGACCCAAAATTTAAGTTCTTGGTTTTTTAAATATTTTGATGAAGCTCGAAGCTACTAGGTTTCCTGATTCGTAAATGGTATTCCTTTTTCGAAACCGATATGAAATGGCTGAAATATTTACTAAATAGTGTTTCAAAATCTCGCATTTTAGCCACCCGATGATCTTAACTTGGTCAACATGGTGTCCTTGGATTTTTTTTAGGCAAAATGCTATATTTTTGTCAATAATAATGCGATTGGCGAATGTCATGCCTTTCCGATCTTAGATCTTCGAGAACTACCATTTTCAATCAAAACCTAGCCGACGAAAATCTGACCCAATTTTCGAAATTTTTCAAAGGGGTAACATCATGATTTTGGCCAAAATTTGACCCAAAATTTAAGTTCTTGGTTTTTTAAATATTTTGATGAAGCTCGAAGCTACAAGGTTCCCTGATTCGTAAATGGTATTCCTTTTTCGAAACCGATACGAAATGGCTGAAATATTTACTAAATAGTGTTTCAAAATCTCGCATTTTAGCCGCCCGATGATCTTAACTTGGTCAACATGGTGTCCTTGGATTTTTTTTAGGCAAAATGCTATATTTTTGTCAATAATAATGCTATTGGCGAATGTCATACCTTTCCGATCTTAGATCTTCGAGAACTATCATTTTCAATCAAAACCTAGCCAACGAAAATCTGACCCAATTTTCGAAATTTTTCAAAGGGGTAACATCATGATTTTGGCCAAAATTCGACCCAAAATTTAAGTTCTTGGTTTTTTAAATATTTTGATGAAGCTCGAAGCTACTAGGTTTCCTGATTCGTAAATGGTATTCCTTTTTCGAAACCGATACGAAATGGCTGAAATATTTACTAAATAGTGTTTCAAAATCTCGCATTTTAGCCGCCCGATGATCTTAACTTGGTCAACATGGTGTCCTTGGATTTTTTTTAGGGAAAATGCTATATTTTTGTCAATAATAATGCGATTGGCGAATGTCATACCTTTCCGATCTTAGATCTTCGAGAACTATCATTTTCAATCAAAACCTAGCCGACGAAAATCTGACCCAATTTTCGAAATTTTTCAAAGGGGTAACATCATGATTTTGGCCAAAATTCGACCCAAAATTTAAGTTCTTGGTTTTTAAATATTTTGATGAAGCTCGAAGCTACTAGGTTTCCTGATTCGTAAATGGTATTCCTTTTTCGAAACCGATATGAAATGGCTGAAATATTTACTAAATAGTGTTTCAAAATCTCGCATTTTAGCCACCCGATGATCTTAACTTGGTCAACATGGTGTCCTTGGATTTTTTTTAGGCAAAATGCTATATGTTTGTCTATAATAATGCGATTGGCGAATGTCATACCTTTCCGATCTTAGATCTTCGAGAACTATCATTTTCAATCAAAACCTAGCCGACGAAAATCTGACCCAATTTTCGAAATTTTTCAAAGGGGTAACATCATGATTTTGGCCAAAATTCGACCCAAAATTTAAGTTCTTGGTTTTTTAAATATTTTGATGAAGCTCGAAGCTACTAGGTTCCCTGATTCGTAAATGGTATTCCTTTTTCGAAACCGATACGAAATGGCTGAAATATTTACTAAATAGTGTTTCAAAATCTCGCATTTTAGCCATTCGATGATCTTAACTTGGTCAACATGGTGTCCTTGGATTTTTTTTTAGGGAAAATGCTATATTTTTGTCAATAATAATGCTATTGGCGAATGTCATACCTTTCCGATCTTAGATCTTCGAGAACTATCATTTTCAATCAAAACCTAGCCGACGAAAATCTGACCCAATTTTCGAAATTTTTCAAAGGGGTAACATCATGATTTTGGCCAAAATTCGACCCAAAATTTAAGTTCTTGGTTTTTTTAATATTTTGATGAAGCTCGAAGCTACTAGGTTCCCTGATTCGTAAATGGTATTCCTTTTTCGAAACCGATATGAAATGGCTGAAATATTTACTAAATAGTGTTTCAAAATCTCGCATTTTAGCCACCCGATGATCTTAACTTGGTCAACATGGTGTCCTTGGATTTTTTTTAGGGAAAATGCTATATTTTTGTCAATAATAATGCGATTGGCGAATGTCATACCTTTCCGATCTTAGATCTTCGAGAACTATCATTTTCAATCAAAACCTAGCCAACGAAAATCTGACCCAATTTTCGAAATTTTTCAAAGGGGTAACATCATGATTTTGGCCAAAATTCGACCCAAAATTTAAGTTCTTGGTTTTTTAAATATTTTGATGAAGCTCGAAGCTACTAGGTTCCCTGATTCGTAAATGGTATTCCTTTTTCGAAACCGATACGAAATGGCTGAAATATTTACTAAATAGTGTTTCAAAATCTCGCATTTTAGCCACCCGATGATCTTGACTTGGTCAACATGGTGTCCTTGGATTTTTTTTAGGCAAAATGCTATATTTTTGTCAATAATAATGCGATTGGCGAATGTCATACCTTTCCGATCTTAGATCTTCGAGAACTATCATTTTCAATCAAAACCTAGCCAACGAAAATCTGACCCAATTTTCGAAATTTTTCAAAGGGGTAACATCATGATTTTGGCCAAAATTCGACCCAAAATTTAAGTTCTTGGTTTTTAAATATTTTGATGAAGCTCGAAGCTACTAGGTTTCCTGATTCGTAAATGGTATTCCTTTTTCGAAACCGATATGAAATGGCTGAAATATTTACTAAATAGTGTTTCAAAATCTCGCATTTTAGCCACCCGATGATCTTAACTTGGTCAACATGGTGTCCTTGGATTTTTTTTAGGCAAAATGCTATATGTTTGTCTATAATAATGCGATTGGCGAATGTCATACCTTTCCGATCTTAGATCTTCGAGAACTATCATTTTCAATCAAAACCTAGCCGACGAAAATCTGACCCAATTTTCGAAATTTTTCAAAGGGGTAACATCATGATTTTGGCCAAAATTCGACCCAAAATTTAAGTTCTTGGTTTTTTAAATATTTTGATGAAGCTCGAAGCTACTAGGTTCCCTGATTCGTAAATGGTATTCCTTTTTCGAAACCGATACGAAATGGCTGAAATATTTACTAAATAGTGTTTCAAAATCTCGCATTTTAGCCATTCGATGATCTTAACTTGGTCAACATGGTGTCCTTGGATTTTTTTTAGGGAAAATGCTATATTTTTGTCAATAATAATGCGATTGGCGAATGTCATACCTTTCCGATCTTAGATCTTTGAGAACTATCATTTTCAATCAAAACCTAGCCGACGAAAATCTGACCCAATTTTCGAAATTTTTCAAAGGGGTAACATCATGATTTTGGCCAAAATTCGACCCAAAATTTAAGTTCTTGGTTTTTTAAATATTTTGATGAAGCTCGAAGCTACTAGGTTCCCTGATTCGTAAATGGTATTCCTTTTTCGAAACCGATATGAAATGGCTGAAATATTTACTAAATAGTGTTTCAAAATCTCGCATTTTAGCCACCCGATGATCTTAACTTGGTCAACATGGTGTCCTTGGATTTTTTTTAGGCAAAATGCTATATGTTTGTCAATAATAATGCGATTGGCGAATGTCATACCTTTCCGATCTTAGATCTTCGAGAACTATCATTTTCAATGAAAACCTAGCCGACGAAAATCTGACCCAATTTTCGAAATTTTTCAAAGGGGTAACATCATGATTTTGGCCAAAATTCGACCCAAAATTTAAGTTCTTGGTTTTTAAATATTTTGATGAAGCTCGAAGCTACTAGGTTCCCTGATTCGTAAATGGTATTCCTTTTTCGAAACCGATACGAAATGGCTGAAATATTTACTAAATAGTGTTTCAAAATCTCGCATTTTAGCCACCCGATGATCTTAACTTGGTCAACATGGTGTCCTTGGATTTTTTTTAGGGAAAATGCTATATTTTTGTCAATAATAATGCTATTGGCGAATGTCATACCTTTCCGATCTTAGATCTTCGAGAACTATCATTTTCAATCAAAACCTAGCCGACGAAAATCTGACCCAATTTTCGAAATTTTTCAAAGGGGTAACATCATGATTTTGGCCAAAATTCGACCCAAAATTTAAGTTCTTGGTTTTTTTAATATTTTGATGAAGCTCGAAGCTACTAGGTTCCCTGATTCGTAAATGGTATTCCTTTTTCGAAACCGATACGAAATGGCTGAAATATTTACTAAATAGTGTTTCAAAATCTCGCATTTTAGCCACCCGATGATCTTGACTTGGTCAACATGGTGTCCTTGGATTTTTTTTAGGCAAAATGCTATATTTTTGTCAATAATAATGCGATTGGCGAATGTCATGCCTTTCCGATCTTAGATCTTCGAGAACTACCATTTTCAATCAAAACCTAGCCGACGAAAATCTGACCCAATTTTCGAAATTTTTCAAAGGGGTAACATCATGATTTTGGCCAAAATTCGACCCAAAATTTAAGTTCTTGGTTTTTTAAATATTTTGATGAAGCTCGAAGCTACTAGGTTTCCTGATTCGTAAATGGTATTCCTTTTTCGAAACCGATATGAAATGGCTGGAATATTTACTAAATAGTGTTTCAAAATCTCGCATTTTAGCCACCCGATGATCTTAACTTGGTCAACATGGTGTCCTTGGATTTTTTTTTAGGGAAAATGCTATATTTTTGTCAATAATAATGCTATTGGCGAATGTCATACCTTTCCGATCTTAGATCTTCGAGAACTATCATTTTCAATCAAAACCTAGCCAACGAAAATCTGACCCAATTTTCGAAATTTTTCAAAGGGGTAACATCATGATTTTGGCCAAAATTCGACCCAAAATTTAAGTTCTTGGTTTTTTAAATATTTTGATGAAGCTCGAAGCTACTAGGTTTCCTGATTCGTAAATGGTATTCCTTTTTCGAAACCGATATGAAATGGCTGAAATATTTACTAAATAGTGTTTCAAAATCTCGCATTTTAGCCACCCGATGATCTTAACTTGGTCAACATGGTGTCCTTGGATTTTTTTTAGGCAAAATGCTATATGTTTGTCAATAATAATGCGATTGGCGAATGTCATACCTTTCCGATCTTAGATCTTCGAGAACTATCATTTTCAATGAAAACCTAGCCGACGAAAATCTGACCCAATTTTCGAAATTTTTCAAAGGGGTAACATCATGATTTTGGCCAAAATTCGACCCAAAATTTAAGTTCTTGGTTTTTTAATATTTTGATGAAGCTCGAAGCTACTAGGTTCCCTGATTCGTAAATGGTATTCCTTTTTCGAAACCGATACGAAATGGCTGAAATATTTACTAAATAGTGTTTCAAAATCTCGCATTTTAGCCATTCGATGATCTTAACTTGGTCAACATGGTGTCCTTGGATTTTTTTTTAGGGAAAATGCTATATTTTTGTCAATAATAATGCGATTGGCGAATGTCATACCTTTCCGATCTTAGATCTTTGAGAACTATCATTTTCAATCAAAACCTAGCCGACGAAAATCTGACCCAATTTTCGAAATTTTTCAAAGGGGTAACATCATGATTTTGGCCAAAATTCGACCCAAAATTTAAGTTCTTGGTTTTTTAAATATTTTGATGAAGCTCGAAGCTACTAGGTTCCCTGATTCGTAAATGGTATTCCTTTTTCGAAACCGATACGAAATGGCTGAAATAATTACTAAATAGTGTTTCAAAATCTCGCATTTTAGCCACCCGATGATCTTAACTTGGTCAACATGGTGTCCTTGGATTTTTTTTAGGCAAAATGCTATATTTTTGTCAATAATAATGCTATTGGCGAATGTCATACCTTTCCGATCTTAGATCTTCGAGAACTATCATTTTCAATCAAAACCTAGCCGACGAAAATCTGACCCAATTTTCGAAATTTTTCAAAGGGGTAACATCATGATTTTGGCCAAAATTCGACCCAAAATTTAAGTTCTTGGTTTTTTTAATATTTTGATGAAGCTCGAAGCTACTAGGTTCCCTGATTCGTAAATGGTATTCCTTTTTCGAAACCGATATGAAATGGCTGAAATATTTACTAAATAGTGTTTCAAAATCTCGCATTTTAGCCACCCGATGATCTTGACTTGGTCAACATGTTGTCCTTGGATTTTTTTTAGGGAAAATGCTATATTTTTGTCAATAATAATGCGATTGGCGAATGTCATACCTTTCCGATCTTAGATCTTCGAGAACTATCATTTTCAATCAAAACCTAGCCAACGAAAATCTGACCCAATTTTCGAAATTTTTCAAAGGGGTAACATCATGATTTTGGCCAAAATTCGACCCAAAATTTAAGTTCTTGGTTTTTTTAATTTTTTGATGAAGCTCGAAGCTACTAGGTTCCCTGATTCGTAAATGGTATTCCTTTTTCGAAACCGATACGAAATGGCTGAAATATTTACTAAATAGTGTTTCAAAATCTCGCATTTTAGCCACCCGATGATCTTGACTTGGTCAACATGGTGTCCTTGGATTTTTTTTAGGGAAAATGCTATATTTTTGTCAATAACAATGCGATTGGCGAATGTCATACATTTCCGATCTTAGATCTTCGAGAACTATCATTTTCAATCAAAACCTAGCCAACGAAAATCTGACCCAATTTTCGAAATTTTTCAAAGGGGTAACATCATGATTTTGGCCAAAATTCGACCCAAAATTTAAGTTCTTGGTTTTTTAAATATTTTGATGAAGCTCGAAGCTACTAGGTTCCCTGATTCGTAAATGGTATTCCTTGTTCGAAACCGATACGAAATGGCTGAAATATTTACTAAATAGTGTTTCAAAATCTCGCATTTTAGCCACCCGATGATCTTAACTTGGTCAACATGGTGTCCTTGGTTTTTTTTTAGGCAAAATGCTATATTTTTGTCAATAATAATGCGATTGGCGAATGTCATACCTTCCCGATCTTAGATCTTCGAGAACTATCATTTTCAATCAAAACCTAGCCAACGAAAATCTGACCCAATTTTCGAAATTTTTCAAAGAGGTAACATCATGATTTTGGCCAAAATTCGACCCAAAATTTAAGTTCTTGGTTTTTTAAATATTTTAATGAAGCTCGAAGCTACTAGGTTCCCTGATTCGTAAATGGTATTCCTTTTTCGAAACCGATATGAAATGGCTGAAATATTTACTAAATAGTGTTTCAAAATCTCGCATTTTAGCCACCCGATGATCTTAACTTGGTCAACATGGTGTCCTTGGATTTTTTTTAGGCAAAATGCTATATTTTTGTCAATAATAATGCGATTGGCGAATGTCATACCTTTCCGATCTTAGATCTTCGAGAACTATCATTTTCAATCAAAACCTAGCCAACGAAAATCTGACCCAATTTTCGAAATTTTTCAAAGCGGTAACATCATGATTTTGGCCAAAATTTGACCCAAAATTTAAGTTCTTGGTTTTTTTAATTTTTTGATGAAGCTCGAAGCTACTAGGTTCCCTGATTCGTAAATGGTATTCCTTTTTCGAAACCGATACGAAATGGCTGAAATATTTACTAAATAGTGTTTCAAAATCTCGCATTTTAGCCACCCGATGATCTTAACTTGGTCAACGTTGCAAATTAAAGGCCATAATTTTCACCAGGATTCCATTATTTTGGTTTTTATTTTGTGAGGCTACAAAATTTTATTACAATATCCTAAAGTTTATAAAATTTTTAATTGATAACAGGTTTTGAATTGCCAGTGTTGCCTCTAAGACATTTTGAAATAATTTTCGATATTATCGCTAAGCTTTCTTAATGACATCGATAGTTCGTTACGTTTCAGCAAAAAAGTCAAAGTTTCACAGTTCATATTATAAAAGTACACTTTAGATTTAAAACTTTGAACCTGAAAAAAAGTACCCATTGAAGGAGTACGAAAGCAAATCGCATTTCTGTTGTTTAATTATTGCAACTTTGTTGTTTTATTACATATCACCATTTTCTTGTATGTGTGGGGTTTTGTAATCTACTATATTAACCGAATTTTAAGCTTACAAGTTTAATAAATAACTGTTGGATCTTATCGGATAGACTTTGTTTATTCACAGTTTTGTTATCACTAAAACAGCTGTTTAGTTTTACCCCTTACCAAACAGCTGTGTTTTTGTTTACAGTCTAAACCAAAAACATAATGTTGGCTTGAATCATTATCATTCATTTACCTTATAATCATTTACTGTAATCATTATACAGTAATAATACTTTAAAAATACTTTGTTTAACTCTTTTATAATAAGTTAGTTTAGTTAACTATCGATATGAAACTTATCGATAAGACACTGACATCCCTATTGCGTTGTCTAGAAATTAATAAGTTTTTTGCAGCAAATAAAAGTTTTGTAAGGCCACCGCAGCAGGTGGGTCGTTAAAGGCTGTATGTAAATATTTCTTTTTTTCTACTATTTGAGAAAGGAGAGTGGATTGCAAACTTGTTGAAAACGAAGGCCCCTACAGGAAATTCGTGATATAAAAAAAGTCAACATTTTTCTGTTTTTTTTTTTACATTTTTGCGAGCTTTTGTATCTTAAATGTTGATTTATTATTTAATATTGTTTATTAATATTTTAAATAAAGATTAAGGTCTAAATGAACACGTTTATTGACAATGTAGTTGCCTATTTCAAAACAGTTTGGCTCTTTGTTTTTTTAGGGAAGCCCCGGGGCACACAGCAATCAGCTCAGTCGTTTCGACTTTGCCACAGATCTATAATTCATACATTTTTGTATATACATATGTGTACATATTTTCAGAACACTTTGGCCTATGTGCGCCGTAACACCGTAATTTTTTGCCGTTTCTTTGCCGTTGACGTTGCCCCTGTGCACTGAACTGAAGACTCTGGAGATCAGAGATCTTGGCGAGTATGGAGAACGACCAGGAGGAGTTGCGCCACCACCCACGGGTCACTATGTCGTTTTCAAGCCCCACCGCTGGAGAGACCCGTAAGATGACCCGTAATTTGTTACTGAATAGCTAATCCTTTCCGGTTCTATTGCAGATTCCCCGCAGTTTATGATGCTACCTGATGGCTACATGCTGTTTAATCCTTATATGGCGGCGCCGGAGCCTCAGTCTACATCTCCACCACCGTCGTCTTTCACCGCATTGGTGGCACCGCGTCGTGACGTTTCCATTTCCTCGGGATATGAGCCTACGCCACCAGTTCGATGCGATAAGTGCAGCTTAGCAACTAATCTCTGTCGATGTCACTTTGTTGACTCCACTCAAAGCCAGCCGCAGGATTCGTCTCCTCAGTTTGTGGAACTGCCCTCTTCATCAACTGCCACTTCCAGAAGCCGCCAAGCGGAACAGAAGAAGACTGAACCCCTTAATTTGCAACACGAGGGTAACGATGCTGCCGATGACGTGGTGGTCTCCATTAACGGAACATGGCCCGCGGCCGCTATGGAGGAGCATGCCATGGATGCCACTGCGGTGGTGTACGAACAACCCTCCAGTTCTCTGCAGCTGAGCAATAGCTTTGATGACGTTACCTCCAGTGCCTCGGATACGGAGCACGGTCAGTTCGCCAATACGCGTACCACCAATACCACTACCACTACATCGGCTGTGCAGGCGCATAAAAAGAAGCTGAACCGTTCGAATGACGCTTCTTCGAACTCCTCCTCGGGTGGCGGTGGAGGATCAGGAGTGGAACTTGACGCAACACCCAGTACGAGTGCCCAAGCGAGAAGACAACAGGTAGATCGATTATCATACCGACGTGCCAGGGTTTTGGAGCCGGATAACGAGAGCAGCGACGATGGCTGGGACCTAAGGATGCATAACTCTGCCGCCCAGGCGAAACCTGCGGTTACTGTAATACGTGGCCATGGTAGGAGAGAAAACCAGACAGACGATCACACGGATCACACCTACTTTAATAGTCGTAGACCGGATAGCACGTACAGACCAGCTGCTTCCTGCTCGACGGCCACCCACACAACATGCAGCGTGGACTATGGCTCTCGAATGCGCCAGAACACGGCATCGCCTTCGACGACTTCGACGGAACAGGAGCAACTGGACGAAGAGCAGCCACAACAGCAAGCTAGTCGTGTATTTATTGAAAGTGAATATGAAAACTCAGGTGCTTTTTGGAGTCAAACTCGCCCCACAGACGAATCGGGACCTCCGAGAAAGCTGCCGCGTCTGGACAACCGGGACAACAGGGAGTCGCCGCCCACTTCCTCAACCAAACTATCTCCTACAAATTTCAATGCTTTTCAGCCGGGGAGAAGCAGACACCGCACCTTTGCCGAGCTGGGAAGCAGCAATTCTACTCGGCATTTGGAGCAATCCGCCAATGGATCATGTGTAATAACGTATGTGGGCAGACCACGGGAGCGTCAGTCTTCCGGAGAGCTGAACAATCAGCCTTCAACATCGTCGGGCAAGCGTGGCAATCCTAGCAGCTCCAACACGAATTCAAACCGGAGAGATGCTGTGCTGACTGCTCCCGATTTACAACTGGATGATTGGTCTTCCGACTCCAACGAAGATGATGATGATGTTGTCTTCGTGCACTCCACACGCGAGCCGATTCTCTCCATCGATCTGACCTCGGATGACGATGGTGGCTTAGCCAATGAGAGGCCGCAACGCGAGGAAACGGTGCGGCAAACCCAGGATGTGCGTGGCAGTGAAAGTGGAAGAGATAGGGGACGGGGAGTTGCAATTAGTGACATAATTCTAAGAGAAATCCAAAGGGAAGAAGATACTTTGGCGGTCCGTGACAGAGACCAGGAACGGAGTGCGTTGGATGCCCGCGATGAAAGGCGACCAATATTTAATTACGCTTACCCACTTCCCTATCCCCGTAGATCGGATCGCCGAACGGAGGCGGGTGAAGATGGCACGTCTGCGTTTGCTTTCTACAGTGGCGCTCTTGCCAATAGGCCAGCCATCACGGACCACAACTACAGCTATGAACTGGACCAATTGCTGGATCACAACTCCAGACATTACTATCCGCCGCCACGCTGCTCCAGCATGGATCCGCAGCGCTACTTCCAGCCCATCAGTGAGCAGCCTTCCATGTGGCTGCTTGGCACGCCACCTGCTCCCGGTCATGTTCCAGCTCCGGTTTCGGCCCCTCTTGCTCCGCCCGAGAGTATGGCCTCTGGCACAGTTGCTTCCACGGCAAGCAGCTCCACTGGGTCTACGTCTTCCCAGGCAGCCCGCCGGAGACGGAGTAGTCCGGCGAATGTGTACCACCGCTACCAGCCGTACTACGTTCCCCACTATGCAATAACGCCACTGCCTACTGTCATGGAGGCTGTGTACGCTCCCACTCTCCAACCCTTGCCCTCCACACATGCCCATCCTCATCCGCACCCAAATCTCCATTACCAGAGCCAAGGCGGAAGCAGTCGAAGCTCATTGAGCGGAGCCATCAATGCGGCAGCTGTTGCAGGCGCAGCTGCAGCAGCACAGGCGCAATCTTTCAGCGATCTCTTATCAAGGACTCACAGTGATGCCGGAAGGGGAGTGGCAGCTGGGATGGAAAGCGTCCCGGTGGGAAATCCATCGCCGCCACATCCGCTTGTACAACATCAGCAGCAGCACCAGCAGCGAACTGCTATAAATCCGCCGCCGGGCATAGTTTCGTCTGTTACATTAGGAGCCGCTGTGTCCCCCCCACCTCTCCTGGAGATGTACTCGGGCCGAAGTACCATTCCCTATTGCGGGTCGCCACCATTTAGTGTACGACGATCAGAAGCGGCGTATAGTAACAGGCAGCACTACCAGCCGCAGCCTCATCAGGGCCACCAGGCGCCCCAGAACCAAATGCATGCTCACATACACCCGCCGCACAGGGCAAGCGCCCTTGTGGCTACCTCGTTGACCCCGGCGCCGCCGTATCCAGTGCATCAAAACCTGTGGTACAGACAACAGAGCATCCAAGAGCTGCACAGGCGACATATGACCCCCACTCCCATTGATCTCTCCTCGAATGCGCCACTACTAACTAGCAGCCTGCGAAATGGATACATGCACAGCATCTGCAACTGCGTGCACGCAAGAAGTGGTCCGGTTTCCAGTCTAGATCCGGCCTATTATCCGCCTTATGATGCCGGAGTTGCCGGATCAGCCGCTCCCCCGGTACAAACGCAGTCGCAGGGAAGTTCCATTAGTCTAGCCGGATCCGCTGGGTCCACGGGAGCACCACCCATGCTAAGGATTCCAACACAAGCGCAGACGTCCCCACCGCCTTCCCACCTTTTGCGGCGGCAGCGTGCAATTCACCATCATATGTTCCATCACCACTACTCTCCATTGCATCTAGAGATTGGTCTGGCCACCCCCTTATCCCTAGGATCTCGTATACTTATTGGACCACCAAGACCGAATCGCGGAGCCACCTTGGTAAGTCATACAGGCTGTTAGGTTCCACTCATTCTATTTATATTTTTGTATTAGGAAACCATCGAGCGGAATACTCTGCCTCATAAATATAGACGTGTGCGCCGGCCAAGTGAAACCGACGAGGATGCCGAGAAGTGCGCCATCTGCTTGACCCTTTTTGAAATTGAGAACGACGTCCGGTAATTTAGACTTTATGGACAGAAACTAATCCTAAACTAATTGGAATACTTTGATCCACTCTAGGCGCCTGCCTTGCATGCATTTGTTCCATACCGACTGTGTGGACCAGTGGCTGGTCACCAACAAGCACTGCCCAATTTGTCGCGTCGACATCGAAACCCATATGGCCAATGATGCACTGGCCTCCAGTGCTAGCGGTGTCACAGACGCCGCCAGCAGCGCCGCCTTATGACACTGTGTGCATGGAATCTTTATGTAAGCCTCCTGGAAGGAGGTAGTCGCGGCTGGCATCGAAAGGACAATTAATCTTATAACCATAGGAACAAACTTTAAAATATTTAACCCACCACAGCACGCAACTACGGTTGCGTAGTTGCGATGAAAAATATCAAAAGCTACGTCTGTTTGGCTCAATTTCTAATTCATAAGTATCATAAGTGATTCGGCAAATTATTTCCTATTCATATGTACAAATTGTCCACGTCTTGTGAAACAAAATTCTTGTGATAAGAATTTCATAAATGCATATATTGTTATAGAATAGAATTCCCATCATGGGCGAGACTCATATTTATTCCAGCCCATGCTTGTTACACTTTTAATTTGTCACACAAATAGGACTCGACGATAAAACAGGACGCGAAGCCATGTTTCTAATCGGCCAAGGCATTTTATATTTAATTTTTAAATCCCAAAGGCATGTTAATACCCTTTATGATTTTCTATTAATACTTTTGTTATGTTTTTACTTTTCACAACTAGTTGTGAACTATTATAAAGTGTTTATCTTCTGACGGATAAAAACCAGATTAAAATTAATTATTTCCTTTATAACGTTTGGGCTCTACCACCTCAATTATTGCTCAATATCTCATATCGTGCCATAATCCATTAAAAATTTGTATCATTCTAACGTAAGTTCTGTGTTACTTTGGCAAAGGCACAATGCATAAAACTTTTCCCAGTGTCGTCACGAACGACAAAAATAAAATGAATAATAATATCATATTTAAAAGATTTGTTGCATCCTGTTTGTATATTTTTTTTATTGGTAGGTAAATAATCAGTTCTATTTCGTGAGTTTGTGTTTAAGCTTTCGTGTAAAATTTTAAAAATCTAAAGCTACGTTTTATTTAAGAGGTTCTGTTAACTCAGCACCCCGATTCAGAAGCCAAGGGTGGGTCTATTGGTCACTTAAGATAATTTTGGGCAGAATACAATTTATTGCAAATTTCTAATGTTTTAAAAGGGGAATTATCTTTAAAAAGAATTCCCATTTCTAACGACTTATTAGGATGGTTATTTTAGGTTTTCATTTAGGATGTGCCTGTGTCTTTAAACTATTATTTTAAATAAACAAATTTAAGAGGCAAGACTATTAACAATCTTCTCAACCTGGGAAATCTAAATATTTGAAACTTTTTTACAAATCATAGTAGGTTAAAGACCCACCCATTAGAAACCCCCCCGTGAATTTAGATATAAGGCCATACATATACCCTATGTAGCGTCGTTATCCTCGTTTTCTTCCTCTTGATTTGCCAGGTCGGCGAAGAAGTCACCCGTGTTGGTGCACTTCGAGGAGGGCAAGTTATGCCGCTGCTCCTTGTAGGCATTGTGTTTCTCGTTGTACTTGATGTCCCCAAAGTCCTCAAAATACTTAACGTTCCAGAAGCGAACGTCGTTGTTGTGTGACGACGATGCCAACAGCTCACCATTGCAATTCACATCCATTGCTTCGACGGGCATGCTATGCTGTCCCACTACGCCTAGGTTTCGATACGGCGTTATGTGGCAGGCGCGTATGTTGCCATCCTCTCCAGCCACACAGGCGATTCGATCGGTGATGGGTATCATCAGGCTAATAGGACTTTTAATACCAGGATACATGTCACAATGGTACCCGAAAGAGCCCCAATTATAACTGTACAACTTTCCTTTGGAAGTGCCCACCACAAGCTTGGAGTCGCCACGGTAGACACCCATGCAATTGAGCTCCTCTTCGTAGGGCTCCGATTGTACGTACAACTTGCGACCGGGGATGTTGAACGTGGTTAGGTATCCATCAGCGCTGGTAGCCAGAAGCAGCGTATTCTGTTCGTTGGATAACAACTGGGTCACTTGATCATCTATTTGCTTCAGCTCAAACACGTGCTGCTTGGTGCGCAGATCCCAGAGCTTTACTGTGCCCGCATCATCTCCCGTGGCGAACAGGTTCTCATTGAGGACGTGCAATGTGTTAATGGCATCATCGTGCGCAGTCTCATAAAGCTTTATCAACTTCTCCGTCTGCATGTCGGTTACCATAACACACTTGTCCTTGGAACAAGTAAGCAGATTTCGGCCATCTTCTGTAAACTCCACATCCCGACAGGCCTTCGAATGCACTTCAATGGTACGTAGAAGTTTGTTGCCCTCATTGGCGTACTCGTACAGATGCACATCCCCAATAATGGTGGCCAGGGCAATGATGTTGCGCTCTGGATGGAAGGAAATATCTGTAACAAAGTCCTCTAGCTTGATCTCTGGTGGAGCACTGCGAGGTTTCTTGATAGCTGCAATTATGGCACGCACTGTCTCATCTGATTCGTCCTCCAGATCCAAATCGAAATTGGATTCTGTGCCCTTGTGGCTCCCTGACGGACCATCGTCATCCTTTCGTCGCTTGGCGCTTGTCGCCTGGGTCTCTTCATCGTTTTCTGTGGAATCATCGGAATCGGAATCCTCTGCATTTGGATCAAAGCTATCATCGCTGCTGATGTTTTGGTTTCCATCGTCATCATCATCATCAGGTGGTGGAGCACCCTCTTGTTCCGCTCTAAAGTCGTCGTCACTGTCCGATTCATAGAGAACTTCCTGTTCAATCTCGGCTATCACGCCCATTACCATTTCGTCGTCCAAATCGTCCACTTCCTCTGCATCCGACGGAGTTTTGAAGTGATTATGCCTGTAGAAACGAGTTTTTCATGAGGGAATGACTTCTAATTGAGTGAAACAATACAACACTTACGTGTGCATACTATTTTCCAGGAAAAAAAATGATTTTGCGCTTTTATTTACAACGCCACGCTTTTTTTCTGGGTTGTTTGGATACCACAGGCAATAAGAAGAAGAAGCTAGCAGAAAGCATGTCACATATCAGCTGTTTTGGTCACCAGTGATTCACAATATAGCCTTTTACGGCTAGAAAATAAATTTGATAAAATCAAGATGCATTTTAAATACAAATTTGTGGAATTTTCATACAAAACTTTTTTAATTTGATTGATTTATTTAAAATAATATTTATTATTGTGATATTTAAAAAATAGACAAATTAATGTGACCACACTCTGTTTAATGTGGTCACCTACTCTGGTGATTATTGTCAGCTGGTTACACTGCCCCGAATTCGCATTTGTTTTTATTGGCGTTGCGCGCGTTTTTAATATAAATTTGTCTTAAATTGTTTTGTTAATTATAGTTTATTTACGTTTGTTATGGTTGTTTGAATGAACAGCACAGCGCCATGTCGAGGAAAGTCGTGGTGCCCAAGAAACAGCTCACACTCAGCAGCTTCATTGGCTTGGATAATATCCCCGACTCCCAGAGTCAAAAGAAAAAAGGTAAATATATTGATTAGATTGATTTGCAATCGTACAGATTATTCATTTATTGGCGCTGATTTGTAGTGACCAATGCGAAAAGCAAGCCCAAGGCTATCTACAATCCCATATTTCTTGACTCCTCTTCATCCGATGAAGAAGCTTCTCAGAAATCTAGCCAGCCGTCTTCGAAGGACAGCACCCACGTCAAAAAATACACTTTCTCCAGTCTTTCACCATTGTCTCCTGCCAAAATATTGGAGGATAATACTAAGAGCCAGCCGCCAACTAAGAAGCAAACGGCGAACCGGTTCGATGATAGCCCCAAAAAGGGACAGAAACACTCAATACTCACACTACCAGATTCCCCGCCAGCTGCAGACACTGCCGAGAAAACAAAGAAGGCCTATTTTGAAGACTCCTCAAAGAGCGAACAGCGGCGCACCTATCGCGGCCTTTCTGAATCTCCTATCCTTAATGAGTCGCCCGTAAAACCAATTCAAAATGCGGGAAAACGCCTCATATCATCAAAGAGTATATTTTTAGAAGATTCGCCTGTTAAGCTTCCTGATCCAGTTGATCTAAAACCTAACTTGGTAGGTGTATCTAGGAAACTTGAAACTAAAGTGAAACAGCCGAGTTCGCCGCCTAAAAACAATCAGTTTAATAAATTGGAGAGTGTTGTTATTGATGATTCTCCTGAGAAGAGCCCAACTGGACTCTCGTCTTATTCCGGCTACAAGTTGGGATCGTGCCAGGACAATTTTAAAAGCACTTCTCTGTCTTCCAACTACCCTGAAACATCAGGTACTTCAGAAGTCATATCAGCTCCTTTGAAGCCCAGACTGAGTGTGGCCTTTGACAATTCGCTGGCGGATTATCTGCGCGACTTGGCCCAAAACGACAACTTCAGTATGGATCCGAACAAACAAAGCATGGGAGCTTTGAAAAATTCGCTGGACTTCTTTCGCAATACCTACATTGAGCTGATGGAGAAGTACTGCTCTCTGATAGACCAAATTCCCGCCATGCACTTTAATGAGATCTCTGGCTTTCAGCCAAACACATTTCTTAAGCTGAAAGTTATGCGACAGAAGTTCAAGGCTAGAACGCAATTGCTTCAAAAAACCATGGAAAGAAACCAAAGCAGGGAAAAGGAGGAACAGGATGCGTTTGAGCTTGCGGAGATGGAGATGCAGGAGAAAACGCGACTATTAAAACGGGATAATTGTGTAGCCAAACCTCTAACATCACCAAGCCCTGTATCAGCAAATGTTAGCGAAGAGAAACCACCTAACCGAAAGGCTTTGGTGCAGAGTTTCTGCGGTGATCCAGATGACTTCTCTCCTCCATTGGAGGAGAAAGAATTGACTCTGCCTTCCAAACCGCCCAATAGGAAGTCCTTACTACAAGGTCTGTGCGGTGATCCAGAGGATTGTTTGCCACCAGAAGAGTTTGAAGATTCGCCTATGCCTTTCAAGCCACCCAACCGCAAAAATTTTCTTGAAGACTTTTTCGGGGAACCAGACGATGTTTTGCCTTCGAAAAAGCCGGATGATCCGAATACACTACGCAAACGCGAAGAACTCATCCACGATCTTTGCGAGGAACCAGATGACTACTTGGCCCGAAGTATGATGCTGGACGGTGACCTAGAGGAAGAGAACATGATCGCGCCCACGCAACAGGTAGACGAGGAAGAAGATGATTTGGAGGGCTTGTTGGCCGAAATAGAAAATGAGCACCAGGAGATGCAGGGTCGAAAGTCTATGTATAACTCCTACGGTTATAAGGACTTTGAGAGTGTGAAAGTTAAGGAACCGCCCAAGGAAACGCCGGCGATGTCGTCGGCCCTTGATGATGATGGTTTTCCCGAATACGATGAGGCTATGTTCGAGCAAATGCACTCCCAAGCAGCGGCTAGGTCAAGTGACATGCCCAGTTCCAGCAGGAGTAGTCTGCCATCATTGCCGCCTGCCAGGACAGTAGCCAAGGATGATCAGAAATTGTTTGGAAATTTTCACTCGAACGTTCATAATGATGGCATTACCGGCGAGTTTGATGGCCTCAACTTTGAGCACTCCACCCGACTGATGCATGGCCTTAGTTACAGCTTCGGACTCAAGAGTTTTCGACCCAATCAGCTTCAGGTAATCAATGCCTCGTTGTTGGGAAATGATTGCTTTGTACTGATGCCCACGGGAGGAGGCAAATCCCTGTGCTACCAATTGCCAGCCATTTTAACCGAGGGCGTGACCATTGTGATCAGTCCACTGAAATCTCTTATTTTTGATCAGACCAATAAGCTGGCCTCATTGGATGTAAGTTAGCTAGTCAGTTTCTGAATGTTTTTATACTAATCTCTTTATTATTTTTACAGATCTGTGCTAAAAGCTTGTCGGGTGACCAAAAACTTGCCGATGCCATGGCCATTTTCAGGGACTTGGAGGCTCAGCCGCCAATGGTTAAGCTCCTCTACGTGACACCCGAAAAGATAAGCAGTTCGGCTAGGTTCCAAGACACACTAGACACACTTAATGCCAACAACTATATAAGCCGTTTTGTCATAGACGAGGCCCACTGTGTGTCTCAGTGGGGCCATGACTTCAGGCCGGATTACAAGAAGCTCGGAATCCTAAAGAAACGTTTCCCAAATGTACCCACAATTGCACTCACAGCCACTGCCACTCCTCGAGTGCGATTGGATATTCTAGCGCAGTTAAATCTGAAGAACTGCAAATGGTTTCTGTCCAGCTTCAATCGCAGCAATCTTCGGTACAAGGTGCTGCCCAAGAAAGGAGCCTCCACCCTGGACGATATCAGCGGATATATAAGGTCCAAACCGGCGCACTCGAGTGGAATCATCTATTGCCTCTCCCGGAAAGAATGCGACGATGTTGCCAAAAAGATGTGCAAAGACGGGATAAGAGCGGTGGCCTACCATGCCGGACTCACTGACAACGAAAGGGAGACACGGCAAAAGGACTGGCTAACTGGGAAGCTAAAAGTAATCTGCGCTACAATCGCCTTTGGAATGGGCATCGACAAGCCGGATGTCCGGTACGTGTTGCACTACTCACTGCCCAAGTCTATCGAGGGTTATTATCAGGAGGCAGGTCGAGCGGGTCGAGACGGAGAGGTTGCTGATTGCATTTTGTACTACAACTATGCTGATATGCTGAGGCTCAAGAAAATGCTAGACGGTAAGATGGTCCTTTTAGAGTCTAGACTAAATAGACCTTGAAAAGAGTATACTTATCCATTTAATTTTAGCCGATAAAGCCCTCCAGTACAATGTGAAAAAGATGCACATCGACAATTTAAATCGAATGGTCGGCTATTGCGAAAACCTGATGGATTGCCGAAGAGCGCAACAACTGGACTACTTCGGAGAGCACTTCACCAGCGAGCAGTGCTTGGAGAACAGGCAAACAGCCTGTGACAATTGTATAAACAAGAAGGCGTATAGGTCGGTCGATGCATTGGAGTTTGCTAGGAAGGCGGCTCGGGCCGTTAAGGATCTGTGTGGTGGCAGATCCCGTTTCACCTTACTGCATATCGCCGATGTTCTTAAGGGTTCCAAGATAAAGAAGATAGTAGACTTTAATCATCACAATTCACCGCATCATGGAGCTCTAAAGGATTGGGATAAGAACGATGTACAGAGACTGCTGCGGAAAATGATCATTGAGGGATTTCTAAGAGAGGACTTAATATTCACCAATGATTACCCTCAAGCGTATTTGTTTTTGGGACACAGCATCAGCAAACTAATGGAGGGAACGCCTTCCTTCGATTTTGTGGTAACCAAAAAGGAGGGCAAGGCATCGGTGGCTACCGTTTCTGATGCAGGAGCCTCTGGAAGCAGTGACGGAAAGCCCGGCATGCGAGAGATTCACGAGCGCTGTTACACAGACCTTTTGGATCTATGTCGAACGATTGCCAGCCAGAGGAATGTGACCATGGCCAGTATTATGAACATCCAGGCGTTGAAGAGCATGGCTGAGACCCTTCCCACCACTGAGAAGGACATGTGCAGCATTCCGCACGTAACCAAGGCGAACTACGACAAGTATGGTGCCAAACTGCTCGAGATTACCAGCAATTACGCGTCGGAAAAGCTGCTCATGCAGGCCGTTCTGGATGAGGAGGAGGAACAGGCTAAACAGGCGAAAGCTGTCAAATCAAAGCCGCAGTCGTCTGGTTCCGGTTGGAACAGCCACAACGACAGCACTGATTGGGACAGAGCCGTGGCCTCTCAAGGCAACACCAGCAATAGCGGATTTAATAGCTACCGTGCTGGAAAACGGAAAAAGATTTTCAAATCTGGGGCTAGCAAAAGGTACAAGTCAAGTACAGCATCACCTGCGGCCAAAAAGACTAGTGCATCGAGAGGCGGACGCGGTGGAAGGGCGGGTAGCAAGCGTGGCGGAGCTGCTGGAACTTCATCCTCCTCTTCTGGTTGGCAAAGCAAGAAAACAGGGAGCAGTGCTGGCTTCGATCTAATGCCGCTCCCAGGTTCAAAGTAGTACTTAGGCTGGGTGAGAATCATCTTTCGCATTTTTCAATACAGATTTGTTGTTGCATTTCAGTTTTTTGTACATCCTCATTTGGAAAACTTACTTTTTTAAAGTGAAAAACCCCATAACGCTCAAAGAGATTGATATTACAAAAAAGAATAAACATAAGTTGGGAAAAATGTACACATTTAATTTATTTTGTAAAAGTTACTTTCAGATTTGGATTACTCTCTAATTTTACTCAAGCCACTAACTATCCCATAAAAGTGAAATCGCTAAGCAATGCTTAAAGAACTATTAGAATTTAAGCTTACACTAGAATTTTTTTACACAAACTATCATTTTGTTCAACAACAACAACCTCATAAAAAAACAAACGGATCCAGCTTTGGCCCTTAACATTGTACGTCATTGGTGACTCCTAACTTAAGTACTTAGAAACCTCTAATTAGCGTCTTATTTTTTAGGCGTTTGCCGAACCTTCTCCTCGAAATCATAGGCACCCATAGACCAGATTAGATTGGAATCCGTCTCCACCTGAACAAACTCCGTGGCGTACGTATTCGATGTGCTAACCATTCCTCCGAAATCCATTTGTGCGTGATCTTTATGAAAATAAAATAGATTTTAAATAATTCATCTGAAAATAGGGGAATTTACATACATAGATTCCACTTAAGGCCCGTGGTCGTGACATTGTGAGCCGTGGCACCTACAGGCATAAGAGAGCACCAACGCTGAGTGGCGACGAGGTCGGGAGGCACCTGGATAGTGTGCTTTCCCGGACGCAGGAGCCACGTAACAGAATCTCCACTTAAAAGAAACACATTGCAGTTGTCCTTCTGCATTTTGTACAACGTATTTAAATTGGCCATGACATGGTCCAATCTGCCAGAGGTGTCATGGAAGACCACCACGTCTCGGATCTTTCGCTGGTTCATCACTGGCTGAAGCACTGTGATGGCCTTGGTGAAGTCGGTGGCATCTTGGTCGGGTGTATGGATTTTCGGTGTTGTCTTGAAGAAGTCCACCGTGTCCTCTGTTATTGAGTCAAAGTCACCTGTTATCACGTCGAGTGGCTCCAGTGGTGATGCCTCATTGCTATTGGATCGCTTTGACTTTGCCTGCTCCACGACAAAGTCACGCCAGTGGTTGGATCCACCATCTACAGCACATCGCACGGCAGCTGAAAATCGAAGAAAATCTATTATTCAACCATCAATCATATTGATAAAACTTATGAAACATTTTTATGAAATTTCTTTAAAAAATTATTTTTTCCTAAAAAACACATTTGAATTCAACATACCAAGAACATACTGATACAATTTAGAACTATGATTATGTCCTAACTACTTTTAAAAAACGTATATAATTGTTTATGTAAAAAGACATGAACCTTTAGGCTGAATAAGAGTTACCCTTTAAGGTTTGTTTTCTGCTCTAGAATATAAACAAGTTAGTTTATTTCATTAAAGCATGTTCCTTATTTATATTTTAATTGATAAGACCCAAATGTACGTTAGGAACGCTTGTGTATGTTGCTTAAGTTACCATTCTTCCAGAGCAACCTGACCACGTGCGCTGGCACCTGGATCTCGCGATTGAGCACCATGCAGACATGGCCGTTATCACCAAGTTTATAGTGCTCGTTGATCAGGTTGCCCGGCGTCCACTTGAACTCCTTGGGCGGTACTTTGTGGTCCATTTGCTGCCGGAATCCGATTGTTGTCTTCGTGCAGAATGAACGGTGCGCCCCAATGCGGGGTGGCCCCAACTCGGACCTGCCAACTCGGGCGAAACGAATCCGGTGGCCGTCCGCTATCGCCATGAGCTGTCCGGAGCGGCGCATCCAATTTAAAACAGCCCTGGAGCCGCATGCCGGTGCCATTCTGCGGCAGCGAGTGCCTTTCAATTTAAACTTCATAAAAAAACTTGAAATAAACGTTTGAAAAACTACGCCCGGCCAACTCACCCACAATAGAAATTTTAAATTTTTTGTTCGTTAAAATATTTTGTTTTGGTCACACTATCCGGTAGTTGGGGGCTCCGCAAATATGGCGGTTATTTCAAACTATGCTAGAATTTGATAAGACAAAGAATAAAACTATGACCCTGAAGCTTTAGTATGACCCAGACCAAATCCAATAAACCAAATAAAATGATGAAATCTTCAATGAATAAAAGAAAAAAGGACTATAATTTTCATTGGCTCATCTCAACAGCTGAGCTTTACATTGTGATTTATTTGAACATATAATAAGCAATTGGAAACAATCGGCTTTCAAAACTAAATAATTTTGAATCGACCGGAATCCGGTTTCTTTTCCTCTTGCTGGGCTTTCTTCTCAGCCTCCCGCTTGGCGGCAGCCTCCTCCCGCTGCTTGCGGATCAGTGCCAGCCTGGCCAAATCGGATTTGGCTTCGGGGGTCTTGCCCTGAGCATGTAGCTTCTCGTACCGCTGACGTGCCTTCTGCTTCTCGATCTGCTCGCGTTCCCGACGTGTCAGTTCCGGCTTAGATTCCTCTCCCAAACCATCTGCGTTAATGCTCGATAGTTTCTGTGCAGCCTTCTTGTTCACCCGGTTGGGATTATACGTCTGAATAAGAGAGGTCACCCCCTTCTTAGCATTCCGCATTTCCGAATCAGAGTCATCTGTCTTATCCTCCGACTCAGACTCGGAAACATGTTCCTTCCCTCCGTCAGTAAGGTTCTGCCCGGGGTTAGAGGGTTCTACTCCGTGCTTCCTAGCGCTGCCACTGGATTTTACCTCTTCGCAGTCCTGCTTTAGTTGCTCCGGTGAAGTGAAGTGGCGGCTACTACCCTTATGGTTTACGTACTTTCCTCGTGGCATCTTTTCCTAATCTTTTAGAAATCAGGGAGTTTTCTACAACTTTATAATTAAAATGAAAATCACTGGAAAATCGCATTGGTCTTATGTTTATGATTCACTTACGTTTTTAAGATCTGGCAATAGATTTGTTCGCTTTAGAAATATATAATAGCAAATATTTTTTCTTCTAAAATTACCTCAAAAATTTGATGTAAAATAATTTGTGTTACAAAGACTGTTACAAAGACCTGATACGAAAGCCTTATGCCATAAATCCGACATTTCGTCTAGAATCTAGACAAATTCAATTTTTAAAAGGTTACTGGATTAAAAAATTAACCTTTAAAATCAGGTTTCAGACTTTAAAGAAAATAAAGTAAATTACCTAAATCTGGTGGTAACTAACATGCCAAATAATTGGCTAAAATAATCTGTTAAAAATTATTATTTTTAAAGAGTTTAAGAAGATTATTTAAATCATTTTTTCTTCTGGTATTGAAATAATAAATCTGGCGTAATTGCATTAGCAAATTGATAATTCGATTATTATTCCTTTTTAATAAATTATGACCACTCACTGAAGTGTGCATATTAAAACCATTTTCCATTTATTATTCGGATTACTTGGAAACATCGAAAGCCTTTAAGTCCCTTAGATATTCTATTAGATTAAGTGAAATTTAAACTCCCATTTTCTGGGAAAATAAAACTTTGGCAGGCAAATACTCGTTTTCCATTCAATAGACGAATTAATCCTTCGTTAAACTTTTGTGGCTTTGGTTAATGAAGCTGTTTGGCTAGGGATGGTGATGGTAGTGATGAACTGCGGAAACAAAAAGCCAGTGTTCAGTGACAGGTTACCAGTGACGGCTGGCGGTCAGACTTTAAGGGGAAGGGGCTAGTTGGGAACAATATCAGTCGGACCACAATACATTTGTCCTCGGTCCTGCGATGCCAGCTGTATCAATATTGCTACAGTTCATTTTGTTTGACCTCTACAAATAAAGGCATTTATACGCTTCCTGCGGCCAGACCATGAGAGCATCTCCATTCGCCAAAGGGGCTTTACCCACTCAGGCAGACGGTTCTGTGTCCTGGCCATGGCCTTTGGCCAGCCTGGATTCTGATTCGGATTGGCTATGTCCGATGCCCGATGAATGGCTATTGTCCGTCGGCCACTCCATCTGAAGGGGCTGGGAAGTGGAGTCCGAGTCCGGGTTCACATGTCACGTCCGAAGTGAATGATTCAATTGCCATTGTTGAATGGAAAAAATAATGTTTTGAGGTTTTTTTTTAAATTTTACATTTTTGGTATGCTAAAGTTTATTAGATGGGAACAACATTTTAAAGCCATTAGTGTAGACTGCCGTTGAGGTTAAAGTCAAGTTTTTTGTTTACCTCCTTAAGAAACCATGTAAATGCCAACCAATTTAATTTCCCAAAACTGAAGCCATTAAATATTTTCCACTTGCCAGGTCATAAATAAATAAAATTACACTTGTACACACATGCCGCTGGCATACAATGTTCGCCTTTGTGCGACTTTGAAATGAATTACTGCCGCGTTGTCGCGTTTTCTTTAATGCCCTAAAGAAACTTGGGCCAACTGTCCCAATTGCAGTTTTAGCCAAAGGCCAAAAGGTTGGTGTTTCCACCACGGCAACCAAAAAGATCTGAAAGATTTACGTTGCCTTTTTGGGGGACACTTTGTTGCACATCAAGTGCAACACGTTGCAAATTAGATTTATGTTTAACCCAGCATTGGTATAAATTTATGGCTTTAAGTTGTGGTCTATATTAAAGGAACTTTCCCTTTAATTTGTAATGGTAAAGCTGGAGGGGTTTTTGCTCTATTTACGTGGATGCCTCTTATTTCCAACCGACTGCAACTAATTGCAGAGCGCGTACATCAAAACAGAGCTCGTGGCTGAAAAATATGTGCCACCACAGTGACAAAATTATGAAAACTAGATATCAACGAGAGGGTAACTTTTCTCAGGAAAAAATTAGATGCAACTGCAAATGCATTCAACAGAGTTTCAGATACTTTTTATACTGTACCAAAAGGTAGTTTTTAAAATTTATTAAAGTTCGGAAAAGATACTTTTAGCTTTTGAATTTTTTCTTGACTAATTTTGGTTTTTTATAGAGAACATATTTTTAAAGTCATTGAAAGTGTAGAAATATTCGTATTTACCTTAAGCTTGCAATCCTTTTCCCTTTTAGATTCTCGGGTAATCCTCCGCCCATCTTCGCATTTCGTACTCCACGGTTCAATGCACCTTGATGACGTGAGTAGGAGTTATTAAGTCACAATGGGCGACGGCGCAGTCATGTTTTGCGGAGAAGGAGGTTCATTTGACGGTACCAGCCAGCGGATGCGAATCCACCTGGCAGACGGGCGGAGCCCCAAGGATGCGACAGGAAATTCATCAATGTCTTCACCGACTGTCGCCTGCATTCAACTTGCCGAGTGCGGCAACATTTTCAGGCGAAACCATGAAATTGCCAATGATATGCTGGAAAATGAATGCGAAGAGAAAGTGTGTGCAAGAGGGTGGAGCAACGGAAAAGGACCTCGAAAGGATGCAGCTTTAGAGGAGCTGGGGAGGCGGGAAGGGATCCTGTTATTTACGGGCCAGAGAGACCAAAAGCAAACCACAGAAACGGAAGCAGGCCGAATGGCTTTTTCCCGCCAAGGGGAAATTATGAATTTGGGTAGGTGTGGCTGCTCTTTTTCCCCGATTACGAGGAAGATTCGTAGTCATCTAGTCCTTCTGGATACCTTATACAAAGTCAGGGATACTTGAATGGGCTCTGCAAAGTGTACAAGTTGATCCTTTGTCAAATAAGTGAAGCGGACTCGAAAGTCACGCCTGTCGGGCGAACCTTTTTGGTCAAAAAGTCCAGCTGACCAAACAATACCCACACACACATTAATTTGCATATTCAAATTTCGCTTACCCGGCTAAAAACTGGCCAGATAGCCGCCACATAGGAAAACATTATTATTTTTACCATATACATTGTTACGTTATATATTTGATCTTTGTGTTGCCTTTTTGCTCTTCATTGCAAATTGCATACATTTTTGCGTTTACAATTATTGTGTTCCGTCAAATTAGCTTAATTATTACAAATACCGAACACATTCCCGTTCTGATGTCCGTATCCATGAAATATTGCACCGATAATGTGTCCACAATCGGATATGACACTTGTCCCTTTAGCTGGGCGGGGCTCGGCGCATAAATCACATGGCGTATGCGTAATTTTCCTATATTGTATACGTAGTTTGGAAATACTCTCTTTTGGTTTTTGTTTTGGTTTTTCCCCCATGTGCATATAAATATATGTATGTACTATATGCAAATGTAATGAATAATCATAAATCTATGCAGTTTTGATTTGGTGAATTCGTAATCGGATTTGTGTGTGGATTTGCCGCAATATAATATACAGATGCATGCATATTCAGTGGCTTTCGGTCGATTGGCATCGATTGTGGCTTGGCTTTTGGCCACCTCCCCGTATCCTGCCCCCCCTGATATATATTTCATTTGTTCACACGCCTCAGTTGCCGCCGTAGTCCTCAATGAATGTGTCGATGATGTAGCGTTTCACCTCGTTGATCGATGTGCGCTTGGCGCTGCACTGGAGCCGCTCCTGGTGCTCCGGCAGGACGAGAAGTTGCTGCAGCTCTCCCTGTCGAAAGAAAAATCGAAAGTTAATGCGCACAAAGTACGTAATTATCGGCCAGTAATTGTTTAATTTGCAATGTTCCAGGGCAACGGGGCGTATGCGCTATCTGCGCCATGCAGAACACAGAGCCTCCGCAATGTTTGCATTTATGAATTTCAATTAAATACTTCGTTTACGGTCGATTTCAGGCTCTTGTGGGTTTTGGTTAAACGCTCAAAATCATTGCATCAAATGAATCCATTACTGATTAATTATAAGCGTATTATGCAAGTGAAATCAAAAGCACTCAAAAGGGGTTTCAACAATTTACTGGGATTATACGGCTAATAAATTTGAATAAATTATATTGGCTGTACTAATTCTTGGCTAAATAAAGACTTAATTATAATGAAAGCCTTATGAAGCGTACAAACTAAAATCTATGCTTGTTAAATTTATGACTAAGTTATTCATAATTCAATTTTAAGGCCAATATTCAACGTAACGTCAAACAATATTGACTTTTAAACAGTGGATTCAGGAAAATTGGATATAGTCAGCATACTCACATTAAAGCCGCGTCCAATTTCCACATCCGCGTCCACCGGCAACGAGTACAGTCGCTTGGAGACGACAAAGCTGTTTGTCCACGCGCAATCGACGTAAATCGATATGAAATCGCCATTCTGTATGCTGCACGTTGGATGAAAACAACAGCAAAACAATAATAGTAAAGTGAGCTATTCGCAAATAATTAAAATATACCCCGGATACATATTCGAGTGTTTTGTGTGTATGGCTTGAGAGTGTGTGTGCAGGGGAGTGTGTTGTTGTGCCCCACACACCCACAGTGACAGTGAGAAATGTGCCGACCGTCGATGACAAATGGCGCCCACTTGAACCGAGTGTCAATTTGGTTGTGTGTCGTTGCTGCCAACAAAAAAGCAGAAAGCAAAAAGCGAAAAGCGAAAAAAGGCCTTCGATATTCATGTACAGGCTCTTCAATTTCAATGTGTGTGTGGGTGTGTGTATCCCCACTATTTGCATGTGTGTCAAGTGCTTGAGAGTGTGTGCGTTTCATGGCACAAACATTTATGCTAATAAATTGAAAATGCAAATAAACGAAAGTGTCAACTGCTTTGGCCATTGGATCCAAGGGAGTGCCACTAGCATGCAGTGGCAGTGATTGGCAATCACCACCACATGGTAGGCAGCAGTCACTACCCATACCACGACCCATCACCCACCTTTCTCCACCCACCACCCAATCACCCACCTGATGGCCACTTGATGCCAGCGATAATCGTATAAATTGAATTTCACCGGCAACATTTCCGTCGTATTGTCACGTTCGAGATACAAACGCAGTCCGTCCTTGCAGGCCTCCAAGTAAAGGTTGTGGGTGGCGTTCCTCATCGAGAAGATAGTCGCCGTATTCTTGGTATCATTCTGTAATGGAAATATAAAAATAACAATAACCAAAATAATGAGCAAAGTACACACTTTGGCCCTCAGAGTGACCATCAGGGTGAAGTTGAGCAGGTTCCTCCAGCTCCGAATGTAGCCCATGTTGAAGGGTGTGGAGGGAGTGGGCGCGTAGCCTGTGCCCAGCATGCCTGCCGTGGTTAGATCCGGATACGGATCGGAGTAGGAGGGGGCCAGGCCGGGGTCCGAGGCCTGGGTGGGCAGCTCCTCCCCGGATGGTAGTCTTTTGTAGAACTTTAGCAAATCGCTAATGTCATCTGAAATTGAAAGATGATAAATAATTTTTAAAGATTCAAATATAAAAGAGTCTTGAAATGTCCATCACAAATGGAGAACATTTTTTTTTTAATTTCAGGACTTACCGCTGCACTCGAAACTGTTGCAGTTGCGCTGCTCGATGTTGTATCCCTCGCAGAGGAGTGTGGAGAGGCCCACGCTCTTTGTAGGCTTGCGTTTCTTGTGCTGATTGCTGGCACGTGCCTTCCTGCTCCCCAGTCCCACACCATTCTGGGATCCGGTGGCTCCACCATTTCGAGTTTTGTGTGCACTCGGCACGAATCTGACACTTTCCTCGCCAGTTGCTGGTGCAGTAGATGCTGCAGGTTCATTACCGTCGCTTGTTTCATCCTGGGAATGACCAGGTGGCCCGGGTTCGGAATGTCCTCCGGGCGGCACAGTCGTCGCAATTTGGTCGAATTTATGCAGTGCCTCATCGCTGGCAGCTCGCATTATGAGCAGGCCGTTTTCGAACTCGTCTTCGTCCAGTAGCTCATTATCTCCGTCACTGTCCTTGGACTCCTTACCAAGCTCGTTTGCGGTGTCATCGTCTACCGCCTCGCCGCCGCCCTCCTCAACCGGCTCTTCCTCCTCGTCATCGTCGTCCTCCAGGTTGATGTTCATGTTGATGTCCACCAGAGGATTGTCCAGGAGGCAGCGGCGGAAGCGTTGCTGGACGCCCTGGCCGCAGGTGACACTGCACAGTGTGAAGTCGCTCCAATCATCCCAGCCTTTAATTGATTGCCGATTGTTTGCAGTGCACGAATGAAGGAAATCATGGAAGGAGGACTTTAATGTTGATTTAAAAAAGACTCATTGTGTATTCTATTTTTTAGATTGTTGTTTTAAGTCAATACTCAGTTGAGGGACAAAAAGGGTCAACTGTAAAACGATTTTTTTCACGGAATATTTATTAATTATATTCCTTTGTAAACAAATTGTGAAAAAGAATATGAATACGAATATTAAACTGGTTATTTTTGTGCCAGTTGAGATTATTATTGTTTTTTTTTAACAATAACAATCAAGTAATTAATTAATGGGCAAAAATTTGGCAAAAGTAAAAACAAACTCTTTAATTATTTATTTATATTTCTTTTATGGAATTTAATCATCAAATGTATTTATGTTTTTTAAGTTTATAAAACGATTTCAAAAAATTTATCTTTCTCAACCAATTGAGTAATTTACTAAAATCCTTAAAAGTTTTAAATTACCATTTTTAAGACCACTTTCTCTTTCTTTGTAGTCAAAAATATATAGCTACATTTATCTATAACTAAAATTAAGGCTAAATATATTGGCCACCCAATGGCTTAGTCGTAGACCATAAGGACTCTTTGTAAGGGCCCCCGCAATTCATGGCAGATCCTTGGATGGCGCCTGGCCGCTTGACACAAAAGTCAAGTGTTGCTTCCCTCGAGTGTTGCAGCTTTCCGGCATGAAAATATCCTTCGCCCTCCTGCCCCCTGCCCCCTGCCTTCTGCCCCCTGTAGTCAGCCTCCTGCGTCCTGATTCGTATCCTGCAGAGTGACATCTGCTGCGTCATCGAAAGGCCCCCTTTTTTATTTTATTATGTTTTTTATTTCCTCATTCCCCCATGGAAGCCTCACCTACGCTCGCCTCCGATTGCTATCAATCTTCATCAGAGATTAATCTCCCAACTGGACTCATGAAGTCACCATGGACTGGCAAATAAGCCCGATGAATAGTGAATTTTAAGGGTCCTCTGTATTTCACAGCTGAGTTACTAAAAATCACACTTGAACCTGATATACATGGCTTCAAATAACAGAGTTGACTGCAATTAGGTTGTGGTAGTTCAGAGAGCTGCCCTCTCGAGGGCCAATTAACGCTGATTGCCTCATCCGAACATGGCCCAGCTCAGCTTGGAAACTCTATCCCGCCGGGTTCATCCAATACTGGACAAACATCCGACCGGAGCGATTTGCTCAACAATGCAACAACTAACAAGCGCAATGCGATTAAGTAACGGAAGCAGCGGAAGTCAGCCCGAGACTATCCCCGAGGAGGGGAGGCGGCAAAACGAATATGGACATGGCCAGTACACTGGGAATAATAATTAAAACTAACTATTTTATTATTAATCTCTAAATCTAAACCCTAAAAAACCAACCTACCTAAATAATTATCATAAAAAACTAGTTTTGTAAAATTCCAAACTTTTAGTCACAGCTACGTTAACTCCTTTCTCAACTCATATATATTTTATATTAAAATAAGTGAATTGTAAATATAGAATAAGTGGGCACAGGAAGTCGGTGCTTACCCAAATGCTTCCATATATGACTTTCAAACTGCGGCGTCCAGCGGTGCAGGCCATTAATGCTGATGTGCAGCAAGTCGGCGGCGCCACCCACGGGCGGTCGCTGCAGTTGCCTGGCAGTCTGCAGGATGCTGTTGGAGGACGATAGCGCGGGCAACAGTTTGCCAAAGGCAATTAATTCCGAGGGCAGCATTTTCAGCATATTATTGTCGAAGCATCGCAGCGGCTGCAGTGTGGCGTTCAGTTGCCTGTGGAAAAACCAGGACATCATAAAGGATCAGTTTAAGTGGCAAGTTTGGGTTAAGCTACCTACCCCTCGTATTGAAACGCCGATTCAGCATTGCTCCAGGAGGCTCCGTTGGAGGACCTGCCATTGCCACCACCTCCACCGCCGCTGCTGCTGCGTCGACCCGCGGTGCTCCCGGATGATAGGCCGGCGGACTGGAAGGACATCGCATCCTCGAGGCCGGCTCCGCCGTTGGCCAGTTTCAACAGGGAGGCTCCCTTGTAAATCGTTTCCGGCGTTAATGTTATTAAAATCGTATCCTGCTCCGGCTGGTCCTCCGTGAAGACCCGTGCCGCTAGGGCCTTGACAATTACCGGACTGGTGCGAATCAGTTCCGCCATGCCCTTGTGCGGACATCGTGGGTTATTCGTTTTGCCAGGAGCCGGAGCAGCTAGAGTCGTGGCCGCCAGTAGTTGCAGGATAACGAGAAGCAGGAGAAGCAAATGCAACCGCGGGTAGATGACATCAGCGCTCATTACGGGCGCCAGTGCACCTGGCCCTGGACGGGCCATCGGGAGTCCTTTATCTCTACGAGTGTCCTAGCGACACTCGCCGGTTGGCATGGCAGCAGCCTTTATCGCTGCCGTGGCTCAATTTATTTTTGGCAAAAGTCACGTTCCGGCTGTGATTCCTACAATCCAGGATCTAGTCTCCTTTCCAGGACAAAGGCACTTACCGCTGAGGAACGACACAAAAAATGTAGAGCATGATTGAGGTGGGAATGCGGAATGACAAAAGGACAAAAGCACCCCAGACCCACAGAAGAGTCTTCAGTTCTATTCAAATAAAGGAGCAGGGTTTCTGCATAATAATAGTGGCAGTTGCTGCTATCTGAGATGATTTATATTGCATTTTATATATATTTTCTACATATATTCTATATGTATAGATATATGCGTGTCCTGAGGAAAAAAAGCTAGTGCGTTTATCTACAAATGTTTACATTTTATCGTAAAACGGAAAATAGTCAATGCATTTCATTGAAATTTCATTTCTTTGCCTTTCTTTATCCTTTGTGAATTGAAATCATATTAATTTTGTATTGAGGAATATTACATTTCATTCAAGGTGTTTGCTTTGACAAATCAAACATTTAATTCTTAATGGTTTAAGTTTTTATTAAAAGTATTGATACTAAATTCACTTGAGTAAAATATTCAGTAAAATATCAGTTTGCTTGCTTATCTAAGATATATGAGCAAACATAAAATATATATTTATTCGCAATGAAACTATTTGAATTGAATAAATAGTCATAATTGAGATATAAACCTCTAAGCATGCCATGCATAAAGTATTTCATACTTTGTTAACCTTTAATAGCCACTAATAAAATTTCTATCTTTAAGTTTGTATCTTAAACACTAATCCCACCTAACGCTAAGATACAGTGTATCCATTTAAATTTATTGCCGTTTTTAAATCTTCTCCGGACCACAGTGAGTTCAGGACAGGTCTCGGCCAGGATTAATCCAATCTAAAGCCAGGCTGGATCGCAACAGCAGCAAGGACAACAAAGTCTCTGCATTCGCTTTCATATCCTGGTGCAGGAAATAAATATCTGGATTAAATATTTCTGCAGCGAGCTGCCAGGATGGCAGGATGGTAGGTTGGCCGGCAAACAATGGGCAACGGCACGATGTGAACTTAAAATCCACAACATAAAACGGCAATCACATAGAATTTTTACGCACATAAGCACTGCGACTGGTCGAAACAATAAAGTGGCAACAAAACGTTTCGGTAGATAAATATATGTTTCCAGTATAACAGGGCTATCCGGGGAGATGCCATCCATGTTGCAACATGGAACTTGCAACCCAACAAAGTTGCGAATGTTCAGATCCGGTTGCTGGGCTGCATATTTTGGCATCCGTTTCTGGGGGCCCAAGGGTGAATGGAAATGCAAATGCAAAAACGTCGTTTTTGGGCCAAATTGAGCCCTCAATTGTTTTATGGCCTGGCCCAGAAACGGCTACCAAGTCAGCCGTGAAACATTCAAGTCACTGCGGCCATTTCCATTTCCATTTGGACTCCACTTCCGCTGACCGGCAGCATGGCAGAGCGGCAGGTCGTCCGTCACTCACTTTCAACTTTCAACCAATCCTCCGGGGGCGGCAATCAGTGTAATTGTTATTGTTTTTTTTTTGTTGTCTCCGCCTTTATTGCCATTAATCCATTTTGTTTTGCCAGGTCTGGTTTGACTGGTAGGTCTGTTAGGACTGCTCAGTTGAAGTTTCTCGCAAATTGGCAAAGTTACTGCCTGTGACAATCTGTTAAAAGCTTTTGAATTCCAAATCGACTCCCGGAGTCCAAGGTGAAAGAGGCAGGGAACGTAAATCAGCCGGAAAGTCGTCCGGATAAGTCGAATGCATATTTTATAAGGCGGGGTGAACTTTGTCGCGATTGTGTTCGGGTTGCGGTTGACCAACATTGGGGAATACAACCATCCAACCAACCCATCAAGGAAAATTAGTATTGTTTTCTGGGTTTTATGGATTCTGAAACTCTGAAGGGAGAAAGAACAGGAATCCACACATCGATTTTGATTACGATTGCTCTTTGAAGGAGTCCAGGGAAAAAGGAAACATAAAAAAAAACACACATCCGCTCACTTGCTGTGACACTTGAAAATAGGCGGACATAATAATGAACAAATTGAAGGCCAGTTGAATGTCATGTTCCAAGAATGTGTGTATATCCTGCAAAGTGTGGGATGCTATTACGGGTGTGATGCTCGAGATGATTGAATATCAAAAGGCAGCCGGGGCACGCAAATCTCCGACATGTTTCAAGTAGTAGTCCCCGCCCGACAACAATGTGAGCAACAGAATGTGAGTTTAACAAGTGCGGAGTGTTCTCAGAGGACTCGTAAAACTGATAGCTCCTGCCAATTCTGTCCGCCAGCCACATCCACACCCACATCTATTTCCCTCGCCATGCCCTTGGCCAGTTTTAAAGCTCGGCACGTTTGTAATGTGGAGGGGTGTCCTTTTTTTTGGGTCCTTTATTTGGGTTTTTTGGTCTCGAAAGAGAACCGAATGCTTGGCAGACAGGAAGACAGAATAGGAATATTTTGTGCCCAAATTATGCCCTGAATTCCCAGGACCTCTGTCCTCAAACGAAGCCGTCCTAAAGTCCCAAATCGTTCCACACGCATACGCAATTATCCTCGGGGACAACTGTCGCCTTTTATCTGTGCGAATGATTAAGCCCGGGATGTCTTCAAATTAATTTTATAGTGCTGTCATCCGAGTCTAAATCTGAGTCCTTATCCACTTCCGCCACACTCCTGGCAACCGGGCGTATGCGTAATCTTTTCAGCCATTTGCTGGATCAGCTCCAATTGTGTTCGGGTTGATGTGCTTAAATAGTTTTATCTGACACGCGCTTTGCTTTATTGCCACCCTTGTCTAGAAGGGATCAGAAGGTGAACTATCCCGGAGATACTTAATTCCAGCAGGTCCCAATATGCAAATCAGACCGGAGTCTTGTGGCTCGACGTGGTGAACTTTATCAATAAATGCGGCATTCCGGCTACGGAATTTCAGCAGCTCTGTGGCCAAATGAAATTCCGGCTTTATTGATTTGCTCCCCCACCTCCACCCTTCCCTAGACCATTCACTTTTAGCCCCTCTCAATTAACCAAATGGCTTAATCTCCCGCCACATTTAAATCATTATTAATTCTGGTGAACCCACTTAATTATAACTAAACAAACGTTGCCAGAGGATTGTGAAATATTTCAATTTTCGTTATTTGAATTATGCAAACTCATTTGAGACGAAAGAAAATTTATTGCCAGCTCTGCTCCTAAAACAAAAAGCCAGAATCCGGCTCCGTATTTGGCTTCACTGCGGCAGGAAGCCGCTCCTGCTCGCCGGAAAATTTATGCGCACAATTAATTTTAAAATCCGAATCTCAGTCAACACGAGCCCGTTGCCATGTCCTGTATCCTACCGATACGGGCCAGAGATGTTGTTTATTGCATAAAAAGAGATAAAATACGACTATACCTGCAGTCGATTATCGAAGTCAAGTTTAGGGAGGGAGACCAATTAATTAAAATCCGGATTATTTACCCACCCTATTTGCTAATTGGGCCAGTCGTGACAGGATCCTCTGGACCAGCTTGGAGAAGGTCTCCTCCTCCTTGGCGAATACTCGAAATCCGGACTAGCGTCAGCAGTTAAACATTAACCCGGCTGACTTAAGTGGGCCTCTTGCCTTCCAGCTTAATGAGCATTTCAAATGCGAACTTTATGGTCGAGGTCGCCCCTTCATTTCCACTGTCACTCCCCTCCTTACCCTATAAGAGCCTGTGTACCATGGGCTTAGTTTTTGATATTTTAGGCAGAAAACATGGTATTGTTAGTGTTTTATGAAATTCATCGTGGTATTTAGCTCCCTAATAAGTTCTATTAGGAGAGGAGAGTTTTAATTTTAAACGGAGAGTCTTAAATATGCTTTTATATCATTCCACATAAAAAGTAAAAGTTCAGCTTAAAATAGCTGAGCAAAATCAACAGACTTGCCGACACCTCCCACAGTGCGGTTGTGCAAATTGTAATTATAATGCCACTTAATGGCATGAGAGTGCCTCTGTTCTTGTTGTTTCCGCGGCTATGGCAACCGAAGAGTGTCGATGAAGGGTTCACTGGGTTACTTCAGCATCAGTGGCCAATCGACTCCCAGGTCATGAGGAACAACCAAATGATGGGGGCTTACCCTGTACGGAACCGTCGATAGCAGGTCTTAATCATTGCATTATGCAAAGTCCTGCCACGAACAGAAGGGCAGGAGAGAAAGAGTTAAGGGGGATTGAACGGAAGGATGAGGAGGACTATGACCCATTATCCATTATCTATGCTGGGATTATTTTTATTGCATCTCGGAAAGAATTCGCTGGCAAAGAGATAACTGCAGACATTTTACGCTGACGAGGCAAAAAGTTGCCCCATTACAAAGGACTGCACATTAACCGATGGGTGTGTAAATGTTACCCCCTATCCCTGCCACTTCCCCAGCTTTTTTTTTTGAGTGTGTGTGTGGGTGGACCCACATTAACCCATTTGGGAGACGAGACACAGAAGGAGCCTTGGACAGACACTGTCAGTTGCCAGTTGCCAACGGCCATTAACAATGCAATTTCGTAACAATATGAATAAATGTGGCTGTGGAATGGCTCAAAGCGAGCTCCATGCGATGAGGTTGCTCTGCAATTAAGCAGCCTGCCACACACATGTGGCAGCTGTGGCAGCACATGAATCAATCTCTTCGAGTCAGCCACAAGGCAGCTCAAACTATTTGGACGTATTCTACCAGGATGAGAAGTCAAATTAAACTTAATAAAGCTTCATTTGTTGTTTTCTAATTTGTGGTAACAACCGAGCACAATTAAAGTTCCCTCTTCTCCGTTTCTAGGTATTTTTTTTAATACATTATGCTCTAACAATTAGAGTCTTATTAAGGCTAATATTATTAGATCCTCTGGTCATTTTGGTATATATATTTGTGGCTTCTGTGGACTTTGAAATCTTTATTACAAACATAGAGCTGCAACTCTTTTGAAGGTTTTTTTGATATTAATTTCTTTCTTTGAAGACAAATCAAATTGTGGTTAATTTTGAATCTTAAACAAATTTTATAACTTTCAATATTAATAGTAGTTAATGATCTTAATGATTAGATTTACCTAGAATATCAGACTTGTTATAGAATATCCATTTTATAGAGGCTACTTTAAATTTTAAATGTGTTTAATTTTCACAACTTCCAGTCCTTTTATAATTTAGCCACTTTGTGTAAATAGTTTTCCAGATTTTGTGTGCGGTTTAAATGTTCCTTGCTCAAAATTTATGCGAATGTCAAACACTGCATGGGATATACAAATAATCACTTTCAGTTTGTTTATTGTTTGAATGAAGCACTCATTAAATGGCCATATTAGATGCCATTCTCACTCGATTTGCCAAAAGCCACTATTTTGGCCCGTAATCTGATTTGAATGTAAATTAAATTGCCATTGCAAATTAGTTTATTTTGTGGTTGCTTTGTAACAACTTTTGTTTGCCAACTGAATATCCAGTTCACTGTTTACGTTTTGTGTCTCACAGCTTCTGGGAGAATTAGTTTATTTATTTTGCTGGCTAATTAAATTTCACAAATCCACCATCATAAACTAATTACTGTTTTTACGACCTGAACCACAACAACCGCAAGTTCGGAGTTTTAAAACATGCGCGATGATGAATTTTGTCTGGTTATTCCTCTAATTCCTTAGAAGTTTTAAGTTTTCCGTAGGACGACAGCGAAGTAACTGCTTCAAAACAGGACCAACATCAGCTTTTATAGTCGTTTCCTGTTTAGAAATGCGCCTGCGCGGATAATATTTCTGAGGGAAACCTCTCACTTCCCACCTTTTGGAAGCCCTAAAGGACAAAGCCGGCTGTTTTGCTGCTCATTTGCCGCCCCACTCCCTATACAGGACGTTTGTTTACATGAGGACAGCTGGGGTCGGGACGACAACAAAGTTTGAAGCCATCCAAGGCACTTGGCACTTGCCACTTGCCACTTGGCACGGTGCTGTCATCCCGGCGCTAAGGAGCTGCGAGTATATATTGTACATATAGAAGTCTAAATATGTGTATATATATGTGAGGGCACATCATGGTATTACATTGAAGTTTTAATTGAATTGCGGCTGCAAGTTTTTAACTGCATTTCGCTGGGAAGTCTCATCTGGGCCAGCAGAACCTCTCCCGGCCCCCCGCTAGGTGGGAGAAAAAAAAGTTCTTGCCACAAACTTTTCGGCTCGCAAGTTTCCATTTTTTCACTTTTCATTCTTGAAGCTTCTGCTTCTGTTTAGTCCTTTAAATGCAGTTAACAAATGCAATGTCTGAAGAAACTCTGCCAGGATAAACACGCATTGAAACTACTTCTCGTACAAAAACAGCGCCTGCAAGTAGGCAACACCATTTTCATTTCCCTCTTTCGTGTGTGTGCGTGTGTGAGTGTAAGAATCTGTGTCGAACACCTGTTGTTTCCTTTGTTGTTCTTGCTGTTGCAGCCTTATCGCCTTCTTGGTCGTTTCGTTTATTTTGTGGGGCCATAAAAGTTTTGATTCCGCTCGGCGTTGGCTTTTCTTCATTGTTTTTGTCCTGGCAGAGGGCATTGTGAATTTTCGAAGGAACTTCAAGGGAAGTACAGCTGAAGTACTCTAAAAAAATATATTTCGAAAGTAATGAAGAATAAGTGTTGGATAAAAACATAAAAAATATTATTTGTTAAGGCAGGGTAAGGCAGGGAAATTTTTGATCCATTACTGAGCGCTAATACAGGTTATAATGGTTATAATTTAGGTTACAATGGTCAGATTATTTAAATTTAGGCTATTTTCATTATATTTCGCATACTGAGTATCGCATACTAAAGAGGATAAACATAATTATATAAAATATTTCTATAGAGTATCCAAAATTCTTAGTTTTAATGTAAAAATGGCGCCTTTCTCGCTATCTGTTTAACTGTTCATGTCGCACCATTGTTTTGCTGTCGTCCTGGCTAGCTCCTAAGGACCCCATCCAGGTGTTTTGATTTATTGCGGTTTGGTTAAGTGCGGGCACAAACTTCATTTAGGTCTCCTCCCCGAGCAGGGAAAAGTTTTTGTCCTACAATCTGAGAACATAATCCAACGGACGGGCTTTAACCCAGAATCTAATAGCGTTGAAAAAAGGAGACTGCGAAAAGGCCAGAAATGATTTCTTAGTTGGGAAAGAAATTAAAAAGTAAAGAGCCAAAATGATGTTTTTATTGATCTTTTGATTTATATTCAAGTGGTTTTAAAAGGAATTTTTAGAAAGCCTGTTAATAGTAGGCAATTAAACTTATCCCAATTTACAAAAACACATCGGTTTGATGACCCACTTTCCAAACATGTGATGATGCCAACAGTTACCATGTAATTGCCAAATATTTTCAGACAAAACTATCTCCTAAAAGGCCAACAACCAAACAGAAACTGTTTGAAACCAATTCACACCCCACTCGTACAGATTATTTATTCCCTTTTATCGGCCAAATGCTGCGTCAGTGGTAACCCATTTAGCCGATTTAGCCGAATTCGCCCACAATTTCCAAATCTGCCACGCCCCCTCGGATCCTTTGTTCGTCTGATTCGATTCGGATTCCGCTCTGTGGAAGCTAATTACAATTACGGCCCCGCGGACTCCCTTTTTGGCAAGCTAGCTCTCCAAAAACATAGCCATGCATATTTAATTCGCGCCACCCGGAAAAGTCGACTCGTCCATGTCCTGTGCCTCATGTTTCAGGCTCTTCAGTGCCCTACCCCCCCGCAAAACCCGCAAGGATTCTTTTGGCGTTGCGCTAGTGTAACTTAATTTGATGGCCTGGCAGAAGCGGTACTGGCAGCAGCATCTGAAAACGGCCAAAAACCATTTGGAACATGCACAATTTTGACACCATCCCAATCAGGCCAGTAACAAGTGCCATACAGAGACGGCCCATGGCCGATTTCGTGGGAACTTAATTAATGGAGCATGATCTTAATGGGTTTCTACAACACCAGTAGCTGTGGCAGTGCCCCCCACGCAACGAGGCAACGAGGCGCACAAACACATGCCCCGCGCTAAGTGCGCCAAATCAGCAGTACTCTAATTGGAGGCGGCCACGCCAGAGGATGCATGCGGTCGAGGTCCTTCTAAAGGAACAAAAAAAAAAAGAAAAAAATAGGAATAGACGAAGGCCGAAGCAAAGAGCCAGCCTTTTTTGATCTGGTGTGCGATGAATTGGCGAGCGTTTGCTGAGCAATTAAGTGGGCAGGCGTCAATATGCCGATGAGTTGGCCAATACTCTGTTGGCCAAGAGTGTGGCTTTGAAGTTGACTTGGTTGGTGGGTATCCCTGTGGATCACATTAACAGGAACCCTTACCCTAATCGAAACTTAACTCGTATCATTTCACTCCCAGAACGTGCCTGTGCGAACTTAGGAATTTAATGGAAATCAAGTTTCAAAATTAGTAGCTTATAGATTACGTACATATAAGCTATACATTACGGATATAAATATTCAATAGTCCACGTGATTTGCTTCTGCCCCCAAGCAGGTACTAAGTGCAATCAGAACCCACATCCTTGCAGACTGACTCGAAGGCAAAAGAGGCTAATATTTCAACGGCTCGCATGCCGTGAAGCAATTGCTTTCCGGCGCCGGATTCACGGAGACGGAGTGTTTACGGGCGAATTTGTAGCCCAGCAGCTGGCAGTAGACAAAATACAATTTAGAATTTAAACGTGCAGCGTGGCCCGGGGGTGGCGTGTCATGCAAATGCGCTTCGTTCTGCGAAATATCTTTATACAATAATCTTATCAGCGCATGGAGCATGTGGCATGGCATGTGGCAAGTGGCATATGGCGCAACAGGACGGGTTAAGGTGGGCCAGTGGGCGGATGAACCGCACTTCGCATATTGCGGATGACAGGCTTATGATGGATTGCCTGAAAACTCGGCTTACCAGGACATGGCTGGATTTAAATACATATTTGTGTTGATGCGAGAAATGTTGTTCTTTATTCTTCGATTTTTTTAGTCCGATTATACCGGATTGGTTTTCACACAAAAGCCGCATTTGATACTGTTCAATTTATGCGAAAAGTGTTTTATATTTTTGTTTCCCTCATCTGATAGGATAACTTAGTTATCCAATAAAAATTTAAATATATTTATTCCCATGACGAGCTTGTGTTTTGTTTTGCGGATGGAATTTTACTAAGAATTTGATTTTATATGTTGTAGGAGGACTAACTAACTTATCCAATCAAAATGGGAGTGCTCATGTTCATTTTTTCCAAAGAGAATTTTCTTTGTTAATCGCCGAGAGCTTAGCAACATGGAGACATCTTTGTCAAGGACCTCGGGATTTATTTCATGTTTATGTTTGTGTGCTTGGTAATGAGATTTATTACCGGGCCACTGTTACAATATTCTCCATATCTGGATATCTGGCTATGGAGGCAGCGAGACAAGCAATTTAATTTTTAATTTTCCAAATGAATGCGCTCAAATTAGGCTCGTTGTTGGGGGAGATTATCTGGGGCAATACACGTGAGCGGGCTTTCGTTTCGACGCGGATTGTGTCCGACAATCGGATTTTAGCCCGGCCCATTAAAGGTTGTGCTTTTAAGTACGAGGCCTTAAATTCTGACAGTTGGCTAAGGCCGCTTTAAAGCCTGGAATCCTGTTGGGTTTTATCGCTTTCCGAGCGGATGAGCCGAATGGGCTCCAGGACCCTACTTTCGCTTCACACTCGACCGATATTCAATTACCCTCGGCCAGGATATCGTATGCGTCTCGAGCTTGTTTGTTTGCCGGCCATTTACCGCTCTGTGACTGATGAAGCTGAAAAGCCTGCAGCATGGGACTCGCTCACAGGACTCAACCGGATCCCCAACAAAAAATCGCGTGTGAAAATGGGATTCCCCGCATCCTCACTCTGGCCGTATAACCTTTCGGCTGCTGCGGTAAACGCTGCTCATTTGGCCAGATAATTTATTTTCGCATATTAATTTTACCCGGCTCGGACAAGTCTATGGTAAATGGGAAATTTGTGATAAATGAGCGGCGCTTAAATGCTGAAGGACTCCTCCTGACCTCCGGGCCTCCGGCAGCCAAGGAAATTATTATCCTGCAGCGGCCATTAGAGTGTGTGTGCTTAAAGATATGGCACGTGTATGCATAAGCG